CAATCGAATGCCTATATATTTATATACCGTTTATACTAGGGTGTAATACTGTGCTACGCCACTGCTTATAACTAACTATAAGTTAAGTATAACTATAAGAAATCTAAGATGTGTCAAATAAATGATATCCAGCTCAGGGCTCCAGCTATGCATTTGGCTCGATGTCATAATACGTATATAGGTTATAGGTTAAGAACTTTTGTGAGAGAGCACAGTTTGAAAGATATGGCATATAGGAGCAAACTGGATGGACATCATGAAAATGATCGGAGAGGTTGAGGGCAGAGGAAGTTCAGGAGTAAAAACAAACAAAATAGAGCTATTGTAAAATTGACTGTGTCCATAAAATCTATATAGTATGTATAAGCTGGAAGTAGAGGCCTAAGCGTTGTTGTTGTTCACTAGTTTACTCCAATTAGGGGAGGGGTGGTAGGGTTAGAAAGTAATAAAGGAAAATATATATTTTTAAAGGGTGTGTGTATGTATGTATGTATGTATGTATGTATGTATGTACAGTGGGTAGAACAAGTATTTGATACACTGCCGATTTTGCAGATTTTCCTACTTACAAAGCATGTAGAGGTCTGTAATTTTTATCATAGGTACACTTCAACTGTGAGAGACGGAATCTAAAACAAAAATCCAGAAAATCACATTGTATGATTTTTAAGTAACTAATTTGCATTTTATTGCATGACATAAGTATTTGATCACCTACCAACCAGTAAGAATTCCGGCTCTCACAGACCTGTTAGTTTTTCTTTAAGAAGCCCTCCTGTTCTCCACTCATTACCTGTATTAACTGCACCTGTTTGAACTCGTTACCTGTATAAAAGACACCTGTCCACACATTCAATCAAACAGACTCCAACCTCTCCACAATGGCCAAGACCAGAGAGCTGTGTAAGGACATCAGGGATAAAATTGTAGACCTGCACAAGGCTACAATTTTAGACCTTCCCTCACTGTATGTAAACTTCTGACTTCAACTGTGTGTGTGTGTGTATATGTATATACACTGCTCAAAAAAAGAAAGGGAACACTTAAACAACACAATGTAACTCCAAGTCAATCACACTTCTGTGAAATCAAACTGTCCACTTAGGAAGCAACACTGATTGACAATACATTTCACATGCTGTTGTGCAAATGGAATAGACAACAGGTGGAAATTATAGGCAATTAGCAAGACACCCCCAATAAAGGAGTGGTTCTGCAGGTGGTGACCACAGACCACTTCTCAGTTCCTATGCTTCCTGGCTGATGTTTTGGTCACTTTTGAATGCTGGCGGTGCTTTCACTCTAGTGGTAGCATGAGACGGAGTCTACAACCCACACAAGTGGCTCAGGTAGTGCAGCTCATCCAGGATGGCACATCAATGCGAGCTGTGGCAAGAAGGTTTGCTGTGTCTGTCAGCATAGTGTCCAGAGCATGGAGGCTCTACCAGGAGACAGGCCAGTACATCAGGAGACGTGGAGGAGGCCGTAGGAGGGCAACAACCCAGCAGCAGGACCGCTACCTCCACCTTTGTGCAAGGAGGAGCAGGAGGAGCACTGCCAGAGCCCTGCAAAATGACCTCCAGCAGGCCACAAATGTGCATGTGTCTGCTCAAACGGTCAGAAACAGACTCCATGAGGGTGGTATGAGGGCCCGACGTCCACAGGTGGGGGTTTTGCTTACAGCCCAACTCCGTGCAGGACGTTTGGCATTTGCCAGAGAACACCAAGATTGGCAAATTCGCCACTGGCGCCCTGTGCTCTTCACAGATGAAAGCAGGTTCACACTGAGCACATGTGACAGACGTGACAGAGTCTGGAGACGCCGTGGAGAACGTTCTGCTGCCTGCAACATCCTCCAGCATGACCGGTTTGGCGGTGGGTCAGTCATGGTGTGGGGTGGCATTTCTTTGGGGGGCCGCACAGCCCTCCATGTGCTCGCCAGAGGTAGCCTGACTGCCATTAGGTACCGAGATGAGATCCTCAGACCCCTTGTGAGACCATATGCTGGTGCGGTTGGCCCTGGGTTCCTCCTAATGCAAGACAATGCTAGACCTCATGTGGCTGGAGTGTGTCAGCAGTTCCTGCAAGAGGAAGGTACTGATGCTATGGACTGGCCTGCCCGTTTCACCCGACCGCTCAAAAAAATTAAGGGAACAATAAAATAACACATCCTAGATCTGAATGAATGAAATAATCTTATTAAATACTTTTTTCTTTACATATTTGAATGTGCTGACAACAAAATCACACAAAAATGATCAATGGAAATCAAATTTATCAACCCATGGAGGTCTGGATTTGGAGTCACCCTCAAAATTAAAGTGGAAAACCACACTACAGGCTGATCCAACTTTGATGTAATGTCCTTAAAACAAGTCAAAATGAGGCTCAGTAGTGTGTGTGGCCTCCACGTGCCTGTATGACCTCCCTACAACGCCTGGGCATGCTCCTGATGAGGTGGCGGATGGTCTCCTGAGGTATCTCCTCCCAGACCTGGACTAAAGCATCCGCCAACTCCTGGACAGTCTGTGGTGCAACGTGGCGTTGGTGGATGGAGCGAGACATGATGTCCCAGATGTGCTCAATTGGATTCAGGTCTGGGGAACGGGCGGGCCAGTCCATAGCATCAATGCCTTCCTCTTGCAGGAACTGCTGACACACTCCAGCCACATGAGGTCTAGCATTGTCTTGCATTAGGAGGAACCCAGGGCCAACCACACCAGCATATGGTCTCACAAGGGGTCTGAGGATCTCATCTCGGTACCTAATGGCAGTCAGGCTACCTCTGGCGAGCACATGGAGGGCTGTGCGGCCCCCCAAAGAAATGCCACCCCACACCATGACTGACCCACCGCCAAACCGGTCATGCTGGAGGATGTTGCAGGCAGCAGAACGTTCTCCACGGCGTCTCCAAACTCTGTCACGTGCTCAGTGTGAACCTGCTTTCATCTGTGAAGAGCACAGGGCGCCAGTGGCGAATTTGCCAATCTTGGTGTTCTCTGGCAAATGCCAAACGTCCTGCACGGTGTTGGGCTGCAAGCACAACCCCCACCTGTGGACGTCGGGCCCTCATACCACCCTCATGGAGTCTGTTTCTGACCGTTTGAGCAGACACATTTGTGGCCTGCTGGAGATCATTTTGCAGGGCTCTGGCAGTGCTCCTCCTGCTCCTCCTTGCACAAAGGCGTCCACATCTCCTGATGTACTGGCCTGTCTCCTGGTAGCGCCTCCATGCTCTGGACACTACGCTGACAGACACAGCAAACCTTCTTACCACAACTCGCATTGATGTGCCATCCTGGATGAGCTGCACTACCTGAGCCACTTGTGTGGGTTGTAGACTCCGTCTCATGCTACCACTAGAGTGAAAGCACCGCCAGCATTCAAAAGTGACCAAAACATCAGCCAGGAAGCATAGGAACTGAGAAGTGGTCTGTGGTCACCATCTGCAAAACCAGTCCTTTATTGGGGGTGTCTTGCTAATTGCCTATAATTTCCACCTGTTGTCTATTCCATTTGCACAACAGCATGTGAAATGTATTGTCAATCAGTGTTGCTTCCTAAGTGGACAGTTTGATTTCACAGTGTGATTGACTTGGAGTTACATTGTGTTGTTTAAGTGTTCCCTTAATTTTTTTGAGCAGTATATATATATATATATATATATATATATATATATATATATATATATATATATATATATATTTTTTTTTTATTTTTTATTTTTTTTTTTTGTTGCAAAAAATATATATATTTGCAAAAAATATATATATTTGCAAAAAATATATATGGAGGATTGGAAGTGATGCAGGCAATTACATTGATGGAAGGTACAATCTATCTGCAATATTAAAGCTGATCTACCCCCTACATTTTTTATTTATTTTAAATGACATTTTATTTTTGTGTCAAATCACAAGTTGAGAATCCCCTCCTGGATCAAGATCCCTGTTGCCTAAATAGTTATTTTTTTTATATATCTTTTTAAGAAATAGTGCCCCTTGTGTGCACATTCTTTAACACTCTGTACCCCAGTATGGTACAGAAACGGTATGAAAATGTGGATACCACCCAACTCCATTCTGGATGCGCCACTCTCCCGAGTGGCGCAGTGGTCTAAGGCACTGCATCGCAGTGCTAGCTGTGCCACTAGAGATCCTGGTTCGAATCCAGGCTCTGTCGTAGCCGACCGCGACCGGGAGACACATGGGGCGGCGCACAATTGGCTCAGCGTCGTCCAGGGTAGGGGAGGGAATGACCGGCAGGGATGTAGCTCAATTGGTAGAGCATGGCGTTTGCAATGCCAGGGTTCGATTCCCATGGGGGGCCAGTATAAAAAAAAAAAATATGTATGTACTCACTAACTGTAAGTCGCTCTGGATAAGAGCGTCTGCTAAAATGACTAAAATGTAAATGATTGCATAATACTGTTGGTCACAGGTTAGAATAAGGAAAGCAGACCCACCAGTCCAACAACTCTGTATGTCAATCATGGGACCTCACTGGAAGTGTGTCTGCGTGCCTCATACTTCCCTCTTATCATGTCAGAGCAGCCTGTGCCGCTCCTCATCCCTCCCATGTCCCAGAGAGTCTTATAGAACTCACCCAGACCTGATGTGGTGCTTCAATGCTCACCTAATGCCCCAGTCAAGGCCCGTAGCTGCCAGTTCAAACCATAGCAGTCATTAGGACATGGTCATAGCCTTGAAATGGTACACACAGACAATAGTCTTGGGTATCGTACTTTTGCAATGTTACACACATAATAGGCCTCTTGTTTCAGCCTCTAAACGTATATGGACGTCTGATAGAGCTGTTGAAGGTACTATTCAACAATGTACATGCACTGTAATGTGTGTGATTATTACACTGTAGTTGCCTATGTTATTTCCATGTAAATACCTACATGCCTTGTCAAACATCGCAAGACACGTTTTCATTGACAGTGTTCATGGTCATTTTAAAATGGGTTTGCCTATAGTTGTGTTGATATAGTTTAGGCCAGAGGAGAAACTCCATTGACCTGTCATCTTACCTGTACCTCTTTGTTTATCGGTCAGATCTTTGACGTTGGGGAGAGTCTGATGGTGCCAGATGAGTTCACCGCAGAGGAGAAGAAGACTGGGATGTGGTGGCGACACCTAGTGGCTGGAGGAGCAGCTGGCGCCGTGTCTCGAACCTGCACCGCACCTCTGGACCGGCTCAAAGTGCTCATGCAGGTAAGGACACTCCCTTTGAGAAGATATGTCAAGAACTGACCTCACGCAAAAGGGACAAGAACTCAGTTATTTGTGTTCACACTGCAAGTGAAACCGGATCCCCTTTTAATGCAACAATTATTAGTTCACTTTAACGTTAAACAGCCAGTCAGGATTTTGGCTCACATTAAAAACAAGCTTGAAGAGACCCCACCTCTACCTTAAACAGTAGTAATATCACGTATCTATGTGTTAGTCCTATAGACGGGTTGGTCGTTTAGCAACAAAACCAACGCGTGCGCAACTATGGAGCAAAACAGACTGGGTTGGCTTAGATTGTTGACAACATGTAAACTATGTTTCGTCTCCAGTGTTTCTTGAAAACATAAATACATTTGCACAATGAGCACTTGTTGTCTCGCATACATCATTAAAGTTGTTGGTTAGCTAGCTAGTGAATTTTTTGCCATATTAGCATAGATGTGACATCAGTCAAAACACCTCAAAACAACACATGTTGTTATTAAGAACAAGATAAAACTAGCTGAAACGAGCCACCTACGATTCCCTACATGGCAGCTTATTGTCATTGTTGCTAGCTATCTGGCCATCCAGAATCACAACAACACACAGACTTCTGACGTTGTCAGCTAACCCATCTATGGCAGAGAGCCAATTGCATAAGGTCTGTCCTTAGGACACCGTTTCTGCTAGCATGTGCAATTCCACTGATATGATGCACCAGGGATTGAGACACAGATGGGTGACATGGCAGAGTAGGAGGCAGAGTTCAGCTTTCTCACATTACATTTTTTATTCAACCTTATTTATCCAGGTAGTATCATTGAGATAAAATATATTTTTCAAGAGCAACCTGGTCCAACCAAGACAGCAGCAGGGGGGAACAATGTTTCAGCCAATTATCAGACGTATACACGCCATAAACACATGTATAGATGTAGACAAACATTATAATGACATCCTCAGATCAATCCCTAAGGCGCCAGCCCGAGCACACCCTCGTGTTGTAACGTGATTGGGTGGAAGAGAGCCAATGCGAGGGAATGTTCATGCATGTCTGTTGGTCAGTGATGTCAGCAGCGCTCGTGTGTTCCATCAGCAGAAGCAGACTGGCATAGATAACAGCACGGAGTTTGTCCCTCTTTCTTTTTCTCTATCTGTTCATCCCTCGTTCTCTATCTGTGTTTTTCACTCACATCCAGTTTTTTATGAGCAGAGATAGAAATTCTCATTCATTATTGCATAAGCAGGGTAAGTACAATAATGGCAAATGACATGAAAATATGAACGATGACTTAACATTCCATCAACATTTATAAGGGGATTTGATAAGGAGTAGGAGGATGTGAAGTTGCATCCAGTTCCTCCCTGTTACCAGTCAGTTCAATAACTTGACTTCACAGGCAACATGGTGTTGACTAAATAACGTGTCTCTCGGTTTGGTGTCCAGGTCCACGCCACCCGTACCAACAGCATGTGCATCGCCGGCGGCTTCACCCACATGATCCGCGAGGGCGGCATGAGGTCACTATGGCGAGGCAACGGCATGAACGTCATCAAGATCGCCCCCGAGTCGGCCATCAAGTTCATGGCTTACGAGCAGGTAAACCTATCATTCAGCACCCTTACTTTGACATGACGGGACCCTTTCTAGTGTTGTCAATTGAAGCCAATGAAATATTTGGTATCAACAGCTCTGTCGTTTACTGTCCTTCGGGCAAAAAATTACTCCTTCAGACTCTGTCTAGAAACATACCCCGAGGAAATATTTTAAGCAACTGTCACTTAACAAGTTTGTCTTAACTAGGTCCTCATGGCGTAGTAGTTGAACTCAAATGCTCTTCAGGACTGACACTAACCAGAGTTGTTGTGGTGTTGTCCAGATCAAACGGTTGATAGGCAGCAACCAGGAGACCCTGGGCATCCTGGAGAGGTTTGTGGCTGGATCCCTGGCTGGAGCCATAGCTCAGAGCAGCATCTACCCTATGGAGGTGTTGAAGACCCGCCTAGCCCTGAGGAAGACAGGACAGTTCTCTGGCATCGCTGACTGCGCCAAACACATCTTCCGGAAGGAGGGCATGGCAGCCTTCTACAAGGGCTACATTCCCAACTTGATAGGCATCATCCCCTACGCTGGCATTGACCTGGCCGTCTACGAGGTGGGTGTGTGTGTGTGTGAGTGAATGGAGGGAATCTAAAGGAAGTTGTTTAATATTATTTTAGTCTCACTGTCATTCTTATCTCTCGTTCCCACACATCTACTTTCTCTACAACTAACCTCATTGTCTATTTCTTTCTCCCTTCTCCTCCCTCCCTCCATCCATCCAGACTCTGAAGAACTCATGGCTGCAGCGCTACGCCACAGACAGTGCAGACCCGGGGGTGTTCGTCCTGTTAGCCTGCGGTACCACCTCCAGCACCTGTGGTCAGTTGGCCAGCTATCCCCTGGCCCTGGTCAGGACCCGCATGCAGGCACAAGGTACGCTCACTGCCAATTTCTCTTTGGAGTTTCATTAGATCACTTGCACAGAATTAATTGGTGACAGTGTTGGTTCATGGACCCACCAAAATCAGTGGTACAATGGAATGTGTTAATCGGGGATGCATAAATACGTCTGTCTCCGTAATTGGTAGTGGGGTACATGGGAAGTGTATTTTATAACAGATATTATATATATATATAGTTGCCATATCAGATAGTTGACATTGACTTAGTTTCCAGACCGGTGCATCCCTAGTGTTGATGTGTATCTCTTGTCTCTCATCTAACTTCCTCTCATGTTGTGTCCCCTCAGCCACCATCGAGGGCGGTCCCCAGATGACCATGTCGGGTCTGTTTAAACATATCGTGAAGACTGAGGGTGTGTTCGGACTCTACCGGGGCCTGGCCCCCAACTTCATGAAGGTCATTCCAGCGGTCAGCATCAGCTACGTGGTCTACGAGAACCTCAAGATAAGCCTGGGGGTTGTGTCTCGGTGAGGACCAGGAGGAGAGGGAGGGAGAACCTCCCCTAAAGGCCAAAGGGTTCTTTTTTGCTTTTCTTTTTGGAGAGAAAAAGAGGAGAGCGAGGAGGAGGAGACTGTGGGAAGAGTTGCCAAGCAGCGGAGCGGGTGACTCGGAAAGAAGGGGTTGTTGCTGGGGTTGTTGGAAACGTCATCTCATTCTGTGAATGTTATGAGGACAGGTGAGGAGAGGTGGATGGAGGGAGGAGATATATATACTGTATATACTACAACACTAACGACTAAAACTGGGTTCTCCAACCCTGTTCCTGGAGAGCTACTGTCCTGTACGTTTTCACTCCAACCCTAATCTAGCGCACCTGATTCTAATAATTAGCTGGTTGATCAGCTGCATCAGGTTACTTACAACTGGGGTTGGAGCAAAAATCTACAGGAGGGTAGCTCTCCAGGAACAGGGTTGGAGAACCCTGGACTAAAAGAAGCGATGGACAGATGTGGACGGACACTGTGACTTGGAGGGAGGTATGGGGGATCCTCTCTCAGATGTAACCTTTAATCATCATTATTTAATGCGTTATTTTGTTATCAATCCAGAGGCACTTCACCTTGAGTCCACTGTTGGCTTTTTGTTATTCAACATGAAGACCCAGGTTAACTAAAAAGCAATCTCTTCACTGGAACACCAATATTCTCCAACCTGCTTGAAGTTTGCTAACAAAAATGTTTTTAGGGACCAAGAAGCTGCTTTTGGTTGTGACTGTTGCATTGCGGCGGCTGTTGTATGTTTGTGGGGACTGACAAAAGCAGCTGGGGGAGCAGGTATCAAGTAAATGTTTGACCCTTCATCCCATAGTACTATCCTATAGATGGCAGTATTGGTTAACCTATCTGGCTTGTGAAAGACAACCAAAGCCTAATTCATGACAAAGGGCTTTTCTGATTGTCATCTAAAATGTTCTTATGTATTATCTGTCCCCCTTTAACGCAGCACTCCCCAAGTCGGCAACTATTAGGGCACTAACTGTGTTAAATTTGTCTCAAGGGAGAAAAACCTCAACTCAGAATTTTGGTTTATCTGGTTAATTCCTGTATTGTTTTGCCCCATTCAAAAGAAATCCAAACTGTGGTTTTCCTTTTCCTCATTGTTTGACTTGATGATAAAAATGTTAAACTGATTTGAACTGAAAAGGTGATGCAGGTTGGATGCCCATAGTGTCTTATTGTCCACTTAGTCTTAAAACAGCTGGTAAGAAGAAGTTTGTGTCTTGATGCTATCTTTTATTTTATTTCGTATTGTAACGAGATATTTATTAAAATGTGGTCCGTACAGGCAGCACTCAAATAATAGATGCTGTTAGCATATGTTTAGTTACAATACTATAACAACATATTCAGCAACTATTTATATATTGTTGTCATCGATATGATGCAACACACAATGATTAGCCTACCTACCTATTGATCAAGGTTTGGGGTGTTATGCTGTCACTACCTGTTTAACATTTCGGACAGGAAGTCCTGATTTGACATGGTTCCTCCGGACCTTCTCTGCACCTGAAGTCTACAGTCTGTAAATGCATGAATTTCCAGGGTGCTGGATATTCCATGTCCCATTTCAATAAGTGTGTGAGGGCGTGGTGGTGTAGTGCGGCCTTAGTCAAAGTGCAGTGCACTTGGAAACACAACATTAGCAAGTGTGGGACAGGCAATGGTCTTTGTGAATGAGGTCTCTCGTTCTGCTCCATTACATTTAAACTGCAATGAGCAAACACCACCACCACCAAGCTTCCTCTCACTGCACTTAAACAAAAAACACTTAATAATGCACTTGAAGGTAATTTTCTTTTAACTTTAACCAGACTTTAATATATATTTTTTTTTACTGAAATCAAATGATGGATGCTAGCGTTGCATTGTGATGTCTTTAAAAAAAAAAAATCATACTTTTCACTAAAATTATTAATATTAAAGGCCCAGTGCAGTCAAAAACAAGATTTTCCTGTGTTTTTATATATATATTTCCACACTGACGTTGGAATAATATTATGAAAATGATAATGCCCTTTTAGTGTAAGGGCTGTTTGAAAAGACCTCCTGAAATTTCAGCTTGTTTGGGTGGGATGGAGTTTTGGTCTTCCATGGTGACATCACCATGCGGTAAATTAGTTAGACCAATAAGAAAGAGTTCCAAACCTCTCCGCCCATAACAGCTAATTTTCTGTTTTCCCCTCCCAACTCAGACCACTCCCAGACAGTCCTAGCAAAATTCTTGCTTTGATAAGAAGATATTTTTGTTTCTTTTTGATCATTTTTATTAAAAAATAATCCCAGTAAGGTACTTAATTGTTACCCAGAAATTATTTGATATTGAGATAAAAATGGCTGCATTGGACCTTTTAAGTGTTATATGGAGCATGAATGGAGGCTGATGTGTTATTTGTTGTAAGCCTTAATGTCTCAAGCTGTTTTTCCTGTATGCTGAAGGCCATTTATTTTGTTTTCCTCTGAATATGTGAACAAAACATATTTAAAGTTCCAATTTGAGACTTGGTTATCCCTCGCAAATCTTCAAATGCAAGACTTAAGTGTTCTTGCAGTTGCCTTATTTTACCTGAGATCCATTAATCGAAAAGTACTCCGTTTCCAGAGGATGGAGAGGAAAATTGGTCTAATTAAGTAATTTGTTATTTTGTTCCATCCTCAGGGAGCATTTAGTATTTCTTGAGTTCGGGCTTTCAGTGTTCTGAAAAACAACACATTTTCCCTTAATTCCCCCGTCAATGTTTCCCAGTGTTCACTAGGCAGCGTCAGTTTCCCTTGTCTTCACTGTCCCCTCACTGCATGTATTTATCAAGGGGACATTATATGCATAAAGACGATGACACGGTTGTCATTATTTGGCTAAATGCTTTTTCTGCTTGGTACAGCTCCACAAAAATAAGTTATCTTTTGCACTTTTGCTTTAGTTCAAATATCGGTGCCTGAATCCATATATTCTGCTGTGTCTGTAGTATTGTACTCCAACTAAGGATACCACTCCATACTGCCTGAAATGTAGCGCCTTATTACATTTATGCCTTATCTTGCATTGACGAGCGGGCAATCAGACTCATCGCTTTTGTAAACTTGAAATGCACTGCACATGGTCCCCCCCATTTATTGCTGAAGGCTGAAATGTATAGTATCTATATATTAGTCTTTTAGATGGTCTCTTTTGAATCAAAACAGCTCATTCATGGTATCTAAATATTTTACAAAACGTATACAGACTAAATCCTGATTATATTTAGAAAAGTATTGAAAAATGTAATTGGAAACAACTGTCCTTTTGTAGAAGAATACATCTTTATTGAAGGAATGTAAATCTAAATGTATTTATGCTTATATGTTTTAAAGTAACTCAATATAAAATGTTGTATTGAGTCCTGGTTTGAATTGACCACATCTGAATCACTTCACATCTTAAGCACTATACACAGATATTGCATAGCAAATGGTGAATCAATGACTGTCCCAGCCTGTACCAACCAGGCCTCATCATTGACATGGTGGGAGAGGGAGGTACAGACTTTAAATGGGATAAAATATGAACGAACATGAAACTTGACACCTGCAATAATTAATTTTATAATGCTTAAAAATTGTATCCCAGACAATAGAAGTGAGAAGACCATAGTGAAAATTAGTCAAATCTATTTAAAGTGGAACAGAGACTTTGCTTTTGTTTGTCACTGTTGCACTGGGATGGCAGCTGTTGTGTGTTTGTGGGGGAGACAAAAGTAACTGGCAGAGCTGGTATCTCTATGAAAAGTGAGCCTTCACCCTGCAGTACTTATGAATATCATATAGGTGCCAGTATTGGTCAACCTGGCTAGTGAAAGACCACCAAATTCAAGACAAAGGGAAGATAGTCATCATACAGCCCTACACCTCCACAAACTTTACACATCATTTAAGGGGAAAATGCCATGTATGCTACAAAATACAATCTACAAATGTGTATCTTGCATAGGGGGAAAAAACTTAAATACATTTTGATTTCTAAACTTTCTGATACTGATAAATAATTGGGATTTCCCCCAGTGTTTTACCAAAAAGGCTCAGACTTTTGTTTCCACGGACCAGCTCTAGTGTCGCGCTGGGCCGTGGCCTCCGTTGACCTGCTCTGACTTGGGACCAAGGCGAGACCACTGGTACTTTTCAGCTGGCATTTACATAACAATGGCTAACTGTGAATATGGGTTAACAACAATGATGTATTGTTATAGGTCCCCTGTAGCTCAGTTGGTAGAGCATGGCGCTTGCAACGCCAGGGTTGTGGGTTCGTTTCCCACGGGGGGCCAGTATGAAAATGTATGCACTCACTAACTGTAAGTCGCTCTGGATAAGAGCGTCTGCTAAATGACAAAAAATATATATATATATATAAACTCTGGATTGCTGTATTGCCCATTGAGAGGCTTTGAAGTCACTGGTCGGCCATATTGGCACTCCCCAGTAGGAGCAGTCCTCCTTCGAAATGAATGGAATTCTACAATATTTCAATTAAATGTTTCAAGGACAAAATTACATGTATTTCAGTATTTATTTGTTGTAGTGGGGACAGTAACATTAGTAATAAAAAAAAAAGTATGTTTAACTCACATATAATTTGAAAGTATGCATTAAGGTGTCTGTAATAGAATAAACATGGCAAAAACGAATGTAGACATTAAATGCATTTCTATAGCTTCCAAAATATGTTTTACAATTGTGGGGGAGTGCCAAGATGGAGGCAAGGTGGCTTCAACACAGTGCCCCCTATTAGTCATCTAGTGTATATATAAATCAACACACTTGTGCTGTAATGGGAAAACCCTATATAAGACTCTGTCTGGGGGTAGCCCCTGGCCTCTGCCTTTGGGGCACTTGAGTAGATCTGGGGGAGTTGGTTGGGTGGGTGGATGATTTAGTGGTGGCTCCACCTTGCCCTCCAATGGGACGGGTGGGGATTTTTGCTGTGTTGCTAGTGACTGACCGGTCCCTTCCAGTCTGTGAGTGGGGATGGGGGTTGGGAGGTGTTTACGGACAGGGTCGCTGTGTCTCTGGACTGCCTCTGTTCCCAGTGGTTATGATGCTCAGTCAGCCAGAAGAGGATGCCCCCCCCCCCCCCCCCCTCACAGTCCGCATAGTGCCTTAAGGTGTTTTTTTTAAAATCTGATACTAAATCTGATGCTACTCGCTTGAGTTACTTGATATGGCAGACAGTTTCATGTAGTCATGATTCTATGTAGTACCGTGCGTTTCCCAGTCTGTTCTGGACTTGGGGACTGTGAAGAGACCCCTGGTGGCATGTCTTGTGGGGAATGTATGGGTGTCTGAGCTGTGTGTTAGCTGTTTGAACAGACAGTTTGGTGCTTTCAACACATCAATACTCATAAAGACCAGTAGTGATGCAGTCAATCTCTCCTCTACTTTGAACCAGGAGAGATTGAAATGCATGTTATTGATATTAGCCGTCCGTGTACATTTAAGGACCAGGGCCCGTTGCATAACACATCTTAAGTGTTTCCCTTAAGGAATAATTTTCCCTTACCTAAGGGAATTTATTAAGGGCGTTGCATAGAGCCTTTCAAATATTTCCTTAGGTAAGGGCATACTTAAGGGGTTTTACAGTAGTTTGAAGGCATGTTTGGCAGAAAGAGTATCTGGTTACCATGGAGACGGCCTGATTCACTGACTAAATGTCTCATCAAAGAGATGGCTTTCATTTTGTGAGATAGCAAAATAGAACTTCTACGATCAAGACAGGATAATCAAATTGCTTAAGAAGATAATAAACCACGTTTCTTGTTACTTTTTTCTCAATTTGTTTATAGTACTTTCTAGTACATCAAGCTAGCATACAGAGTAGCTAAAGCTAACTAGCCAGCTGGCTTTGTAGCCATGGATTGTGCACCTTCCATTGTTTAGAATGAAGCCGTTAAGGGACCTCATGGGCACCCTTAACTTTTTCACTTAATTTAAGGGGGAAATTCACCATACAATGTTTTGTGCAACTGACTTAAAGTTAAGGAAACTTTAAGGGAAAAGATAAGGGGGATATTAACTTAAGGTGTTTTATGCAACCGGGCCCAGCTGTGCTGCTCTGTGGCCATATAACTGGGCAGTAGTCCAGGTGTGATAAAAGGCCTGTAGAAAAGCAGAGCAGTGCTTTAACACGGACAGACCTCTTCCCATCTTAGCTACCATTGCATCAATATGTTTTGACCAAGTCAGTTTACAATCTAGGGTTACACCAAGCAGTTTAGTCTCCTCAACTTGCTCAATTGCCACATTATTCATTACAGAATGAGATTTAGATGAGATTTAGGGTTTAGCAAATGATTTGTCCCAAATATACTGAATAAAAATACAAACACAACATGCAACAATTTCATTGATTTTACTGAGTTATAGTTCATATGAGGAAATCAGTCAATTGAAATAAATAAATTAGGCCCTAATCTATGGATTTCACATGACTGGTCACAGATACCTTAAAAAAATGGGACTCACAATGGGCCTCAGGATCTCATTGTGGTATTTTTGTGCATTCAAATTGCCATCGATAAAATGCAATTGTGTTTGTTGTCTGTAGCTTATGCCTGCCCCTACCATAACCCCACCGCCACCATGGGGCACTCTGTTCACCACGTTGACATCAGCAATACGACGCCATACACATGGTCTACGGTTATGAGGCCAGTTGGACGTACTGCCAAATTCTCTAAAACAATGTTGGAGGCGGCTTATGGTAGAGAAATGAACATTCAATTCTCTGGCAACAGCTCTGGTGGACATTCCTGCAGTCAGCATGCCAATTGCACGCTCCCTCAAAACTTGAGACATCTGGGGCATTGTGTTGTGTGACAAAACTGCACATATTTAGAGTGGCCTTTTGTTGTCCCCAGCACAAGGTGCACCTGTGTAATGATCATGCTGTTTAATCAGCTTCTTGATATGCCACACCTGTCAGGTGGATGGATTATCTTGGCAAAGGAGTAAATGCTCACTAACAGGGATGTAAACAAATGTGTGCCCAAATTTGAGAGAAATAAGCATTTTGTGCATATGGAAAATTTCTGGGATCTTTTATTTCAGCTCATGAAACATGGGACACTTTACATGTTGAGTTTATATTTTTGTTCAGTGCGCTTAGTTTTTTATATATGTAGGACTTGCTTATTACTTGCAGTCAGTTTTAGAATGGGTCGCAACTCTTTGTTAAGTATTGCAGTAATTTCACTTACTGTGGTAACTAACGTGTATAGTAATCAGCGTACATAGACACACAGGCTTTACTCAATGCTAGTGGTAGGTCATTGGTAAAAATATAAAAAAGTAAGGGTCCATGTCCACATACTTTTGTATATATATAGTGTAGGTAGGCTCTCGATCCACGATACGGTAGAGGATGTAAAGCCATAACATATACGTTTTTTTCAGCAGCAGACTATGATCGATAATGTCAAAGGTCTAACAAAAGTCTAACAAAACAGCTCCCATAATCTTCTTATTATCAATTTATTTCAGCCAATCATCAGTCATTTGTGTTAATGCCGTACACGTTGAGTGCCCTTCCCTATAAGCGTGCTGAAAGTCAGTTGTTAATTTGTTTACTGTGAAATAGCATTGTATCTGGCAAACACAATATTTTCCTAAAGTTTGTTCGGTAGCACCCTGATTGGTCGGCTGAGTGACAATATAGTCCGCTACCAGTTATTTTCCATCCAAATTGTCAGTACCAGTAGGTTAGTAATTATTGATAGGCAACAATAATGAACGCAATAATGCATTTTGGCAGCACATCTGGAGTATTTTGTTAAATGGAAATCTGTTATGATGTAAACAGTTTTGAGTACATATAAACTTTTTTTCCAGAGAAATAGATACCTTGGCAGGTGCACAAAAAGGATGATCCAAAATAGCACGTGACACGATCTGATTGGGGATTCTTGTGGTTGTGCTTTGATTGACAAGGTATTCAGCCAATCGACATTTTGGAAGGGGAGGCGTCAATGTTTATTCAAACCATCATCAGGGTGTAATGCCAGGAAGCACAGGCAGTTTGCTTTTGCCACCAAGTACATTCAATGGATGAGGAATCCGTACGTGCAGACGCTTTACTGCGCCTTGGTCACTTTTTGTAACTTTTACAACTTTTAGTTGTCGGTTGTGATAACTCAAAAAAAGCTGTTCACGATATTTTAACTGGTTATAAAGTTGTTCAAATTGTGTTTCTTTCGAGCGAAACAGGACGAGACGCTGACGTTAGCAGTGTATGGCTATATTCCCAAGCCTCCCACCCAGTTTGAAATCCATAATCGCGTTTATGACATTTTGAGTCTGACATGGCAGGTTTAACACTACAGGTAAGCACAGATTAATATGTTTTATTTAGCCTAATTACTATCTACAATCGCTTCTAATAATATAATAATAATATGCCATTTAGCAGACGCTTTTATCCAAAGCGACTTACAGTCATGCGTGCATACATTTTTTTTTGTGTATGGGTGGTCCCGGGGATCGAACCCACTACCTTAGCGTTACAAGCGCCGTGCTCTACCAGCTGAGCTACAGAGGACCTCTCTCATCAAGATTTGTTTGTACCACTGTCTCGTGAAAAATCATTGTGAATAGCCACCAGACAATGGATGGTTTCTGGTTAAACTGGTTTCACCACTTTACTTTGCTTTTATTAATTACATTTTCCTTATGCAACAATGCAGCCTGGGTAATACCAAAGTAGCTAGTTAGCTATACCAACCTGTTTGTTTCAATGGTTCATGTTACTGTTGTGAATCAGACAGGCGTTTTTCCACATGTAACCAGCCATCAACTCCATTGGCAGACATGCCGGAGAGTTATATCTACTCTCGGTTCTCTACTTCTCAAGCCATAACACTGCTCCATCACCAGCTACAATGTACCGTTCTTGAAATATCCAGTGGTAAAAAGCATAAATGAGTAGTTACAGTATTAATTCTGATTTGGCCAGTGGGTGACAGGGTGTGTCAGAAGTGTGGTCAGATGATTCAGTGTTTCCCTTAGCCTTTAGGCAGGGAGGGTTGTTCCTCTACAGAGCTTTCGTCTACAAATGTTCTGATTGGACAAAAACTGGTGCCACATGCAAACACAACACATTGCCTTATATTGGCCCGGTTGTTGCAATTTGCTCACATATATAAACCGTTGCCACCTTCCATTCATCAAAAGTTCCATCCCTCCCAAAGCACCTGCCTGCGGGCCTGGTGGAGGGGGACATCCTGGACCCGGAGTTCCAGCAGCGGCTGGAGGACGCACGCACCCTGCTGAGGCAGGAGATCCAACGGGAGCTGAGGATCAAGGAGGCGGCCGAGAGGCTGCGGCGGGCCGTCACTAACCGTAAGAGCGCCGCCGAAGTGGAGGGCCAGTTGAGGGCGTCGAGCCGCAAGCTGGAGCAGCTGCACTGGGAGCTGCAGGAGCTCAACACTCGTGCCATCACCCCCAAGCCCCAGAAGGACAGCACCACAGGTAATAATTATGACTGTTCTCAGATCTGTGTGTTCTGTAAAGCCAACTTCTATGGTTGACAATGACCATGGACATGGGAGTTGGCTTTACAACACAAACAGGTTAGTAATAATCATGATGATGATCATCATCATGATGACAATATTAACTTTTGACAAATTATGCTCAATCTGCCATCTAAAACAGATACTATTAGCAGTAGGAACAAGTAATGGTACGTTTTTGTTGTTGTTGCAAGGAATAGGCTAAGACAAATAGATCACTAAATAGGCTTTTTCAGCAACTGTATCCCAACTTTCTGTCCTGTCACTTACTGCTTGTGTCTCTGTCAAAGCAGATGACACCACGTCGCCTGACCCGTGTCGCTGGGAGGAGGTGACATCCCCACTTGCCGGGCGCATCTGTGCCCTGAAGAAACAGCTCACCATGGAGACCAAGGTGAAGCAGGGGGCCGAGAACATCATCCAGACCTACGTCAGCAGCTCTGTCAAGGTTTGGTACACACACACACACACACACACACATTTACACTATGCATCTGTCAAATAAGCTTTCCATGTTACACGAATGCCACTAAGGTCAATGTTTTGGAAACCACTATACTCACCATATGAGTGAAGAGCCAATTCAATTAAGGCATTATAGTGCCTCAGCACTTTTGTTTTGGACCAATGCCAGAAGGATTTCAGCACTCCGTCCCCCCCAAGACGCACACACAACTTTTAAAGTCCTCCTTGCGTGATATTGACTCTGTTGAAAAGCAGAATACATCATGCTGTCTAATGTAGTGGCTTGTAAATGATATTAGACACAGGGCTCCCATTTGTTTTGTCATGTTGAATGTTCAGTAATGTGATGCTGAGGTACGCTGTTGAACTCTGCACTGGCAGCCAGTGATTTATGCCTCCACTGCTATGTGTGATTCAGACTCAGCTTGTGTATGGAGTTTCCATCACATGCACTCACTTACTTGCTCAGTCAAGCACACTCACACACACCACACACACGCGCTCTCAACTGTTCTCTCTCACACATACACAGTCACTCACTCAAAATCAGAGATATATGATCACACAAACACCCACACCCTTCTACTGAGCCGACTGGGTTTATGTGTGGACTTCTCTCCTCCCGGCCTGGCGACAGCAGCAGACCATGTGACTCTATGCTAGCCAATGTAGTTGTAGGGTAGAGTCAGCCAGGGTCCTGCCAGGCACAGAGTTAAACTTGTCCTGTGGAAGGAAGTCTGGAAACAGAGGGAGAAAGGGAAGAAGAGGAGACTGAAGGAGGGATGGAGGAGGAGACTGAAGGAGGGATGGAGGAGGAGACTGAAGGGGGGATGGAGGAGGAGACTGAAGGAGGGATGGAGGAGGAGACTGAAGGAGGGATGGAGGAGGAGACTGAAGGAGGGATGGAGGAGGAGACTGAAGGAGGGATGGAGGAGGAGACTGAAGGAGGGATGGAGGAGGAGACTGAAGGAGGGATGGAGGAGGAGACTGAAGGAGGGATGGAGGAGGAGACTGAAGGAGGGATGGAGAGGAGACTGAAGGAGGGATGGAGGAGGAGACTGAAGGAGGGATGGAGGAGGAGACTGAAGGAGGGATGGAGGAGGAGACTGAAGGAGGGATGGAGGAGACTGAAGGAGGTGAGAGGAGGGATGGAAGGAGGATGAGAGGAGACTGAAGGAGGGATGGAGGAGGAGACTGAAGGAGGAGGGAGGAGACTGAAGGAGGATGAGAGGAGACTGAAGGAGGGATGGAGGAGGAGACTGAGTGGGATGGAGGAGTGAGACTGAAGGGAGGATGGAGAGACTGAGGATGGGATGGAGAGAGACTGAAGGAGGGATGGAGGAGGAGACTGAAGGAGGGATGGAGGAGGAGACTGAAGGAGGATGCTCTCAGCATGCTGCTGTTCTGAGAAGCTGGGCGTCTGTTAAGTGTTAAGAGCGAGTGAAGACAGAAGGACCGAGTATGGTGGTCAGTGTCGCTAGCCAGTGAAGAGTGGATGAAGACGCTCTGTAAATGAGCAGCCCAGGAAGGGCCAAGAGAAGGACACCAACATAAGAGAGGGGGAGAGAGAGGAGGTAACTTGTGGTATGTTCGTTACAGATGCTGTTTTGAATTAAAGAAAATTGTACCTCCACACTGAAGAAGCCTGTAAAGCCGAAACGTCTGTGTACGCTATCCCTGATGCAGTGAAACGTCTGTGTACGCTATCCCTGATGCAGTGAAACGTCTGTGTACGCTATCCCTGATGCAGTGAAACGTCTGTGTATGCTATCCCTGATGCAGTGAAACGTCTGTGTATGCTATCCCTGATGCAGTGAAACGTCTGTGTACGCTATCCCTGATGCAGTGAAACGTCTGTGTACGCTATCCCTGATGCAGTGAAACGTCTGTGTATGCTATCCCTGATGCAGTGAAACGTCTGTGTACGCTATCCCTGATGCAGTGAAACGTCTGTGTACGCTATCCCTGATGCAGTGAAACGTCTGTGTATGCTATCCCTGATGCAGTGAAACGTCTGTGTATGCTATCCCTGATGCAGTGAAAATCATTAATAACATTGAATAATGAAGAAAGCTTTATGCTACATCTTTTTGAGTGTGAACCCATTACATCTCTTTGCATTTCAAAGTGAGGCCCGAGAGCGGCTTTTGAAACTATGCATGCACCCTGTACGAATGTAATTAGAAATGTAACACTAGCCATAACCAATTACCAGCTGTAATCCTAACATTAAGGGTTTAGGGAGTGCTCCTAATCTCAGCTTGTTACCTGTATAAAAGACACCTGTCCACAGAAGCAATCAATCAGATTCCAAACTCTCCACCATGGCCAAGACCAAAGAGCTCTCCAAGGATGTCAGGGACAAGATTGTAGACCTACACAAGGCTGGAATGGGCTACAAGACCATCGGCAAGCAGCTTGGTAAGAAGGTGACAACAGTTGGTGTGATTATTCGCAAATGGAAGAAACACAAAAGAACTGTCAATCTCCCTCGGCCTGGGGCTCCATGCAAGATCTCACCTCGTGGAGTTGCAATGATCATGAGAACGGTGAGGAATCAGCCCAGAACTACACGGGAGGATCTGAAGGACTGAAATCCTGCAGCGCCCGCAAGGTCCCCCTGCTCAAGAAAGCACATATACAGGGCCGTCTGAAGTTTGCCAATGAACATCTGAATGATTCAGAGGAGAACTGGGTGATGTGGTCAGATGAGACCAAAATGGAGCTCTTTGGCATCAACTCAACTCGCCGTGTTTGGAGGAGGAGGAATGCTGCCTATGACCCCAAGAACACCATCCCCACCGTCAAACATGGAGGTGGAAACATTATGCTTTGGGGGTGTTTTTCTGCTAAGGGGACAGGACAACCTCACCTCATCAAAGGGACGATGGACGGGGCCATGTACCGTCTAATCTTGGGTGAGAACCTCCTTCCCTCAGCCAGGGCATTGAAAATGGGTCGTGGATGGGTATTCCAGCATGACAATGACCCAAAACACACGGCCAAGGCAACAAAGGAGTGGCTCAAGAAGAAGCACATTAAGGTCCTGGAGTGGCCTAGCCAGTCTCCAGACCTTAATCCCATAGAAAATCTGTGGAGGGAGCTGAAGGTTCGAGTTGCCAAATGTCAGCCTCAAAACCTTAATGACTTGGAGAAGATCTGCAAAGAGGAGTGGAACAAAATATCTTCTGAGATGTGTGCAAACCTGGTGGCCAACTACAAGAAACGTCTGACCTCTGATTGCCAACAAGGGTTTTGCCACCAAGTACTAAGTCATGTTTTGCAGAGGGGTCAAATACTTATTTCCCTCATTAAAATGCAAATCAATTTATTAAATTTTTGACGTGTTATTCTGTCTCTCACTGTTCAAATAAACCTACCATTAAAATTATAGACTGATCATGTCTTTGTCAGTGGGCAATGTACAAAATCAGCAGGGGATCAAATACTTTTTTCCCACATGGTACTAGCGACTACGGTGCGGCACTGCAGAGAGCATCTCACTTTCATAAGCAGATGTGACCATCTTCTATAGGTTAATCACCTGTCACACTTGCCTCCCCTGAATTGCAATTTAGATTGGTTTGTTGCTAGCGCAGCATCTGACCTGAGGGGTAACTACACCGCTTCCTTTCCCCATCTTCTCCATTCATGAGCATGAAAGGATTGGCTAGGATCCACCACCTTACTTTTACCTTGGAAGTCCTATGGGGACACCGCCCGAGAGTGTTCACATCAGATGAATGGTGCTGCGCTTGTAAAGGGTTGGCCAAGCTGTCAATTCAAACTTTACACGGCAGCGCTCTCGAGGGGACTCGATTCTCATTCATCATGCTGCCATAGACTTTGAGTGAATGCAGGCCAATGAAGGCGTGTTAGTGGTGATGGGTGTTGGCTAGCACCATGCATGTCAATGACCAAGGGCACTAGGACTGCTGTAAGTGGCCAATGCTGTTAAGGGCTGCTGTACCATGGACAAGGGAGGTACAGGACATGGCTGACTTGTGCACTAGATGCATATCATTTGAGGTAGAACTCTCTTGTGTCTGGTCCCCCCTCCCCAGGACCGTAAGATGCTGTCCACGGCCCAGCAGATGCTTCAGGACAGCCGCACCAAGATTGAGCTGCTCCGCATGCAGATTGTGAAAGTCACCCAGGCCAGAGAGGGGGAGCGGGAAGCCACAGAGACAGACGGTGAGATGTACACAACCTGTGTGTGTGTGTGAGCTTGTTTGTCCTTTGCCATGTCATTGTCTTGGTTATACACTACATGGCCAAATATATGTGGACACCCCTTCAAATTAGTGGATTCAGCTATTTCAGCCACACCCGTTGCTGACCGGTGTATAAAATCGAGCACACAGCCATGCAATCTCCATAGCTAAACATTGGCAGTAGAATGGCCTTATTGAAGAGTTCCGTGACGTTCAACATGGCACTGTCATAGAGTCCCACCTTTCCAACAAGTCAGTTTGGCAAATTTCTTCCCTGCTAGAGCTGCCCCGGTCAACTGAAAGTGCTGTTATTGTGAAGTGGAAACGTCTATGAGCAACAACGGCTCAGCCGCAAAGTGATAGGCCACACAAGCTCACAGAACACGACCGCCGAGTGCCGTAGAGTGTAAAAATTGTCTGTCCTCGGTTGCAACACTCACTACAGAGTTCCAAAATGCCTCTGGAAGCAACGGTAGCACAATAACTGTTTGTCGAGAGCTTCATGAAATGGGTTTTCCATGGCCGAGCAGCCGTCCACAAGCCTAAGATCACCATGTGCAATGCCAAGCGTCGGCTGGAAGTGGTGTAAAGCTCGCCGCCATTGGACTTTGGAGCATTGGAAACGTGTTCTCTGGAGTGATGAATCATGCTTCACCATCTGGCAGTCCGACGGACAAATCTGGGTTTGGCGGCTGCCAGGAGAACGCTACCTGCCCCAATGCATTGTGCCAACTGTAAAGTTTGGTGGAGGAGGAATAATGGCCTGGGGCTGTTTTTTCATGGGTTCGGGCTAGGCCCCTTAGTTCCAGTGAAGGGAAATCTTAATGCTACAGCGTACAATGACATTCTATACGATTCTGTGCTTCCAACTTTGACAGTTTGGGAAAGGCGCTTTCCTGTTTCAGCATGACAATGCCCCCGTGCACAAAGTGAGGTCCATACAGAAATGGTTTATCAAGATCGGTGTGGAAGAACTTCACTGGCCTACACAGAGCCCTGACCTCAACCCCATCGAACACCTTTGGAATGAATTGGAACGCCAACTGCGAGCCAGGCCTAATCGCTCAATGTCAGTGCTCAACCTCACTAATGCTCTTGTGGCTGAATGGAAGTAAGTCCCCGCAGCAATGTTTCGTGGAAATCCTTCCCAGAAGAGTGGAGGCTGTTATAGCAGCAAAGGGGAGACCACCTCCATATTAATGGCCATGATTTTGGAATAAGATGTTCGACGAGTAGGTGTCCACATACTTTTGGTAATGTTGTGTGTTTTTCCCAAGTGCCATTCTTTTTATTGTTAGTTCACTGGTGAATGCTCACCCATTCCTCCTCTCCCTCCCTACAGGCCGTCCCTCTGAGACGATCAGTCCTCTAGAGCTGCGGGTGGCTGAGCTACGGCACCACCTGAAGATTGAGGCTGCCGTGGCAGAGGGGGCCAAGAACGTGGTCAAGCACCTGGGCGGGCGCAAGGTGCAGGACCGCCGGGCGCTGGCAGAGGTAGGGCACCAGGATATAACTGAGGTCTTTCGAGGAAATCTGGTAAATGCAGGTCTGATTCCTTTTAGGTTGCAGCTTAAAGATGGAATCTGCAGTAGGGGGAAACGGCGCCACTGTCCGTCCTACGGACATTGTTATTGTTTTTAGTTTTTTTGACGAAGCAGAGGTGGGGAGCATTGCGCATCAAGGTAAAAACAAATAATAATGGCAGTACATATGCTGCTGTTCCATGCAATGATGTCAGAGGGGGGAAAATAGTTGTTTATGTGTGTGTTTGTGCTCATGTATGTGACTATATGTATGTTCCCCAGGCCCAGACTAGGCTGCAGGAGTCGTGCCAGAAGCTGGACCTGCTGCGTCTGTCTCTGGAGCGCCGTCTAGTTGAGCTGCCCGGGGACCACCCCAAACTGGCCGTTATCAAGGAGGAGCTCATCCTGGGTGCCTCCTCGCCCTCCCTGGGTCTGCAGCTGGAGCGCCTCAACTCCACCTCCTCTTCCTGCTCCTCGTCCTCCTTCTTCAAACCTGCCACTCTCACAGGTAACTGACAGCGTTGTTACTCTATGCTACAGCGGCCTGGTTTAGTTAACTATTCAAAATGTGTGTGGTACTTTGTTGGGTCTCGTGTTATTTTTGTATGGTAACGTTACAATTTGATATTTTGTTGTCATATAGTATATTGATGTGACCCTGAACGAAAGTACTCATGAAAAGACCATTACAAAATGTGTGTATGCCCTTGTATAAAGTGGAGCCAAGGACATGGAGTTTGAATGACTTTCTCAGGGCAGTAAGCCTGAAGTAATGTTCCCTGTATGTTGTCTCTCCTCTCTCCAGGGCGGTTGGAGGTGCGTCTGATGGGCTGCCAGGACCTGCAGGAGTCAGTGCCAGGTCGGTGCCGCATGGCCTGCATCACCTCAACCCCAGGCAGCCCCTCAGAGGCCAAGTCCCTGAAGATGAGGGCCGGTCTCTCCGGACGCAGCACCAACGGCAAAGTCACCAAGACCGACGAGCTCTCCCGTGAGTCTATACTAGTCCTATACAAATGTTTTACATTTTCATTACTCCCATAAAAAGTCATGTAAAACATGCAAATATTTCATACTCTGATATCGTTCATGTTCAGGGACAAGGAGTGGTAATTTGCTTACTAACAGGGTGTCCGCAGGTCCTTAAGTCTTATTCATTTATCTGATTTTTAAAGGCCTTAATATGTTTTAAAAGGTCTTAAAATCTGCGACAGAGATGACTACAGTGTTTCCATTATGTGCCGCTGCTTAATTTTTCCAATGAAAAAAACGGAAATAATACTTTTCGCACTTTCAAGAAGTTAGAGAGCTATCCAACCACACGTTGGAGAGCTATCCAACCACACGTTGGAGAGCTATCCAACCACACGTTGGAGAGCTATCCAACCACACGTATGCTACTACATTCATTAGGCTACAGGAAAATGCTCATTGCTAAAATAGCACACCTGCCTGATAATATGAGCCATGTAGGCTATAGCCAGCCCTAGAAATACTACTTATTGCCAATATGGGCTCATTTTAGGAGAGGAATATTAGCAGGTGTGTGGCGCGTGCAGACCTAAACATTTGTATTAAATTGCATTCCAAGTGGCACTAAAAAGGTCTTAAAGTCTTACATTCAACTTCATGGAACCTGCAGATACCCTGTACTAAGAGCAGAAATCCTCACCTAAGAAAAGTAGCTAAGGATATGGCCCTATTCTCTTTGGAATGAGAAGCATACAATCATTCGACCCAGAGTCTTTGGCTGTGGTAATTTAGTATCCCAGTCAGTATCTGACTGGGACAGCTAGTGTGTGTCTGTGGAGGTGTACTGACTATCTGTCCCACTGTATGTTGTCCACAGCGGAGATCAGTGCGGTGCTGAAGGTGGACAACAGGATGGTGGGCCGGACACACTGGAGAGCCCTGAGCAAGGATGCCTGGGACCAGAGCTTCAGCATCGAGCTGGAGCGGGTCAGTGTTCTCTTTAACACCAGTAGGAGCAGTTCAAGCGTTCTATTCCTTTGCATGGAAACTGTATTCTCTCAAAGTAACACACTATAGGTGCCAAGAGTCATGTTAAATTGTGTAGAAATGCAGGAAATTAGCTTTAGATTGCAAAAATAATTCTGGGGGAGGAGCCCCAGACCCCCAGCCATCAGTTGTCCCCTACACATCTCAAAATCAAAGTTACCGGAACGCCACTTCCAAACAGTTGGTCTATCAATGGCACTCTTGTCTCATCGATGCTTAAATCTTCAGATGGAATGCTATTTTTTTTCATAATGATAGTAAATATTTGATAGGAGGATTTAAGTGTCTACTGTTGGATAGCAGACTGATAAAGACATGACCATCTTGCCCTCACGTACAAATGCCAGAAGCTTTCCTCCTTGATAATCTCCAGATCTAAAACGAATCACCTTCAGCTGCAGTCATCAAGCTCTAGAGTGCTCAGACAAACTGTCATCGTGGCCATCCAAAGGCCAGCAAGAGTCTCTGCTGGCTTTATCAACTCTCAGCTATTGGAAAGCAGTGAAGCAATCGCCCCTCTCTCATGCCTCCACTCCACCTCTGCAGATGTAATCCCACTGCTAATCCTTTAACACTTTCCACTCCTCTAAACCGTTGCCTCCAAAAGCCTGACATGGGTCTATGGTTCAGCTCCAAGACTACTTTCAGCTCCTAGCTCAAGGGCACACACTACTTTCAGTCCCCAGCTCCCAGCCTCTCAAGGCTCCACTAAGAGTCTTAAAATGGCACATCTGAGTCGCGCTGTACTGGTATTTTGGATTGTGCTGCGGAAAGCCTCAGGCTGGGGCTTTTTTAAAGCTAAACAAGATTAAATGTTATTTCTTGTAGAGGAAGATAAGGTGTTGCAGTGTGTGAAAATGTTCCCTTTTCCCCGCAAATCTATTTGTATTTCTTTCCCTAAAAATCGCTAACTAAAAGTATGTGTGTCCAGTCCAGGGAGCTGGAGATTGGGGTGTACTGGCGGGACTGGAGGGCTCTGTGTGGGGTCAAGTTCCTGCGTCTAGAGGACTTCCTAGACAACCAGCGCCACGGCATGTGTCTTTACCTGGAGCCCCAGGGCATGCTGTTCGCTGAGGTAACTAGCACCCTTATTTCACAATCAACATAAGACATTGTCACAATCACTATTATATATGCCACAATCAGTAATATGTCACAATCACTGGCCTTAATGGCCATGTACTCTTATAATCTCCACCCGGCACAGCCAGAAGAGGACTGGCCACCCCTCAAACCCTGGTTCCTCTCTAGGTTTCTGCCTTTCTAGGGAGTTTTTCCTAGCCACTGTGCTTCTACATCTGCATTGCTTGCTGTTTGGGGTTTTAGGCTGGGTTTCTGTATAGCACTTTGTGACATCTGCTGATGTAAAAAGGGCTTTATAAATACATTTGATTGATCACTATTTTATCACCATTAGACATTACAGGGCATTCGGAAAGTATTCAGACCCCTTTACTTTTTCCACATTTTGTTGCGTTACAGCCTTATTCTAAATGGATACAATTAATATTCTTCCCCATCAATCAACACAATACCCGATAATGACAAAGCGAGATTTTAGCATATTTATTACAAATAAACAAATACGTTATTTACATAAGTATTCAGACCCTTTGCTATGAGATTTGAAATTAAGCTCAGGTGCATCCTGTTTCCATTGATCATCCTTGAGATGTTTCTACAACTTGATTGCAGTCCACCTGTGGTAAATTCAATTGATTTGGAAAGGTTTGTCTATATATAAGGTCCCACAGTTGACAGTGCATGTCAGAGCAAGAATCAATCCATTTTGACCCCCCCTTTGTTCAGGGACACATTATTCAATTTCTGTTAGTCACATTTATTTATTTATTTATTTTTAGTCATTTAGCAGACGCTCTTATCCAGAGCGACTTACATGAGCAATTAGGGTTAAGTGCCTTGCTCAAGGGCACATCGACAGAGAAAGTGTATGTGGAACTTGTTCAGTTTATGTATGTTGTTGAATGTTGTTATGTTCATACAAATATTAACACATGTTACATTTGCTGAAAATTAAACGCGGTTGACAGTGAGAGGACATTTCTTTTTTTGTTACTTTCCACTAAGCTACCTGCCGCCCCAGGAATCAACACCATCTCTTCTAGATTATGCTACCTGACCACAACAATCACCACTATACAATCACCACTACAACCACAGTTAACCATTGTTTTACTGTTTTAATTTTAGGTGACATTCATCAACCCTGTCATTGAGTGGCATCCTAAGCTTCAGAGACAGAAGCGCATATTCCCTAAAGAAAAAGGTATATGTTCCTGATATTTTCCAATATACAGTGCGGAAAAAAAGTATTTAGTCAGCCACCAATTGTGCAAGTTCTCCCACTTAAAAAGATGAGGGCCTGTAATTTTCATCATAGGTACACGTCAACTATGACAGACAAAATGAGAAAATAAAATCCAGATTTTTTTTAAATGAATTTATTTGCAAATTATGGTGGAAAATAAGTATTTGGTCAATAACAAAAGTTTCTCAATACTTTGTTATATACCCTTTGTTGGCAATGACACAGGTCAAACGTTTTCTGTAAGTCTTCACAAGGTTTTCACACACTGTTGCTGGTATTTTGGCCCATTCCTCCATGCAGATCTCCTCTAGAGCAGTGATGTTTTGGGGCTGTCGCTGGGCAACACGCATTTTCAACTCCCTCCAAAGACTTTCTATGGGGTTGAGATCTGGAGACTGGCTAGGCCACTCCAGGACCTTGAAATGCTTCTTACGAAGCCACTCCTTCGTTGCCCGGGCAGTGTGTTTGGGATCATTGTCATGCTGAAAGACCCAGCCACGTTTCATCTTCAATGCCCTTGCTGATGGAAGGAGGTTTTCACTCAAAATCTCACGATACATGGCCCCATTCATTCTTTCCTTTACACGGATCAGTCGTCCTGGTCCCTTTGCAGAAAAACAGCCCCAAAGCATGTTTCCACCCCCATGCTTCACAGTAGGTATGGTGTTCATTGGATGCAACTCAGCATTCTTTGTCCTCCAAACACGACGAGTTGAGTTTTTACCAAAATATATATTTTGGTTTCATCTGACCATATGACATTCCCCCAATCCTCTTCTGGATCATCCAAATGCACTCTAGCAAACTTCAGACGGGCCTGGACATGTACTGGCTTAAGCAGGGGGACACGTCTGGCACTGCAGGATTTGAGTCCCTGGTGGCGTAGTGTGTTACTGATGGTAGGCTTTGTTACTTTGGTCCCAGCTCTCTGCAGGTCATTCACTAGGTCCCCCCGTGTGGTTCTGGGATTTTTGCTCACCGTTCTTGTGATCATTTTGACCCCAAGGGGTGAGATCTTGCGTGGAGCCCCAGATCGAGGGAGATTATCAGTGGTCTTGTATGTCTTCCATTTCCTAATAATTGCTCCCACAGTTGATTTCTTCAAACCAAGCTGCTTACCTATTGCAGATTCAGTCTTCCCAGCCTGGTGCAGGTCTACAATTTTGTTTCTGGTGTCCTTTGACAGCTCTTTGGTCTTGGCCATAGTGGAGTTTGGAGTGTGACTGTTTGAGGTTGTGGACAGGTGTCTTTTATACTGATAACAAGTTCAAACAGGTGCCATTAATACAGGTAACGAGTGGAGGACAGAGGAGCCTCTTAAAGAAGAAGTTACAGGTCTGTGAGAGCCAGAAATCTTGCTTGTTTGTAGGTGACCAAATACTTATTTTCCACCATAATTTGCAAATAAATTCATTAAAAATCCTACAATGTGATTTTCTGGAATTTTTTCTCTCAATTTGTCTGTCATAGTTGACGTGTACCTATGATGAAAATTACAGGCCTCTCTCATCTTTTTAAGTGGGAGAACTTGCACAATTGGTGGCTGACTAAATACTTTTTTCCCCCACTGTATCATGACATGGGAAACCGATCGAACTGTCTTTAGCTGCCTTTACCCGGTACCACAACCTGGCTTCAACACAACCTGTAAATGACTACTGACATCACATCCTGTTTTCTCAGGGAAGAACTTCCTGCGGGCGGCCCAGATGAACATGAACTTTGCCACGTGGGGGCGTCTGATGATGAGCGTCCTGCCCCCCTGCAATGGTTCCTTGCAGGCCATGAGCCCCCCGCTGGTGGGCTCCGACATGGCCGTCACCTCGCCCCCCTCCATGGAGAAGATGGCCAAGTCCACCCCCCCTCCACTACGGTAAGGGTACACCCAGGCCCCCCTCCACTAAGGTAAGGTGGGGGTACACCCAGGCCCCCCTCCACTAAGGTAAGGGTACACCCAGGCCCCCCTCCACTAAGGTAAGGTGGGGGTACACCCAGGCCCCCCTCCACTAAGGTAAGGGTACACCCAGGCCCCCCTCCACTAAGGTAAGGTGGGGGTACACCCAGGCCCCCTCCACTAAGGTAACGGTACACCCAGGCCCCCTCCACTAAGGTAAGGGTACACCCAGGCCCCCTCCGCTAAGGTAAAGTAGGTAGGTACACCCAGGCCCCCTCCGCTAGGCTAAGGTAGGTAGGTACACCCAGGCCCCCTCCACTAAGGTAAGGTGGGGGTACACCCAGGCCCCCTCCACTAAGGTAAGGTGGGGGTACACCCAGGCCCCCTCCACTGAGGTAAGGTGGGGGTACACCCAGGCCCCCTCCACTGAGGTAAGGTGGGGGTACACCCAGGCCCCCTCCACTAAGGTAAGGTGGGGGTACACCCAGGCCCCCTCTTAAGACCAACTGTAACATTGATTTTGTGGCCCACATATTCACAAATAGTCTCAGAATAGGAGGGCTGGTATAGGATCACTTTTGTCTTTAAGATCATAATAACTAGGAGTATGGACAGGGGGGGCCTGATCCTAGATCAGCTTGCAAGTCAAGCATTTCACTGTACTTGTGCATGTGACAATAAAACTCTGACAGTGGTATTGATTACAGTAATGAAAATGGAAATATTTTCTGGAGGCTAGTTCTGTCGTTGCAGAGATTCTGCGGTGGTGAAACTGGACTTCAGTGAGGAACGCCCCACCAAGTCCCTGCAGAACAACGTGGGGAAAACTCCCACATCAGAATCCATGTGGCAAACCACTCTCTCTCAGGTAGGAGACTAACAGGAAAAACAACAATTTTTTAAAACTATATATTATGTTTCATGAGCGCTACAAAGTCTCCGCTCATAGTTTCACACGTAGAAATAGGATTGCGTTCTAGCCATTCTGTTTAAATGGTCTCACTTTCCCAGCGAATTTGCAGTTCCACAGCATTTAGGGGCTCGTCCACTCATGTTTCTGTGGAGTATCAAATGTCTCCGTCTTCAGGTTATTTTTGTTCTCTCTCTCTCTCCCTTCCCTCAGTCCTCCAAAGGTCATTCAACCGAGGATAACAGGCCATCACCCAAGCTAAGGACTGTATCTCAGCCCACTCCTAAGTATGTCCCACTCACTCAGTATAACCACCTCCTACACACACACACAGCAGTAACCCAAATCCACTACTTATTATTTAAGCCCCGTCAGGACTGGAAGTTATGTTTGTTATCTAACCCCCCTCCCTCTTTCACGTTCCCTCCTTCTTGTTTGTTTTGTGTTCAGGAGGAAAGTGAAGGGTGGGATGCAAATGGAAGATTTCAACTGCATCTCGGTTCTGGGACGAGGACACTTTGGAAAGGTACTGTCACACTCCCAACCCAAGGCCCTCATACCTAAGAAGGGAACGTTTTATTTAGTTACACTGGGTTGTATTCATTTAAAACATATTTTGCAAAGGAAAGCAAAAAGTCCAAGTAGTCCCTCCTTGTTTTCTTCTGTTCGGTGTTCACGACCTGCTCACTGTGTGTTGCACCTAAATCCTTCCACCCTCCCCACTGCCCCAAGGTCTTGCTGGCAGAGTTCAAGAGGTCAGGCAAACTGTATGCCATCAAAGCCTTGAAGAAAGGGGACGTTGTGACGCGTGATGAAGTGGAAAGGTGAGCGAGACCAGTGAGTGTATTTAGACATATCACAGGTTGAGCAAACAGGATCAGAAAGACTCTAGCAGTTGCATTCCACCTAAAATTTACCGTTTTTTTGTTTGTGTGTTCGTTCTTTCTTGTGTGCATGTCTGTGATTTAGTCTAATGTGTGAGAAGAGGATCTTTGAGACGATCAACTCCTCCCACCATCCCTTCCTGGTGAATCTGCACGGCTGTTTCCAGACGGCGGACCACGTGTGCTTTGTGATGGCGTACTCCCCCGGGGGAGACCTCATGACCCACATACACACCAGCATCTTCACTGAGAGACAGGCTCAGTAAGCCTTACGCAACACACACACACACAACACAGACACAGGCCTCATTAGGACAGCGACCTAAGTGTGAAGCATTGCAATTCCAGGCTGTAAGGCAACAAAATATGCAAATAATGCAAGGGGCGTGTACATTTTCTACAGGCACTACGAACATGTGACTACAAATGGATAATGCAGGCTAGTCTAATTTTCATAGAAAGGGTACAGTAGTGAGTACGAGCTTTAGAGTTGGTGATGTATCTGAACTCACCGTTATGTGTGCCTTGTTTAGGTTCTATGCCTCCTGCGTGCTGCTGGGACTAGAGTTTCTGCACCAGAACAAGATCGTTTACCGGTGAGTAAGTTCTCTCAGCGCTGCTTTCCAGCCCTCCGCTTTCATACACACCTAAGAACCTACCTGTGGGTCATTCTTTCCCGACAATGCAGTTATCAATAGTACTATAAAACATTTATTAAGTCAAGTAGAACAAAAACACACAAGAAATAGAAATAAGAACACGAGAAAGTAGGAAAGCTATATACAGGATCAGATCCTTCTTAGTGTCTCATTTCATCCTGTGTCATCTTTCTCACCTCTCTTCTCTCTCAGGGATCTGAAGCTAGACAACCTGTTGATGGACGCAGATGGCTATGTGAGGATAGCAGACTTTGGATTGTGCAAGGAAGGTACGTACGGTACATTATGGTTATGGAATTCCCTTTGAGACCCACTGTCCCACCCACTCACTTGGTTTATCAAAATGAACAGTCTGTGTTAATGCCGCCAGTGTTATTAATCAATGATTTAGGTTGCACTTTAATTCAGTTATTCGCTTTTAGCCCTGTGCTAAGCAACACCTCACTATTTAGAAGTGGGACAACAGCGTCAAGCTTGCTGTCTTGATGCACACCCCTCCAATCCTTCTAAATAGTTCAATTTCCCCCTCCTGTGTGTGTGTGTGTGTGTGTGTATCTGCAGGTATGGGTCATGGAGATCGCACCTCCACGTTCTGCGGCACGCCAGAGTTCCTGGCCCCCGAGGTGCTGACAGACAACAACTATACCCGCTGTGTGGACTGGTGGGGCCTGGGTGTCCTCATCTACGAGATGCTGGTGGGAGAGGTCAGTAGAATAGAGATGATAAATGGAACCTAGAGGATCTTTCTGGTCAGTTGGCTCACAGGTCCACTCCTATGGTGAATCTGCCAAGTATTTTGAGTTTGAGGTCTTGGTTGAATTTACATGTTTGGTCCAGAGAAATTCACAGAGAAACCTAAAGGATGTTTCTGGTCAGTTGGCTCACAAGGTCCAATCATATGGTGAACCCATTAAGTATTATTCTGATGATTGGTCTTGATTTAATGAAGATGTTTCCGGATGCTAAGGAGTGAGTTTGGTTGGACTTTTGTTGCGCTCTCTCTTTCTCCTCTCGTCTGTGGCAGTCTCCCTTCCCTGGTGACGATGAGGAGGAGGTGTTTGACAGCATAGTGAATGATGAGGTGCGCTACCCCAGGTTCCTCTCGCCAGAGTCTGTCTCCATCACCCAGAAGGTATGTGGGCCATCCTCTCGGTATACTGCCTTGTACAATTCAGGATACAGGTTACCTCTTTATTTATTTTTTATGTTTTTCTGAATCAACAACAAACTGCATTGCAAGTACACTAAATGAAAACTGAGGGGGAAAAAACATACAAAGATGCACAGTGGGGGGGCGGAGACTGAGCCGGTGGGGGGGGCGGAGACTGAGCCGGTGGGGGGGGCGGAGACTGAGCCGGTGGGGGGGGCGGAGACTGAGCCGGGGGGGGGGGGGGGAGACTGAGCCGGGGGGGGGAGACTGAGCCGGGGGGGGGCGGAGACTGAGCCGGGGGGGGGGGGGGGGGGGGGCGGAGACTGAGCCGGTGGGGGGGCGGCAACTGAGCCGGTGGGGGGGGCGGCGACTGAGCCAGGCTTTCCTATTGTGCTGCAGTTACTGCAAAAGAACCCTGAGAGGCGACTGGGATCAGGAGAGCCGGATGCCAACGAGGTCAAGAAACACAGGTTCTTCCAGGTAAAAACGAGCTTAATTTGTGGCCTTTGGGTCATTTCAATTCAGTTGAGCATCACCAAGATTTTGGTATAATACATTTTGATGTATAATTTTGTTGATCCCAGGGAGTGGACTGGGAGGCCTTGCTTCACAAAAAAGTGGTTCCCCCGTTCTTCCCGCACATCAAGACGCCAGGGGACGTCAGTAACTTTGACGAGGAGTTCACAAAGCTCAAGCCAGTCCTCACCCCCCCACAGACACCCTACTTTCTCACTGCAGACCAACAGGAGATCTTTGCCGATTTCGACTTCTCCTCGCTGCACTGACCTTTAAACATACACATGTATACACTGACGAATGGACGGACAGGACTGAAAGCCAAAACGGTTGCTGCTCCACTGAAGCTGGTTCCTTTACTTCACTGTGTCAAACGGCTACCTGTGGCTGAATGAGTACTGACGACACAGGCTACCGTGATGTCCTCTTGGGTAGCCATATCTCTTCAGGGCCGTTACTGTTCATATGATCTGTGGGTGATGATGAGTACTCCACCTGAATCTCTACAGCCAATCAGAACTGGGAGCTCGGCCTGCCGATGAGACCCCAGTCAGTTACACAGTGCTGTAGAAAGGGACTCCTCATCCATGTGAGTGTCAGCCACTGAACACGGTCTTCCATTTCTCTGCCTTGTTCAAATCTGGATTGGTATGTCAGTGTCTATTTGTGTGTTGGCTTTTATTACTACTGTACTGTAGCCATTTTTTTGTTTTGCTTTTGTCTTTAAGAGATTCCCGCTCCATATTAATAGTATATTAACTAGGTTCGACATTGATATTGCCGAATCAATACTTGACATGCCACTGTTTTGGTGCTGTGTCAACACTAATCAATAGGCCATTTGCTGCACTTTCTTATTAATTTGTGAAACTAAACAAGAGTACTTTGTTTCAAACATTGCACCAAAAAATTGGTTCTAATTAGAAGGTTATGCATGACCAGCACCTCCTAGCACTACACTCCAATTGTAAGAATATTTTCTGTAAATCAAGATATTTTTCTATTTATTGTAACCCCACTGCTGTCTTGGATCTAACACTGTGATTATAGTGACTGATGTTTGTATGTTTAGCCTGGGAATCCAAACTGAATCGCCATTCATTCCTAGGCAAGTGTATGTTATCTTAATGGAGGAAACGGTCCCTGAAGCTGTTTAAAAACACTGTGTATTGTGCTACTTTATAATCAACATATTCCATGGGTCCATCTTGGGCTGGTTTAGGCCATTCAATGTCATGTTGAAACTGACATGATCCTGAAGTACCTTTCTAAAAAAAACTAGTAATTGTAAGTAAACTTTTGGAAGCATTATACAGTTTAAGTATTCCTAAGGAGTAATTTTTATTCCATTCCAGTCATGAGTATGTTGCCATTTATATATTGTATTTCATATGAATGTACATGCTAAAATATATGCTGTGAATTACAATGAAAAATATACTGTGTCTAGAGGTGAAACAAATACGTTTTTCTTTACAATGCATTACGGAAATGTAAATTAATAAATATATCTACTGGACTCTTGAAACATTTTTCAGAAATAAACCATTTAATTCAATTTATTCATAGGATTACTGCGGCAGGTAGTTTAGTGGTTAAAAGCGTTGTGCCAGTAACCGAAAGATCGCAGGTTCTAATCCCCGAGCCGACTAGGTGAAAAATCTGTCGATGTGCCCTTGAGCAAGGCACTTAACCCTAATTGCTCCTGTAAGTCGCTCTGGATAAGAGCGTCTGCTAAATGACGTAAATGTAAAATGTATTCAAAATATTTATTTTTTTAATCATACATTATTTTATTCAGAAACAGTTCACACTGAAACCAACACTCTCAAGGCCAAACATTAATGTATATAAAATCGCATCACTCATCTTCAAATTCTACTGGAAGAGACAAAGATTTTCCAATACTATAAAAAGTAGACCATATTACCATTATTGCTTATTTCTGTTTTTCAATGCTCTCCTATTGGATAAGCTAACGCTTGAGTTGGGGAACACGCAACATTGCATTGCTTCCTTATTTTAACTAAGATATGTCTTCGCTATTCTAGTTCTCTACGATTATTCCTAAAGTTACTAAAAACTAGAAATGTACAAATCTAATGCAAACTTTTTTTGTTCCAAAAATGGACATTAAAAAAAAAGTGATTTGCATCGAGTGATAAATACCAGTTTACAAAAATAGTTGTATGACATTCTGTCAATTTGGAAAACCGAGATGATCAATTATTGTAGTGAATGATTAGGCAAGTATGGGGTGTAATCACCCAAGGTCATCTCTCAAACCACCTGTTGATACAACCAATTGTGTGCTTTTCACATTTACTATACTTTAACATTATTCAGGTTTATAATAGAATCTCAAATGCCTTACTACTGTTTTATAAGGGGTGTTATAATTTGGCAGTGGATAATGTTACTCCAATTATATGTATATCATTTCATTAACATTTTAGTTATTAATTTGCCATCAAATAACTGCTTTGCTTTCATATAAACCCTGTTGCTTTCATATAAACCCTGTTGCTTTCATATAAACCCTGTTGCTTTCATATAAACCCTGTTGCTTTCATATAAACCCACTACAGCTTTGAGCTGTAGTGCACACTTAAAACCTGACAGGCCTTTTTGTACAGATTCAATTACAGTAAACCAGACATTGAAAATGTGATATTGGTAACATTTCCATAAGCAAAAATACTAAAACGGTTAAGAATGTGTGTCTGGAAATCTAAAGGACTTGACTGACTAAGGGCTCTACTCAATCTGTATTGCTGAAGTATTACAGATTGCGTGCTAGAAATGTAAAGCTACATTTCCGATTTGAGCCGACAACATTGCCTTTCAATTTCAATTACGCTGTAAAGCTGAATTTCCACGATACGGATTGAATAGAGCCCTTAGTCAATCACCCACTTAGTGGCTACAGAGGCTCTGTCCATGCTGAGTCGATATTGGGGAAAGTACACCAACAAATAAAATCAGGCTCTAAAGAATAGACCAGTATGAAAAATGTATGCACTCACTAATTGTAAGTCGACTCTGGATAAGAGCGTCTGCTAAATGACTAAAATGTCAAGAGTATATGAAAGTACCTTTATACTGTATATAACAGTTGGTGTATAGCTTGTAATAGCTTAGTAAACTCAGGGAATAGTACAACAGGCCATAAGTGATTTGCATGCATCTGTTACCCTAACTGTCAAGGGCAGTATTTACCCAGGCATTCCAATTCTGATCTTTTTTTCACTCATTGGTCTTTTGACCAATCAGATCTGATGTGATTGGTCAAAAGACCAATTAGTGTAAAAAAATACCAGAATTGGGCTGCCTGTCTAAATGCAGCCAAGGAATGGCGTGATCTATTCTGTAAATGTGTTCCCTCACGCAGAAGAGTTCCCTCACTTAGCTGAAATTCCTAATACTACAAATTCCTAATATTTATAAGTTTTCTTTGGACAGAGGAGGACATTGGAGTAGGTGGGAGTGTCCCACTGGGCACACACTGGTTGAATCAATGTAGTTGTCACGTTATTTTAATGAAATTACGTTGAACCAACGTGGAATAGACATTCAGTTGATGTCTGTGCCCAGTGGGGTAGAAGAGTTTTCAAAGACGAGGGTAAATTGGAAGGATAGAAAATCAACATACCAAGACTAAGGATCTCACTACTATTCACAGCAATTAGCTTTCTAACCCAGAGAGAATATCTGACCTATTTGTTTCAGTAAAACTTTTCCTGTCTCTGACAAATACCTTTGTTCTTTCGTCAACTGACACAAATACCAGGATTGGGGTCAATTCCATTGAAATCCACTTACCTACTGAACTGGAATTTCTTGCAATCCTGGTTCCAATGAGTTTGGTCACAAACTGAAGCGATGAGAGGAGTCCATAGTTCATTTGGACATCTGTTTCATGTAAAGATCATAGAAATAGAATGAGTAGAATGGGCTTGGAAGTTCTTACCCTGACAATTTTACTGGTAACCCCATGGGTATGGCTGCCTAGTATTGTGATGCAATCATTTCCATGGTATTTTGGAGTGTTCTATCAACTGATGTTGGATTGCCATTGTAATGTAGAATGTTCATTCAAATCATGCTAACTGATGTGGCTCATGCAATAGATGCAGTAAAGGGGTCAATGGAACGCAGACCATTCCAATTACCAGATTGGCGCATGTTCCATAAATCTGAACTAACAAAGTGGATATTTGTCAAATCCTTCATGATTTATGTATTGTAAAAGGCCCACAATGTGGTTACTTAAGTCCGATGTGGATATATTTGGCTGTTTTCGCTGCATAACGTTTAGAAGTTGTCCCTTTTCAGGTTTAGAAGAAGTGACTGCTAAATGCTAACTCCCGTTTTGTATAAGCTGGTTAGCATACAAAAATCAATGGTGGTAGTCAGTCGTTTTTTAACTGTAATGCAGTTGATTGGTGTGGATGACAACGTGTGTTGGGGTACACATCCATACAAGATTTCTACCTCAATATAGTGTGAAATACACATAAACACTAGCCTAAATGTAGTGTTGGGATTTATTTTCTCATAATTGGATGGGATGACTAACTTAGAAGGAATGCATTAATGATAAGCATAGGTTTGTACTATACTGATATAAATTGTTTCACATAACAGGCTGTGATTCATGTAAGGAACGTTAGGGGGTAGGACAGATAAGACTTGTATACACTCTCTCTTTGTTGTCTGTGAAACCGTCCTTGAACGTAGGTACATAGAGTACAGATTGGAAGGGTGTCTTTTGGGTGCTGACTACAGGTTATTATGATAGCAACTTATGCCTGGGAACGGTGGAGCGCCAAGGGGTGGAGCGCCAAGGGGTTGGGACTAACCCGTGCGCCAACGGATTGGCTGAGTAAAGTCTAAACCACACTCAGTTTTTACTCTGATTGGCCAGCAGAGAGGTGGGAACTCTCTGTCAGAGTATTTGAAGAAGAACCTGTAACAATGGCTTAGTTCTCTGAGTGCCCTGCGTGGTATTTCAGTGGACCCGTATACGAACATCATATTTACCATTGAAGGTTTTGCATTAATTAAAATACTAGTATATCTTAGAAGTCGTGTTGACCTCTTTTGTCCCAAATACCAGATTTGAATTGACGCAAGTTAACAGTAGGCCACATTTTGCTGGGGGCAATGAGGAGATTCGGGATCTTTCCCCTACGCGTTTCCATGGCAATTCCATTGTGTTGCTCGAGTTCAATAGACCTCTTTACCGCGTCTATGTAATGTATTTTTTGTAATGTCAGTTGAGTTGACTCAACAAATCAAAGCACAGATTGAAGGGTACGCCTACACTTCCTGCTTTTACTTCCTGGCATGGGTATACTCAAAATGACAGCCATTCCACCCATTATGCCATCATTGAATTAAATGGAGACTCCTTTTCTATTCATTCTATTTTTATGGTAAAGATACTTCTAGAAAGGAGGACGTAAACACAATTGGAGGAAAAACGGGAAAGGCCGATTCTAGGGAAGGAATTAAGGCCTTGAGTGGACGGTGAGTTAGTTTGCGCATTGACTCATCAGATGGGGTCGCTGCCCTCCCAGAAGTACACCTGCTCCCACACTACAGCGCCCAAGACGCAGAAGAAGCCCCAGAGGTTGCGCAGCGCACCGCGGTCAAACGGGTTCTCGACGGCGCCGCAGTGCTTGAGGTAGGAGATGCGGTGCCTTGACATGAACTCCCAGGTGGTGGTGTTGAGGGAGACCAGGTAGATGTGGGAGCCCAGGAGTAGGAGCACCGTCGGGGAGAGCATCGCCGCCCCCAGCAGCACGCCATTGCCACACAGCCACAGCTGCCAGGTGGGTGCCGCAGTGAAGCATGACCCGCTTCACAGAAAACAAGAACTGAGATTGGCCACGCTCCCAAACAACAGTGCATAATATGATAAATGGAAGCAAAAATCATTTGTATTATCAAGTTCTTTGACCCTGGTCGTGGTGACCCATAGTGTGCAGATGTTTTTGTTCCAGCCCAGCACAAAAGCATATTGGCTGGAAGAAAACCCTGCACTGCAAACCTTGTGTGTCACCACCATATATATATGGTCACCACAACGACGATATATGTAACGGGATCTGAAGACTCATCTCCACTTACCAGGCCATGTGGAGGCCCCACAGCAGCACTAGCAGCTGGACAGCCAGGTAGAGCACAAACCAGCGGTGGTTCCACTCGCCCACGCAGTTCTCGATCAAGGGGCTGCTGCTGCTCAGGCGCAGAAATGGGAGAAGGTGTCACATAATGCTCTTACTGGTCATAAACTAGCCCACTGACCTGTACTCCTATCATATGCCAGTTATATGCCAGCAGCTTATCTTGCCATGACCACAATTTAGTGAGAATCTCTTATCAGAATGAAAGCAGATGGTGAGTGTCAGCCTCCTGAGAATATAGCATCACTCCTAATGTCACCTCAGGAATACATACACAGTAAATGAACAAAAATATAAACGCAACAATTTCAAATATTTTACTGAGTTACATTTCATATAAGGAAACCAATCAATTGAAATAAATGCATTAGGCTCTAATCTATGGATTTCACATTACTGGGCAGGGGTGCAGCCATGGGTGGCCCTGGGAGGGCATAGGCCCACCCACTTGGCAGCCAGGCCCGCCAATCAGAATGAGTTTTTCCCCACAAAAGGGCTTTATTACAGACAGAAATACTATTTTTAATTTTTTATTAGACTATTCCTTCAAATCGATGGGGAAATGTTAACGAATGGAAGTATATGCTAATTTACAGAATGTGGCTTTATGAGATTAGTACAACTATCCTACTCTTACCTTATAAAAAGGACCAATAAGGACCTTACTTCCAGTATTTATAAGGATGTTTCTGTCATAGAAAAATTTTGCATAAGAAAATTAAGGATTTGCTTATTTTATCAGCTACCTAATTGGCTGATTTGTCGATCATGTTGGTGGCACTGTTATGGTATGCATTACATACAGTGTAATAATGTATATATTATATATCCCGTGAATTAAAGCAGTGTAATGCATACAGCCGTCAGAAAATGTATAGCAGTGCTTGACTTGGGCCGGAGCTGTCTGCAGCGCAATACCGGCACTTCTAATTTTTTGGGAATTGAGTACCAGCTCCTCTATAAAACAAAGTAGTCTATCGCTGGCCCAGATTCACACACTGAGGCAAAAAAGATTAATCAAAGCGGAATATAGGCGGTATCTACTTTTAAATATGATCAATCACTTAAAAATATACATATCAGCCATTATCGGAATGAACCTTCAGTGCGTGTCTGTGTGTGCCAGTGCAAGTGGGCCGTTGCCAGAGGAGAGAGCACGACATTTTAGCAGCAGGTATAAAATAATGACAGACAACAGACTAACTAGATGAGCTGAAGCGCAGCTGGGTCATGCGACTTGTTCAGTCGGATAGTTGCTATTTCCGAGTAGCATATGAACGTAGCAACAAAAATGCAGTGTACTGGATGGAAACTGAATTAAGTTACCACTAGATGACAATATTGACTCATTTTCAACTGCATTATGATGATCAAAGGAGAGTGTCATCACTAGTTACCACAGCCACAAAGTCATAAACACATTTATCTTAACCCTATCCTTAACTACGCTGCTAACCTAATGCCTAACCTTAAATTAAGACCAAAAAGCTTATTTTAGTTTTCATGAATCTTTACAATATAGCCAATTTGCCATTAAACCCCTACAACTTATCCAGAACGCTGCAGCCCGTCTGGTGTTCGACCTTCCCAAGTTCTCTCATGTCACCCCGCTCCTCCGCATCCACCTCTGGCCTGCTAGCTCCCCTACCTCTACAGAAGCACAGTTCCCGCTCAGCCCAGTCAAAGCTATTTTTTGCTCTGGCACCCCAATGGTGGAACAAGCTCCCCCACGACGCCAGGACAGCGGAGTCACTGACCACCTTCCGGAGACACTTGAAACCCTACCCGCTCCATGATCTCGCCATCACGGTTGACAACTCCGTTGTGTCCTCCTCCCAGAGTGCAAAGAACCTTGGCGTGACCCTGGACAACACCCTGTCGTTCTCCGCTAACATCAAAGCGGTGACCCGATCCTGTAGGTTCATGCTCTACAACATTCGCAGAGTACGACCCTACTTTACACAGGAAGCGGCACAGGTCCTAATCCAGGCACTTGTCATCTCCCGTCTGGATTACTGCAACTCGCTGTTGGCTGGGCTCCCTGCCTGTAACATTAAACCCCTACAACTCATCCAGAACGCTGCAGCCCGTCTTCCCAAGTTCTCTCACGTCACCCCGCTCCTCCGCACACTCCACTGGCTTCCAGTTGAAGCCCGCATCTGCTACAAGACCATGGTGCTTGCCTACGGAGCTGTGAGGGGAACGGCACCTCTGTACCTTCAGGCTCTGATCAGTCCCTACACCCAAACGAGGGCATTGCGTTCATCCACCTCTGGCCTGCTGGCCCCCCTACCTCTGCGGAAGCACAGTTGCCGCTCAGCCCAGTCAAAACTGTTCGCTGCTCTGGCACCCCAATGGTGGAACAAGCTCCCTCAAGACGCCAGGACAGCGGAGTCACTCACCACCTTCCGGAGACACTTGAAACTCCACCTCTTTAAGGAATACCTGGGATAGGATTTTTCATTTTTCATTTTTTTAGTCATTTAGCAGACGCTCTTATCCAGAGCGACTTACATGAGCAATTAGGGTTAAGTGCCTTGCTTAAGGGATAAAAGTAATCCTTCTACCCCCCCCCCCCCCCCCCCCCCAAAGAAAAAGTGGTTGTCCCACTGGCTATCATAAGGTGAATGCACCAATTTGTGGGTCGCTCTGGATAAGACCGTCTGCTAAATGATGTAAATGTAAATGTAAAATGTGGACTTTGTGGCTGTGGTAACTACTGACAACCAAAGAGGAGCGGTAAAGAAAAATGTATAAAATAAAATATGCATTTCAGTCAAAGGCTGGGGTATAGAAAAGCTTTATAATTTCCACAGTTGCTTTGATCATTAACATGACACATTATACAAACAGGGTAAAAAAGGTTGATTCATTTCCTCAAAGTGTATAAAAAAGTAAAAACAATCATATGTATTATATTAGTTCCTTGGTATTAAGTTATCATGATTACAGTACTTGAGTTTTGCTTTATGAAGAACTTTTAGACCATTTCACTTTTCCAAATGCATATTGAAATGTGTATCCCGTTTAAATTAAGTCCATTAAATTAACTAAAAAAATGTGTATAATCAGAAGATAAACACAATGTGTCTTAAAGCGCTAGACTAATTTGATTCCTTTTAAGCAATAGATCATAGAAGAGTATGGGACTTAAACAACATTGTAAGGAGCACATTTGGATACAAAAATGTGGATACAAAAATGTCCTTGTAATTGCCAATGCATCTTTGTGCTCTGGTGCCGAATTCCAAACAGACCCTTTGTCCCTTTACCTCAGCACTTCATGAAAATATGAAAGGACCAGATAGTTATGAGTAGGGTTGTGGAATAACATGTAATCAGTTACGTTAGCAGAAAAAAATTATGTAATCAGATTACAGATACTTTAGAAAAACTAGATGATTACTTCGTGGATTACTTAAATTCAGAAAGGATTTTTGTGAGATAAAAAAATACATTATGACACCTTACAGTTTTTCTCAATTACATTCAATTAAGCATTGAAAAAAGGCGCAAGTTAAAGTTTGTTCCACCTGAGCGAGTCTGACCACAAGTCAGAGACCACTATGACGGCAGACCAAATGCGTTTGATGGATGCTTTTTGTCTTCTTCTAATGGCTCTTTTAAGGGGAAAGTAATCCAAAAGTAACAAAGTAATCAGATTACAGTACTGATTTTGGATAATCCAAAAGTTACGTTACTGATTTACAATTTTGGACAGGTAACTAGTAACGGATTACATTTAGAAAGTAATCTATCCAACCCTGGTTATGAGAAACATGCCATTAGGGGCCAACAAAGGGCTCCATTTTGAAATTCGGCCAAGGAATGAGCACCTCATATCAACAGGCCCAACTGCTCAAGAGGTAAGCCCATCTGATGGGAACAGTGTACTGTAGAGCTACTGGGCCTGGAGGAGTTCCTTTGCCCTGTCCTCATCCAGAAGGAAGGGGGTCGTCAGGGCCTTCTGTCCCAGCAGCTGCTCCAAACCCTGTGGGAGACAGACATGGAGAGAGCAGATATGGAGAGAGCAGCTTTAGTCTGCCATACTTGACAGAGCAGTTTAGACTGACTGGAGTCTGTGAGAGGGGACCATAATGCGATAGGTGTCCTTGTAATGATTTGCATGATCTATTCACACTAACTCCTCCCATACTTCGAGCGACATTTCCCTCATATAAGTGCATGTGCAGGGCATTTTTTTAAATTTGAGAGCCACGCACTTAGCTCAATTTTATTTGGTCCAAGTCTCCCATTGACATCAATGAAGGATTTATTTGAAAGTGTGCATTCAGAGTAAAAAATAAAAAATAACCACCACCCAAACAGAACACTTTCCTAATTTGCCATGAGTGCACATTAACAATATTAGAGTGGTGAAGTAACTGCTCCGTGTAGTGTAACCCTACAGAGAAGCTCAACACTGGACCATGCAGGTGACATTTTAATGGTCATATTGTTAGGAGACTCCAATAGCAGAAAATAAGGGCAGGAAGTGACATCACATAGGAACTGTTGTTGTGGCCTCACCTCTCCGAAGAAAGACACCAGCGGGGAGATCTCACAGACAGCTGGTGGGTCTTCATCCCTAACAAGAATGTGAAAAAGGAAATAGATCATTATCCCAATGGTTCAGGTGCTGGACAGAACAACATATTGGAAAAAATGAAGGATGCTTGCAATTTATAAACTCAGCAAAAAAAGAAACGTCCTCCCACTGTCAACTGCGTTTAGTTTCAGCAAACTTAACGTGTAAATAAACTCAGCAAAAAAAGAAACGTCCCTTTTTCAGGACCCTGTCTTTCAAAGATAATTAGTAAAAATCCAATTAACTTCACAGATCTTCATTGTAAAGGGTTTAAACACTGTTTCCCATGCTTGTACAATGAACCATAAACAATTAATGAACATGCACCTGTGGAATGGTCGTTAAGACACTTAACAGCTTACAGACGGTAGGCAATTAAGGTCACAGTTATGAAAACGTAGGACACTAAAGAGGCCTTTCTACTGACTCTGAAAAACACCAAAAGAAAGATGCCCAGGGTCACTGTTCATCTGCGTGAACGTGCCTTAGGCATGCTGCAAGGAGGCATGAGGACTGCAGATGTGGCCAGGGCAATAAATTGCAATGTCCGTACTGTGAGACGCCTAAGACAGTGCTACAGGGAGACAGGACGGACAGCTGATCATCCTCGCAGTGGCAGACCACGTGTAACAACATCTGCACAGGATCGGTACATCCAAACATCACACCTGCGGGACAGGTACAGGATGACAACAACAACTGCCCGAGTTACACCAGGAACGCACAATCCCTCCATCAGTGCTCAGACTGTCCTCAATAGGCTGAGAGAGGCTGGACTGAGGGCTTGTAGGCCTGTTGTTAGGCAGGTCCTCACCAGACATCACCGTCAACAACGTCACCTATGGGCACAAACCCACCATCGCTGGACCAGACAGGACTGGCAAAAAGTGCTGGCATCTTTGGCATCTTTCTTTTGTTGTTTTTCAGAGTCAGTAGAAAGGCCTCTTTAGTGTCGTACATTTTCATAACTGTGACCTTAATTGCCTACCGTCTGTAAGCTATTAGTGTCTTAACGACCGTTCCACAGGTGCATGTTCATTAATTGTTTATGGTTCATTGAACAAGTATGGGAAATAGTGTTTAAACCCTTTACAATGAAGATCTATGAAGTTATTTGGATTTTTACGAATTATCTTTGAAAGACAGGGTCCTGAAAAAGGGATGTTTCTTTTTTTGCTGAGTTTATAAACCCAACTGTGATTTATTGGTGAGATAAGCGCACACGTGTACACGCGCACACACACACACCCTCCAATCCCCATTGAGATCCCTATATGTTATGTAGAGTAAGGCTCGCTCCCACCTGGGTCTAGGAGTTAGGGCCTTCCCTTGGGCATCCAGGAAGCTGGCTCCTGCAGCCATCGCCCAGCGGTAGTGCTGTGCCAGTAAGGATCGTCTGGCTGTGGTAGGAGTGTCCAGAGGTGCCCCATCAGCATTTTTCAATGGTGAGAATTCTTCCTCTCTCAGAACCTCAAATGCCACAAATTTCCTGCCGATGTCAGGAGGAAAATGTCTCATTTTGGTGTTTTGTGTGATTGTTTTAAAATAAGCAGTCATTTTATGATTATTATGTAACGTTAGTAAAATTGTCTAGAATTGGGCGGCAGGTAGCTTAGTGGTTAAGAGCGTTGTGCCAGTAACCGAAAGGTTGCTGGTTCTAATCCCCGAGCCGACTAGGTGAAAAAGCTGTCGATGTGCCCTTGAGCAAGGCACTTAACCCTAATTGCTCCTGTAAGTCGCTCTGGATAAGAGCGTCTGCTAAATGACTCAAATGTAAATGTAGAATATCAGTAAAATATCGGAAACTGTAGGAAAATTGTGTACTGCAAATCAGTCACAAAATTAGAATTTCACCTTGAAAACTGAAAGACATCAAAAACAAACTTCTCCATTTTGATCCCATTGGGCTTGGTGGGTTTCACCAGGTTTCCTTCTCTGTCCACAAAAGGGACTTTCTTAAGTGCCACGTGCTGCTTCAGCTGGCCCTGAAACTTCCTGAGGAGATAGGCGGATGAATGGAAAACATTATCAACTTGTGATTAACAGTTTGTTTGGCCCAGACAGTCGTATCAGCAATGCAATATAACAAGACAGTGACAGTGTGCAAAATTGTGCAGGAGTGGGGTCCATGTAATTAAAACTCATTCCATTCCAGTAATTAATGTTCATTTAATTTAATGTATTCATTTAATTTATTGAACCAATGCAATGCCCCATTACTTTCAGCAAGAATTTTGTTCATTTTTCTTCTTATTATTATTCTAACTGAAGTGTTGTGCACATGACATGTATGCATCTCTTCATCTCACTCACTGTGCCACTTCGTTGAGGAAGGTCCGTGTGAAGAAGTGGTTGCAGATGTTTCCTGCGCTGTACACCAGCTCTCCTCCTGGGTCTCGCTGCTCGGCCGTCTCTGGGCGGAGCTCGCTGTACTCCACCACCTGGTACACTCCCTTTACCTTGCAGACTACGCCCACTGGCTCTGCTGGGTACGTCTTCTCAACCACCTGGAAATAGTCACGTCAACTGTCATAACATTTGAAATCTTAAGAACGTAGAACCAAACGTGCATATAAATAACATGCATATAACCAAGTTATAACAAGTACATAACCTAATAACTGAGTCCCACAAGTATGGATCAGGAAAACATGCCTGCATGATTACACTGTGATTGTGATGATTGCCTTTCGTTTACCTTGGCACCGCAGTCTGCTCCTTTACTCACGCAGAAACCAATGAAGATGGGGTCGGCCATTTTGACCAGGATGTTGTCAACACAGTAGATGTGGAGGTACTCCACACCCCTCTTCTCCATGTCCTCAAGGACCTTGTTATCCACCAGAGCTCGGTACAGGCCACCGTTTCCATCTGAAGGTTAGCGAGATGGAAAATAGAGAAATGGATTCATATGCACTGCCCCTATCAACTAAATTGCATTAAAGATGCAATATGCAGAAATTGCTCTGCCATTTCCTGGTTGTTAAAATTCTAATAGTTAGCCAAATTTCAGTTGATGTGACAAAACAAGCAGTCATTGTGTAGAGAATCATTGTACCATCTAAACATCTGTGAAATATGTTTTCCATAACGAAAAATATTGTATTTTCAGCTGTTTGAAACCGGTGTACAAAACCGAAAGTAAAAGACGCAAATCGGAAATTTAAGAACGGGAAGCATAGAAATAGCGCACATAGAAATGAACTACTGCTTCTTAGACTTGCTTTCAATGAGTGACAGATCTATAACTCAGATTTCTATATGAATTTGGTCGGGTCGCCCCAAAAGTTACACATTCCTGCTTTAACAAAAACTTCACTTTAATCTGCCAACCCACTCTGCCAGCCATTTTCTTACCTGGGGCCATAGCTATCTTCCCTTTGTCCTGTAGGATGACCTTTCCATCAAAGGTCACAGCAGGGATCATCCTTTGCTCGAACATGACCACGTCAGACGGATCCAGACCAAAGTACTTATTCTCCTGGAAGAACTTCTTGGTGGGATCCAGGGTAAACTCACTGGTCATGATGTACCTGATGATGGCAGAACAGTAGCACAGAGAGGAAAACCAATGTCAGAGAGAAGGAACGGTCAGTCAAATTGAGAACTTTGGAGTTTGCAAATATAGTAGTGTGTGATCTGCAGTTTAAGAGCACTGTTTTTTTATTTTGTTTTGCTCATGTGTTTGGAAATGCATCTGATTCTGCACATATTGCATTGAATTGACATTTTGCCAGCTCATAAAATGAGAGCAGTCAATTGACCGCCATGAGATCTTACCATGCTACTGTGCACTTTGATCCATGCTTTGCATTCGCCAGCTCCTGTATTTTGCGGATGCGCTCTGCCTGGATTTGATACAGAGTTTTGCTGCTCGGGAGACCCACATTGTACATCCCTTTGGGGTATGGAACCCCAAGACGGGTCCCCTGGCCACCAGCCAACAGCAGCACAGCCACTCTGTTCTGGGAGATTTGCAAAAACCCTGTAAAGGGGAATACCAGAGGGGAAAAAACGATCATTACAGGACCATGACAGAACACAGACAAACCAAAGAAACAAGTGTGACACTGACTTTAACCAATCACCAAACAGGTGTTAGTATCAATATTTGCATTTGCTGTGGTTTTATAGAGTAATGTAGCTGCTATTTTGGTGACCTACAGTGGCCTGACAGTCCTAATTTACCATTATAACAAAAAATACAATTTTGGGAATCCCTGACCTATGCTTGATCAAAATGTAAGTGAAGTGTAATTGCCATACATTCAAATTACAGTGGGACCCAGGCACATGCACAGACAGAGGTCTAAGGGTACCTGAGCACCTGCCCTTTTGCCCTCCTATGAGAGTTTTTTGTATTATTAAATGTTTTCATTATTTTCTCTCTTGTTATTTAAATGATTTACCCATCAAACTAGCTAGCTAGATAACTAGTTGATTTACATAATCTACATTCGCTATGATCAGTATGAAAAATGTATGCACTCACTAACTGTAAGTCGCTCTGGATAAGAGCGTCTGCTAAATGACTAAAATGTAAATGTAGATCAGATGATAGCCTACACATCTTTGTAGCCTCGTACGAAGATCCTGATCTCGTGTAAGCTCGCGAGAACACTTGCTTACAGTGGGATGTGGGATTTAGCAGAAAATAAAGGCCTTTGCTAAAAAAATGTGTATATATATATATATATATATATATATATATATATGTTACAATTTGGTTACAGGAGCATTAGCTACTTCTCAAATTCTCTAGTAGGCCGTCATTGTAAATAAGAATTTGTTCTCAACTGACTTGCCTAGTTAAATAAAGGTTAAATAAAATAAAATACAAAATAAAAGTTTGACGCAAGTCACGCGACAATTCCAAGTGAAGCAAAGTTGAGTGACTTTCACATAGACTATTGAATAATTTTAATTATTTGAAGGGGCAATTTGCAGTTACTACATACAATTTTTGATTTATAATTAACGTTACCCATTGATTCTTGAATAATATAATTTATAAATGCCTCATAAGATTAGTTCAACTGTGGTACCCCATCAGAGCCCCAAAAATATACACTTGTTTTACTAACTTTACATTTTAGTCATTTAGCAGACGCTCTTATCCACAGCGAATTACAGGAGGAATTAGGATGAAGTGCCATGCTCAAGGGCACATCAACAGATTTGTCACCTAATCGGCTCGGGGACTCGAACCAGCAACCTTTCGGTTACTGGCCCAACGCTCTTTAAACGCTTGGCTAACTATTCCAATGTTTCTACACATTGTTAAAAAAATAATATAAAAAACACCGTATAGCCTCAAAACATGCTTACAACTATAATTTTAATATCGTGGATGGTCAGTCCTTGCATCCCATATCGCTGTCTATGAATTTAAGAGAGGTTACATTTTCTCCAGCACCATCCCGAGGCGGGGACTACTTTGTTACTGTTAAATTGCTGATTTCCCTTTAAAGTAGCTAGTTGAGTGTTTACTTTTCTCATATCGAGAATACAGTACCCTATTGAGAATACAGTAGCCTACCTTCATTTTCCCAGCCAGTTAAAGCGGTTTGATCACTCTTCCGAATGCTCCCGATGAATTCTGAAGATACTGGCTCAATTTCCTGGTCAGCGGCTGTTGCGGAATGACCAGCTTTAGCAGACTCCGCGGCCAGTTCACAGTGCTCGCGCAATTCATGCAAGTCCAACTGAGACAACTCGACCAGAAATGTGCTTTTGTCATCCCCAGAAAGTTCGGGCCAAAATTGCAGAATATGAGACTGTCCTGCATGTTCTAAAGAAGACTTTACTTCCTCAAATGAAAGCATTTCCCCGACCTAACAATCACAAGAAAGCAAGTTCAATTATACCATGTTACAAAGCAGTGGTAAAGGTTAGTTTGACTTGGTCTATCTTCAGTTTGTTACTCCCTTCGTCATGAACTCGTGACTTGTGCAGGACTCAGGAGGAAAGAGCAAAATACACAAAGCCTGTCTTGTGATGAAATTTGAGTTGCTGGCTGTGGCTGGGCAAAGCAAAACCACACATCTGCTCATTCCTCAAAATATGAAGAAAAACGTTAGTTTGGGATGCGGTTTTCTTTCAGTGGTTGGCTTGCCATATTACAAACATTGTACAAAGGCTACAGTATCCAACTGCAGCCCCGGAGAAGGATAAACACTACTTCGAGTGGAAATCATGTGATTGCTCCAAGGAAAGAAGGAAGGATGCATTTTTTAAGTATTCGATTTCAACACGGCGAAATCGTTCTGTTGTGGGAGGAGTTTACTTTATTTTTGGGGGGAATGCGCGTTCTGGCGAGCGCGAGAAGAGGAGTGTGTGTGTGTGCATGAGCAAAGCCTCTCTCGTTCACGACACACGCTTTATTTGCACTCCACCGTTCAAGGTGGAACTTCACCTTTCTCTTCCCGGAGGAGACGTCTAAACAACAGGGAATATATATTCTGACGCAAACATCTACGGTGTTCGAAAATCATGGCAGCCTCGTCGGCGAAAGTCGTTAGAAAGGAGAACTCTAATCATGATGGAGCGGACGAGACCTCCGGTAAGAAATGGCGGCCTCCTGTACAACGCAATTTAGTTTTTTATATTGCAGTAACGTTACCATGGCGTATACTTTTGGTTTAGCTTTAGTTAGCCTGAAACGATGTATTTATTTGAAGGAGGCTTTAGCCAACTGATACATTTGATGGCTCGTACAGGACTAGTGAGAACAGAACTTGCTAGCTAACTGGCTAGCCAACTATGCTACAACGTCGTTGGAGGAGGCCATGTTGTGCCTTGCACAAGCTCATTGTGCCACGCAGGTTTGGGAGGAATTCACGTGTATTTCCAAATTATAGTAACTTCTTAAGGTTAACTACCGTACACATGTTTTGTTAACTAACGTTGTTGTTTACAAAATAGCCCGTTAGTTAGTAAACTAACAAAATGCGCTAGTTAAGTTTGCGTGAGGCCCAGCATTCATTGTTGTTCCGCCATCGCGGTTTGCACCCATGCATTGAAGTAATTTGCGATTGTAAACGAACAAAATGCAGTACTAAGGTCGGCACGGATGTATAGATAACTGCAAAATATTGCATTAGTAAGACACTAGTAGTGTCGGGCCAGAATGCCAACAAGCTGTCGGTGAGGCCGGGGCGATATCAGTCCCCAGCGTGCGGCGGCCACATCATTCAAACCACGCGGCCTTGAGAAACAGCAGGAAGCTGCATCAGAGTACTTTGGCTCGTTTAGCTAGAGAGCTAGTTACGTCTTAATGGCTTGAAAGCTAATAGTTACTACAAAATGTGGTGGAATGCTTAGCTTGTGTACCCAATGCTCAAGTCTTCATGTACTAGACATTGTGTTTACGGTGGTTGGTTATCTTTACCCTGTATTTATTTTTACCATCAGCAAGATTTTCTACATATACATAATATTTCATTATTTTCTTTCAAGGAAATTAACACTAATTTAATCTCTTTCAGTAAAAGAGCAACAAGAAGCTATTGAACACATTGACGAAGTACAAAATGAAATTGACAGGTGAGCTAATTATCCGGAAACTTTTGTGGTTTTCAAGACTGACCTTTTACAGTATGAATATCGTCAAATTGTGTTGTTGCACGATTCTCTTCCCTTTAGATTGAACGAACAGGCCAGTGAGGAGATTTTAAAAGTAGAGCAGAAGTACAATAAGTTACGCCAGCCATTCTTCCAGAAGCGGTCAGAACTCATAGCTAAAATCCCCAACTTCTGGGTCACAACATTTGTCAACCACCCACAAGGTAAGTGCAGATATTATGCTCTTATTTTACTATTTCATGTTATTTTCTTGATGAATGAAGAGTTATTGTACACGGTGGGATTCTACACATGACAAACGATGTCCATCAGTATCAGTCTGATTATGGTGTTGCTATACAAACTGCTTTTGTCCAGTGACAAACTTTCTATGATTCTGTTCTTGTCAGTTTCAGCCCTTCTTGGTGAGGAGGATGAGGAGGCACTTCATTACCTTACCAGAGTGGAGGTGACTGAGTTTGAGGACATCAAGTCAGGTTACAGAATAGATTTTGTAAGTATTTAAATATTATTTTAGATTGTGCATTTTAAACAAAATTATGCATAAATTAACCATATTGTTTTTTCAGTACTTTGATGAGAACCCATACTTTGAGAACAAAATCCTCTCCAAAGAGTTTCACTTGAATGAAAGTGGGGACCCATCTTCAAAGTCAACTGAAATAAAATGGAAGGCTGGAAAGGTATGTTTACACATCTCAATTTTTACAGGGCATCTTATAAGTAAAGTGTTTTTAATATAGTCCAAGTGCTGTCTTGTGATGTCATGCTGCAGAAAACCAAAGCAAAATGCATGGCATCTCTGCTTTTTGATTATTTTGCTTTTCCCCCTGCTCGCAGGACCTGACAAAGCGTGCCGGCCAAACGCCGAACAAAGCGGGTAAGAAGAGGCAACACGAAGAACCAGAGAGCTTCTTCACCTGGTTCACAGATCACTCCGATGCAGGGGCAGACGAACTAGGAGAGGTCGTTAAGGATGACATCTGGCCAAACCCATTGCAGTACTACCTGGTATGATTCCATGCTATTGTCCATAGTTCTTTGTTGACTGCCCATGGTGCTTAATAAAAAATAAAAATAAATTGGTGTTAACCTAATCTTACTTTGGTAGGCCAGGTAGAGTATTCTGTATATTTCTTACAATTATCCAAAATATCCTGGCGTTAGGGCCATAGGGTTAGACCAAAGTGGCTCTGTAATAGAAAATATCTTGCAGATTTCACCTAAATGGTGTTTTGGGGACAACTTCAGAAGTGTGTTGAATAGCCATATGGTTCTACGGAACATGACTGAACCATATCCAGCCACCTAGACATCTCAACTGGATGCCTAGATTCCAAACTGTAAATCGTCTCCTGCTGGCATTATATGTCTGGGAACTCGTATTAATATAACATATGAACTCTTAACTCCACCAGGTCCCTGACATGGATGATGAGGAAGGGGAAGGTGAGGAGGATGAGGAAGAGGGCTTGGAGGACATTGATGAGGAAGGGGATGAGGATGAAGGAGAGGAAGATGATGAGGAAGAAGGGGAAGATGGAGAGGTATGGTAGATTTAATTCACTCCAGTCTTGTTTGCACAATATTGTACAACTTTTCCTGTCTTTGTGTATATATATATTTTTTAATGTGGTGGAAGATTGCCACTTGTCTGAAATGTTAGTCTTTACAGGCATGGGGTAAACCTGTATCTCTCTTCTACAGGATGACGGCGAGGATGATTAAGGCCGAAAATGACATATTCCAACCTACACCTTTTCCCATTCTTTCCTTTTACTCATCCTTCAACGCGTGGGCGCAAGAAGCTTTGTTTTCATTTTATTTTTGTATTATTTTGTGCTCTGTCTCCTGTTCCACATGCTTCCGCCTGTCCATACCATGTCTGCAGACGAGTAAATTCCCAGGCCCACATCAGAAAACTCTGACGTCTCACGTGTCATAAAACTACTAGAAATGTCCATGAAGACCAATAAAAGAAAGTACAAGCATTCTGCACGTCATCTTATATAGACTAAAAGAAAGTTGAATAGCAATTTATATGTATGATAAATAAGGTTTCTGTTAAACTTGTGAGTTGAATAAAGATAAGCCATGGTGCTGTGATAACTTATTCTTAGCATCCCTAGACACTTAAAAAAAAATATATATATACACACACACACATTTTCTAAAACGGCAGAGTTTGGGGGGGGTCTCCTGGAGTTTACACTTTTTCTTCGTCATGTGTTGTACTAACGGAAAGCACCAGCTTGTTCCTGTCAGCAATTGTAAATGTTTTGGGGTTGATATCTTGTTATGACATGGTTATTATTGTAGACAGTTAAATGGGGTTTGGTGGGGTAAGTGGGCATTTGACAACTCAACATTGATTGACTTTTCATTGTAATGTTTTACAGACACCCGTGAGGTTTGAAAATTACATTTTTAATAAAAACAAAACCCAAAAAAAATTCCTCTTGTAATTTTGAGCTTGGCTAATTAACAGGTTATTTAAAAAGAAAGTAAAGACCCTGTAGAATCTCATAGGATATACTGGTGATCTCCACCTTTTCCACTGAAAAACTCTTCACGTTAACATTTAAGTGTACAAGTTGCTTTGTTACAATAAATGTATACACAAGTGTTTGGGGTAGTTTTTGAACTGACACAATTTGTGTTGTGGGGGTAAAATATATGTTAGGCTGATGGGGAAATAATTGTTACTGTCCAGAGAAACTTACTGATCACAGATTTTCAAGGTCATCATTCTTGTTCTGTAGTCACAACAGCCATTCAGTCGATCACCATAACTGTTTAATCAAATATTTTGTATACAGCACCCTATCTGTGGTTGAATGATGGATCGTTCATGTTCAGTAGGACCACTGCCCTTGTCTACTCACAGGAATACATTTTGTATACTTCAAATAAATCACGCCCTTCCCCTGCTTGGCAGGCGAGAATTCTACCACAAATGTTTGAGAAATAAATAATATAACTTGGCCCAGACATTGTGACTCTTGTTAAAATTCTTGCACCAGGTCAGCTCTAGACTGCGTGCCACTACTTGTCACGCGTTTATCATGCCAAACATAAGTTATCGTCTTTGCTATTGATTTCACCAATCAGATCAGCGATTACTTCAAGGAAGGGTGCATTGTAAAAGTATTCGAACAGGGCCAAAATGACGACCCTTTTGAGAGGTAATGCGCATGGCGCTTAGAAACCCCCCCCCGGATTGGTCCCATCGTCGAGGTGTTTCCAAGGAAGCAGCAATAAACGGAAGTAAATCCATCTCTAAACATGGCTGTTTGCTTTGAATACATAAAATTAAGTTAACTGATATGTAACGTCGTATGGGGATGTTATTAATGTGCTACTAGCTAGACAGGTACGTCTATGAGGCACAGTAATCATGTTCACTGATGAAACTTTGGATGCCTTGGGCGTTGAGTCGCTGTGGAGGAAATCGCAACAGTTGGCACAGGAGTCGGTATGTTCTGTTGACAACCTAATTAGCTGGCATCAGAGGTTTTGCTATTGCATGCTAGCTGATTATTGGTTTAGCTAACTATCTATTTCGTGTACGTTTACCTACCTGGCTATATATGACAAGGCTATAGGCCCTGAAAAGATCAGACACATGAATACTACCAGTGGAGAATATTGCTAAAGCTCCTGAATCTGCCAATCGATGCCTTCTTTAGCTAGCCAAAATAGCTAGCTAGTTAGCGATGATGGTCTGGAGCGACAGTCTGCACATCACTGATCAGTGTTGGTGATGGGCTGACCACGTGCATTGTCCAAAGTGTCATTTTCAGCGTTGTTGTGAAGCCCAACATATTTCTAAACATACTAGTAGCTAGTTGACTAGGTACAAAAAAGTGGGTTTCTCATCAACAGTTGGTGGAATTACTGACACACTTGGGTCAACTGGAGTCAGAAACATTATTTGTGCAATAATCAAGCCAGCTATGGGCATGCTTTGACATTATATAGGCCTAATATAACCCTAGTAGGCTATGTCTGTTGTTGGTTTTTCAGAGAGGTTGTCAGACCCGGCCCGTACACACAGCTGAGGCTGAAATACAGCCCCTGCTTAATGCAGATAATGGCACCCAGACGGATCCACAAGACCACCTCACAGACCAACTCCTCCTTGAAAGTGAGCTGCGACCAGAGTCTCCTGGGCTGAGGGACTTCCTGCATCGAGTGGAGGACATGGTTGTCAAGGAGTTGGCCAATAACGCCAAGAGTCATGCGTTTGATGGGTTCGACGTGAATTGGGAGGATCAGAACGAGACGGTGAGAATAGTATAAGTAACACACTAACAAAACTAATCACACAGTGTGCATTATTTTCATGTTACAAAAAAAAGAAAAACGTTCGTTTATTTAGTAAATATTTTCTTAACTCTTATTTCCTTAAAACTGCATTGTTGGTTAAGGGCTTGTAAGGACGCATTTCATGGTAAGGTCTACAGCTGTTCTATTCGGGCATGTGACAAATAACATTTTATTTGATATTGGACAAACTATATATTTTTATTTTTATTTCCCCCTGTTGTATTGTCAATTCTAAAATGTGTTTGTGTGTAGGTTTCATGCATGCATCGTCTCCAGCACCCCAGTGCCCAGGAGAAGGGTCTTCAAGTTACCAGCATATCCTGGAGTTGCACAGGTTCAGTAATCGCCTGCGCCTTCGGTCGGTATGTTCAAACTCAAGACTTCAGTCTTCCTTCACATTCATTTGCCAACATCATAGTTGTGTAGCCAAAAGTTGAGGTGAACAGTGATCTATCTGTTCTCTGTCTCAGTGTTGATGACGGAGACTGGAGCACAGAGAAGTCCTGTGTGTGCACTTGGAATCTGGACCGCAGAGGCCTGAACCCCAAACGACCAGACACGGTCATAGACGTGGCCAGGCCTGTCATGTCTCTGTCCTTCCACCCCTCTCAACCCTCTCTCATAGCTGGTATACACTTCCATGTTGCTTCTGCCAGTGGTTTGATCACCTACTGATCTCAGTACATAAATACAACGGTCCTGTGTACCACACTCCTTCTTACTTATCTCACCATCCACCCAACGCCACAGGAGGTCTTTACAGTGGAGAGGTAGTGGTCTGGGACACGAACAGGACACAGGACCTCATTTTGGCGCAAACAGGAATGTCGACCGACACTCACCGGGAGCCAGTCTACCAGGTATAGACATCTCATACTGTCTCCTATGGCACTAAAATACACATGTTAACCGATGGTAAATGCTTTATCTAGTATTGGTTATTCTCATGGTGTAATTTATACACAGTCCCTATGGACTGTAGGTCCCTTGTATATTATTAATAAACTACATGAATATCACATAGTGGTGAGATAATCTTTATGAGATGACGACAGTAAGATTTTGATACCAGGGTCGTGTTCATTAGGCACCAAACAGAAGACAAGGGATTGAAACTGTGAGGGACTACCTGGACTTGTCCAATAAGAAACACACGTTTTCAGTAGCAAGCCATAATAAACAGGACACAGGTCTGAACAAGTGTGTTTTCAGGTAGCCTGGGTCCCCGGACCAAGGCGAGGGGAGATGGTGGTGCTGAGTGCTGGCTCTGGGGGCAGGGTGCTGCTGTGGACAGTGGACTCAGACGAGGGGAGGCTGGTGCTCAGTGCCGGCTTTGCCCTCGTCAGACAGCAGGTTCCTCACAACAGTGCACTGAGCAAGGTGAGACTCGGGATACAGGGGCCAACGTGGTATGCCAACGTTGTGATTTATAAACCGTGAAAATTTATTTCGATTTTACATGAAAATGTGTGATAAATAGATGAAATATGATTGTGTTATTTACAAAACTGTATGAATGTTTTATAGACATTTATCTATAGACATTGTTTTCTTAAACCTTCCAAAAATACTCTCCTTCTGAAGTTGTTCTTGTAACGGTACCTACCTGCCTGCCTGCTACAGGGCAGAGGGAGCAGCAATGTGGGGGTCACCTCCCTGGCCCTGTCCCCCTGGGACTTGGATACATTCCTGGTGGGCTCTGAAAGCGGCCTGGTCCTCAAGTGCTCCTTCTCAGCCCAGACGCTGGCGGCAGCGCCCCCCGATGGAGAGAGTGTGACGCTGCGTGCCCCAGCCCAGTTCTCCTTCAGCCCCCGAGGTGGCCCCATCCACTCCTTGCACTGCTCCCCTTTCCACAGGTGAGCGACACGTGGGTGGGAAGGTCGCAATGGCATACTCCTCACATCCTCGTCTCCTTCTCAAAACCCATTGGATGAGAAACCAGAGGTCCCTCCCCTCTGACCTACAATGGGTTTTGAGAAGGAGTCGAGGAGAGAGGATGGGAGGAGTATGCAATTGAGATGTTCCCCATGGTTCAGGTCAGGTCTGAAGGTGGTTTTAGTGAAAATTATCCAGACCGAATGCTTGAGACTATGGTTTAAGATTTACAAAAATAAGAAAACTGAACATTCCTTTACTCGAACCTCTGAATTAGTCGTTATACTGTTTTGATGCCAAAACCCTGGAACGAACCAGTGCTATTCATGTTTACTTGTTGTTTGTTACAGTTTGCCCTGTTCCTATAGTACATTTGGAAGCGTGTAGCTAACTCGCATCTCGTAATGGATCTCAAAATAAGCTTTGAACTCTGCAGCTGTAAAACCTTTGTAAAATGCTTTATGGTACCATATCATTCTGTCAATGAATCAAAGTTATTATCTAGTCGTCTCCCATTTCGTGTCTAAGGAACCTGTTTGTCAGTGTGGGGACCGACGGCCTTGCCCACCTCCACTCTCTGCTGCAGCCCGATCCTCTGCTCTCGCTGCGGGTGTCCGACTCCTATGTGTTCGGGGTACGCTGGTCGCCAACGAGGCCCCTTCTCTTTGCCGCTGCCACAGGACAAGGTATGCTCCATTTCAGCTCATTCTCAATTGGTTCATAGAACATCGCTATAAATAGTCTGACTTGAGCCAGAGTTAATATATTGAAAATCATAAAGGGCCCTATTCAGACTTGCGATAAGTCAACATCCAAAAATGTTCACTTAAATCCATGTTAAGTCTACTTATCAAGTCTGAATCAGGCCCTAACTGCTAAAAACAGTGGCACATCTTGATGTAAAGTTAACTCACCAGTTCAATTAACTTTTAGTTTTTCACTAAACAGCCAAGTTTAAAAGCCCATAACCTTCTCTCTTCCCAGGTCTGGTGCAGATATTTGATCTGGGCAGGAAGTCACTGAGACCAGCAGCCACCATAGACCAGCTGACGGGTGGCCAACCAGTCTACTGCCTGGAGTTCAACTCCAGACGGAAAGACCTCCTAGCGGTGGGCAATGCCGACGGCTCCGTCAACATTTGGCACCTGAGCACGGAGCTGACGGAACAGGGGCCCCGAGAGACCGCCAAGCTGGAGCAACTAGCCAATGAGGTGGCAGAGTGAGACGAGGCAGGAAGGAGAGGGCCAATGAAGTTAAAGAATAACAGGGCTGTGGATGTATATAGGTAGAAGAACGTGGGTTTTTAGTTTTTGTGCCATAGTATTTTAGATTTGTATCCTTTTGAGATGGTGAAACGTCAACTATTACTCAGTAGGTACTGAAGACTGGTTATTAAGGCCTTCATTGTTTGTTTTTGTACTGAAATAAAACATAAGAGTGGATTCATGTTGTAATAAAGGCACAGAAAACACATTTCCAGTTCTAACCAGTAGCGTTTATTAAATCACACTGCAGTCCTTATTGTGATGTTACAGCATACCATCAATATAGGGTCTTAAATCCAGCGAAAGCACTAAAACATTCAAATGCAGACAGATCCACTAGGCTACCGTCAGTGAAGCACAAAGAGTGAGATATATAGCTATAGATAGATACTGATAACTATGGAGTATTCTAGTGTCAGACTCATGCAGTTTCAGTTGTGTTTTTGTGTGTGTGTGTGTGCGGCAAACGCATCCCGATTGGTCACTGGCAGGCAAGGGATCAGTTGACGAAAAGCGAGCGGGTGAATTCGACAAAGTCGAAGGCCGAGGGCATTTCCCGGCCCTTGCTGTCTAGGTAGGGCTTCATGTGCGAGATGCAGTAGTCTGCCTGTTCCTTGGACAGATTCTGAATGAAGAGGAGAAGAGATGGTAAGTTATTTTATCTCAGAAAAACAAAAAATCTTATAAAACCTCTTAAGTTATTTAAGAGACATTTATAAATGTGCAACTTATGGCTGAAGCTCATATTCATAATTCTGGTCCTATTTAATAGTCTCTTTTCCATAAGCACTGTGACAGAGCCAGAAAGTGGACGAGGGAAGGCCGGAGTGTAAGTACCTGGTAAAGCTCCTCCTTGGTAACGTAGGGCTTGGCATCGACGCTGAGGGCTCGGAAGGCGCTCTCAATCTCCTCGCTGGACTTGACGTTCTCTGTCTCGCGGCTGATCATGAAGGCCATGTACTCCTGCAAGGACACGTTGCCATCCCTGGAAAACACAGAATGAAATCATTTAGCCATAATAAAGCACTTGAAGAAAACCAAATAGAAGAAAATATGAGGCAACACGACATACACCCATTCTGAATAAAATCACATTCTTGTGAATGTTAGCTTTGCTCAAATATTATTCAAACTACTGATTGGACTTATGAAAACCCCAAGTAGAGATGAGTGAGAAGAGCTGGGGTTGCTGACCTGTTGGGGTCGACAGTGTCAAGGATGGACTCAAACTCGGGGTCTGGCTCTCCCTCCTCCACCATGGGCAGGTCGTAACCCAGCGAGCGCAGACACGACTTGAACTCCTGGTGGTTCAGACGGCCAGACTTCTCTTTGTCAAAGTGCCTGGGAGCAAAGGGAAAAGAAAATGGTTGAGATTATTGGGAGTTCCTTTACTTTAAGCAACTACTTGGTATGACCAGAAGGTATGGTGAAAACGTCCACCACTCACTTGAACATCATGTTAAGATGGCCGCCACTCACTTGAACATCATGTTAAGATGGCCGCCACTCACTTGAACATCATGTTAAAATGGCCACCACTCACTTGAACATCATGTTAAAATGGCCACCACTCACTTGAACATCATGTTAAAATGGCCGCCACTCACTTGAACATCATGTTAAAATGGCCGCCACTCACTTGAACATCATGTTAAAATGGCCGCCACTCACTTGAACATCATGTTAAAATGGCCGCCACTCACTTGAACATCATGTTAAAATGGCCGCCACTCACTTGAACATCATGTTAAAATGGCCGCCACTCACTTGAATATCATGTTAAAATGGCCGCCACTCACTTGAACATCATGTTAAAATGGCCGCCACTCACTTGAACATCATGCTGAACTCCTTCAGGGCATCCTCTGTCACTCCAGTGGTGTTCCTATGGTGGGAGAGAGATACAAGATTAGGAAATATGTTCACTGCTTGTGAGGTACTGTATGTGTGTGTGTCTCTCCCTCTCTGACCTGGCCTGGATCTGCTGCTCCAGGTTGTGCTGCATCCTCATGCCCAGTTGGTCTAGCTGGTCCCACTGCTGGGCCAGGCCCACCGTGCTGTGTTCTGTGTACTTGTTGTCCAGGATCAGAGCCTCCTCCATGGCCGCGCCCAGGTCCTCGATCTTCTTCAGTTGGCTGCGCATGGCCCGGATCTCCTGGTGCTTACGCTACAGACAGAGTGGCACACAGAAGGGTGAGGCTCTGCAATTACAAACCTAGTCAATACAGTTTAAATATAATTGGTACTCCCTGTATCTAGCTTCATTCTTGTGTTACTATTTTAATTTTGTATAATGTTTTACATTCTGAATTTGTTGGGAAGGGCTCGTAAGAAAGCATTCCACGGTAAAGTCTACACCTGTTGTATTCGGCGCATGTGACAATTACATTTGGATTTGAAATAGCCAAAATGGTTGTCTAAAGCAGGGTTTCCCAACCCTCTCCTCAAGCCCCCCAAACATTTTAAATGTTTATTTTAACCCTAAACTGGCACACCTGATTCAATTAGTCGACTAATCACTAAGCCTTTGACTAATTGAATCAGGTGTGCCAGTTTAGGGTTAAAACAAAAATGCAAAACGTCTGGGGGGGCCGAGGAGAGGGTTGTGAAACCCTCTAGTCCTATAGCATAAATGACGAGGGGGTTCTTTCTTACCTTGGTTGCCTCAAGTTGTGATTCCAAGGTTCCGGACTCTTCTACCATGCAGGACCTAGATGCATACACACAAGTGTCAGGGGAGAGGGCCTTGACAGGATGATCAAATATTGGGATAAACAACATGCCACAGCCATCAAGATCAGGTGATACAGTCACACGCGTACACAGTCCCCACAGAGTCTGCACCCCACACCCATCTGGTCGTAGGAACCCTTAGATACAACCCCATTCCTACTCTGAAATTCATTCTCATTTTGATAATAAGATCCATTTAATATATTTGAATATACTAGAGGTGTGTCAAGAGATTCCAAACAAATCTTGAAACTTACAAAAGAAGCAAAGTAAAGATTTTTCTGAAACCTCAATATTTTTCAAAAAATGTCTGAGAACATAAGACTGGAGAACATTTGGTGAATTAAAAAGGCAGGGAAATAGAAGTACAAAACAGTAGTAAAAAAAAAAGTTTCCCTCACTCTCAAAATGTCCAGAGCCACCCCCACCCAAAAAACCTTCCCTTTGCACAATGCCAGTCAATTCATGCCAAAGAAGCCAACTCATAGCCATGGTAACCTATACCATGCAAGGTTAGGGCTACTGTGTACACGGCAGGAAACTGCATTTCAACCCTGAATCAGTTATGAATTAGTGTAACAAATTCAGCAAAAAAAATGTGTGTCCAACAACACATTTTGCAGTGTCCACCCCTAAATTTGGTGGGGAAAAAAATCCCCAGAAGATGAAGACTCTTCACTCCTTTAAAACGGTGCTCAATGTAGCCAGACTCGCAAAAGAGTATCCAGACCAATCATGAAGTTGATCTTAGTTTCAGGAAGCTACATTGTGGTGACGTTAGTAGAGATGTAACTGTGCAAACAGATCTCAAATGGTGGATTTTAGAAGTGCATGAAGACACGCAACCCAGAGGGCGTGATAGAAGTAATGTAGGGAGAAGGAAAGGCGAGTGAGAATGGAAAACCATGTGGAAAAGTAAAAGACCTTCCGGAAAGATCATCACCGACTTCATATTGAATGACACAGACAACCCGTCGATAAGCTATGCTATTTAGAACAGGAGGGAGGAAAGGGATGAAAAGAAGGTAAATACCAACAGGAAAAGAGGGAAATTATACAACAGAGATATTCAAAAATGAAAGAAAATAGGCTAAAGTTGAAAAGGGGGGGGGCATACAGAAACTCAGAGGGAATTACAGTAATAATACACAATACAACATGGATTCCTAGTGAAACCTGGTCCAGTTTTACCTTCACTTGACAGATACCTACCTACCTGGTGCTTCTATGTTAACCAACATATATGATGCAATATCTTGCCACCGACCTGACAACAAACCTGTAGTGGCTCATCAACAAGCCTGTTTGGTCCAAAACACTGTCACTCCAATCAACCCTCATTGATTTGACCCCATTCACACAGTCGGACACAAACAAACACAGTAGAGCCGTATCGCTAAATTTCAATGGCAAAAACGAAAAGACGAAGCAGACCCAAGTCTTTGGTCCCATAACATACTGTATGTAAAATATTGTGTGCTATAGCTTGGAAAATAAATAAATGTGATCCTGGATAACAAACATAATGATGTGTGTTTCCAACATTAGGGATGTTTTCCTAAAGAAGTTAAATCCGCTTCGTGTTTTGTTTCCTTGCCATGATACTAATGAGTATCGCGATACTGGTATCGTCCCGGCCCCAACTGAGAGATAGTAAAATGTGATATTAACCCATCCAGAAGATATGTCCTGATTAGCAAAGTTATCCCAAGCATCAGCGAGGTAGCAGCAAGAGAGGGAGGGAGAGGAAAGGGGGGGGGGGAGAGGGAGAGGAAAGGGAGGGGGGGGGGAGAGAGAGAGACAACAGTTAGAAACACTAGGCAGGGACAAAATGGTCACACCATCCCCCCCCCCCCCCCCCCCCCCCCCTAAACAAACATATACAGACACAGGCACAGAAATACAGTGTGAGCACAGGAGCATCTGCAGTATGATCCGTTTTCATTTTTAAACATTCACAGACCACTTGTGTGGTTATGTAAAAGTTGTATCAGTGCTCCCCCACCCACCTCCCAAAATATACATAACATACGATACACACTAAGCATGCGTTGCCTGGGGCCTATTCAGTGAGGAGCAACATTCAAAGCATGGCAGATGTAAATGCAAGGTTGTAGAATAGAGACAAACTAAAGTAAAGAATCATGTCAGTTTTCATACAACAAACATCTATCTGCAATATTTCACATTCCGCTCCGATGAATAGCAACTCCCTGTTCTCTATGGCTGAGAACATTGTGGCAGAGAGAGACCGGATGTAGATTTCTGAGCAGCAGGCACATTTAAAGTAGCTCCATTGATTTCTCATTGTATTAAGAGAATCTAAAGAACGATGCATGCAACATTTAAAGACAGATCAATGCTATTCATGCAGGTCACGTTATTCAATTAACTCAAACTACATTCTTTAAAACAGCCACAACGGCTTGGAAACGTCCCCATTCTATTCCTAGAAATAGTCCTAGTTTCCCATCTATTAAATTGCCAAAATCTATTAAATTGCCAAAAGGCATGTTGATTAAGGGAGTGCTGTGAGCTCACTGTCTTCCGGGCACAACAGATCCAGACCCTACCTGGTCTCCTGCAGCCACTGGTGGAATGCATTGGCATGCTGCGCAAACTCCTGCCGCAGCTTGTCGTTCTCCTCCTGCCTCCTCTGCTCCTTCTGCAGCTCCAGCTCTCGTTCCTATACAGACAGAGGGATGAAGATGGATGGATGAAGTGCTTCCCAGACATGATGCAGATCAATACACCCCCACCCAGAGGTCCTCATTGGTTCTGGACATAAGTAGAGCATTGAAGTGGGGAATAGGACAACATTTGAGATGTGCATGTCCTCCTCACCAAGCCTGGTCCTCAGATACGTTTGTGCTGTATAGCCAACTCATATGGTCGTTGTCATGCCAACTGGTTGGTGATACAACACAAAACAGATCTGGGACCAGGCTACCTCCCACCCCTATTCCCCCTCCTAACCTTGATGATCTTCTGCAGGTTCCTCCAGGTCTCCTCCAGGGCCTCCATGGTGAACCAGGTGTAGGGGTTGGACACAACCTGGTAGCTCTTGATCTGCCGGTCCAGCTCGGCCAGCTGGTTGAAGTCGGCCTGCGCCGAGCTCAGCGATGAGCGGAAGGCCTCGTGGGCGTCGCGCAGCGCCCGGATCTCCTCCAGCGAGTTGCAGCGCACCGGATCTGTCAAGTCCTCCTCAGCGTTCTCAAACCAGCTGTTGAAGGCCGACGCCTTCTTGGCAAAGGTCAGGAACAGGTCTTCCACCTGGAGAGAGAAGCAAGATGGAGTTGATGGAGGTAAGGGGTTCACATCCACTAAGGTTTTTTACTTTGCAGGTGAAGGATAGTCTGATATTCCTGTTCAAAATATGAACATTAACAACAATGACATCTATGAATTGTAGTCATGATATCCTCATCGTAAGCTAAATGATAATTACCTGTCATCATAGTCGTTACATACCTTCCTGAAGTGCTCCTGGGCCTCCAGCAGTTTCTTCTTGCGGGCCTGCGAGTTGTCGAGAAGCTGGTTCCAGCGTTTCATGAGGGCGGCATGGCGCGCCTCAATGGCCTTGGACTGGACGTGCTTGGCCGCCAGCAGCTGGTCCTTGAGGGCCGTGATGTTGGTGATGCCCTCCTGCTGGAAGGCCTGCAGCCCCGCGTCAAACGTCTCCTGTGGACCCGAGGGGGGAAGGGAGAACATGATGAGGCATGGGAGAACGAGTCTAGCTTTCTGGCACAAAACGGCTGCCGTGGCATCATATTGCTACACCGTACCTGCTTAGTGAGTAACGTCTGCACAGAGGAGAGATCTCGTCCGTAGTCATCAGTCTTCAGGCTGTTCTCCTTCTCACCTGAACAAACAACCAGACAGTATAGATTCAGTGCTACGCCAAAAAACAAGAACATGCTTTCATCTTTCTGGGAACACATGCAAAAATCATATTGCAACACCAAAGAATGCTGAAGCCTCATGCCCTAAACCTTCCCCCTCTCAGGTCCCAAACCTTACCGATCCAGGACTCTACCACGTCAGCCTTCCAGTTGAACTGCAGGAAGGCAGAGTTCTCATCCAGCTTGGCTTTCCTCATGGCAGCGGCCCGCTCCAGCTCAGACACCTTGCCCCGCAGGGACACCATCTTGGCTGAGATGCTGTCCACGTGGTGGTTGTTCTAATGGAGGGACGGACACAAGCAAAATATGCATTTAGCAGTCTGGGTGAATTAACAACAGCCAAGGTAAGTGGAAAATCATTGTAAAAGTTGCTATTTTGTGTGTGTGAACTATTGCTTAAACACTTTCAGCTGGTACCGTATGACAATGGTATTGTCAGTGTTTACCTTCTTGATGAGCTCGTCTCCGTTGGAACACACGTCATTCACTCTGTCCCTGTGCACGGAGAAGTCAGTCTCAAACGCCTCATGCTTCTTTAACAGGCCCTGCACAGCGGCCAGGGTATCCCCGTAGTCTTCGCTTCCCACTAGGTTCAGCTTCTCATTAATCCAGGCTTCCTCCTCTTCAACATTTGCAACAAACTGCTGGTACTCCAGCGATTCCTCCAGCCTCTGTCCCCTGATCACACACACATAGGCACACACAGATTAACACTCAACATCCATGAATGTTTAAATTGATAATGGCGTTTCACTGCAAAACAGGCCTGTGAATGTGTGTGTGTGTCAGAATGTATACGTGTGTCTGCGTGTGTGCGCGTTCTCAGTATAACCTGGCTGCAGCCAGGTCCTTCAGCTCCGTCCAATGCTCCTCAAACTGGCCCAGCCTCTGCTCGATCTCTTCCTGGCCGATGGTGTTGTCATCGGACAGCTTCTTCCCTGTGTCCTGCACAGACTGGATGGCCGGCTCATGGGCCCCCAACTCAGCTTCCAGCCTCTTGTGTTTCTTCCTCAGATTCTGCACTCCTGTCAAATCACGTCCATAGTCCTCCGAACTCACTAGCAATTTCTTTTCTCTGGATAGAGATAAGAGACAGTGAGAGTGAAAGAGATGAAAAAAGATAGTATTAGTAATTGACCTCAACATTGAAAAACCCACAGATATTGACTTGCATCCATTCCTCCACAACTCCAGGAGGCGCTCTTACTTGATCCAAGACTCCTCGTCGTCCAGGTCCCTGAAGAACTGGTGCAGGCGGTGTGACTCGTTGAGCTTTGCGCGGCGGCCGGCGGCCATGCTCTTGATCTTGGCGAAGCGTCCATTGACGGCGTCGCGTTTGTCCTTGACCTGGGTGGGGTCGAAGGCCGTGCTGGCCGTCAGGCTGTCAGCCTGGCCGTTCAGGTCCTTCAGACGATCCTGTGGATGGACGGAAAAGACGGACAGACGTTCAAACCAAAGCACTAGACTGAACTCAGTGGATGCCTTTGTACAAAAACATGCTTCATAGACATGGAAGTTGTCCAAGTTCAACAGAGGACACTTGGACTGAAAGGTTTCGATGGCCAATCAAACCGAGGCAGTGTCACCTTTCAGCCAGTCAGCATATAAAGGTGTATGATCTGACTGAACATTTAGTACATCAAGGCCCCCAGCTGAGCCCAGCATCAATCCCAGTTTGACAGGGAGATATGGGGACGTCGAATACATTACCTCATGAGCAGAGATGTCGGCTTCCAGAAGCTGGTGTTTCTTCAGTAGGTTGTTGACGGAGGCCAGGTCTTTGCCATAATCCTCAGAGGCAAGAAGGGCCTCGACCTACAGACAGAAAACAAGAGAGGAAACCAAAAATGATTTAGTGACTGGTAGTTAGTCATTGTCTTTGTTTTCAGAGAGCATCATTTCCAAATCGAATCTCAGCCTCTTATCTTTTTGTTTTTGTTTTCCTACAGCACAGGTAGGTTAATGGGTTAACACAAGACAAATCAGAAAACTAAATGGTCTGAGACAATCTCAGATCCAGATGCCTTTTTGGGTGTCTGTCCAGTACTTCAAATCTCTCCTTTTCTAGTATCTTACTGACAATCTGTGCAGGTCTCAGATAAATCCTATTGAACATCAAGGTTTTCAGTACAGAATACACCATTTCTCAGCATCTTTAGCTTTGAGAATTGTGTAGTGGATGGTGGAGAAATGTGGTGGATGGAGATCTGAACATACATGAAAGTAGTCTCATTTTGACATCTAGAAAATATGTTAATTGTTTTTCATTATTTTACCTCAGAGAGCCAGAAGTCAAAGTCCTTGATGCCAGTGTTGAAGTTCTGCTGCTTGTTGGCTTCTTTCAGCTTCTGGCTCTTCTCTGCCGACTTGTTCACCAGAAACTGCCACTGCTCGTCCAGGGCACCCAGACGCGACTGGTAAAACACACACACACACAGGTTAGATACCCAGCTTTGGAACAGTAGATGTTGAATAAGGCAAGAATCGGTTCACGTAGCTTGACTGCCATAAGAACAGTTAACATTTTGTCTGCAATGTGATCACCATATTTTTCTCAAAGGCTTTCATCCTTGAAGTGGCTTTGTAGGTGTATGTAAAAAAAGTTTTTTTTAATATAAATGTGTATGTATTTGTAACCAATATGATGTTGTAATGTATAGAAAAAGTATAATGTGTATGTATAGTAACAAGTATAATGTGTATGTATAGTAACAAGTATAATGTGTATGTATAGTAACAAGTATAATGTGTATGTATAGTAACAAGTATAATGTGTATGCATAGTAACAAGTATAATTTTATGTATAGTAACAAGTATGATTGTATGTATAGTAACAAGTATGATTTGTATAGTAACAAGTATAATGTGTATGTAAGTAACAAGTATAATGTGTATGTATAGTAACAATTTAAAGTGTATGTTAGTAACAAGTATAATGTGTTGTATAGTAACAAGTATAATGTGTAGTATGTAACAAGTTAAAGTGTAGTATAGTAACAAGTAAATGTGTATGTATAGTAACAAGATAATGTGTTGTATGTAACAGTATGATGTGTATGTATAGTAACAAGTATAATGTGTATGCATAGTAACAAGTTATAATGGTTTTGTATAGTAACAAGTATAATGTGGTATGTTATAATAAAGTTGATGGATGTTTAACAAGTAATAATGTGAGATAGTAACAAGTATAATTTTATGTAAGTAACAAGTAAGATGTGCATGATAGTAAAAGTTGAGTGTATGTATATAACAAGTATGATGTGTATGTAAGTAACAATATGATTTTGTATAGTAAAATATGAGTGTATGTATATAACAAATATATTTATGTAAGTAAAAAAGTATAAAGTGTATGTATAGTAACAAGTATAATGTGCCTGTTAGTAACAAGTATGATGTGTATGTATTGTAACAAGTATGATGTAGTATAGTAACAGTATGATGTGTATGTATAGTAACAAGTATGATGTGTATGTATAGTAACAAGTATGATGTGTATGTATAGTAACAAGTATAATGTGTATGTATAGTAACAAGTATAATGTGTATGTATAGTAACAAGTATAATGTGTATGTATAGTAACAAGTATGATGTGTATGTATAGTAACAAGTATGATGTGTATGTATAGTAACAAGTATGATGTGTATGTACAGTCGTGGTCAAAAGTTTTGAGAATGACCAAGTATTGTCTTAACAAGTTTGCTGTTCAGTGTTTTTAGATATTTTTCAATGTTACTATGGTATACTGAATATAATACAAGCATTCTAATGTCAAAGGCTTTTATTGACAATTACATTAATTTTGCAAAAGTCAAAATTTGCAGCGTGAAACCCCTTTTTTTTTCAAGACTTGCAAACCCCTGGGATGCTGTCAATTAACTTCTGGGCCACATCCTGACTGATGGCAGCCCATTCTTGCATAATCAATGCTTGGAGTTTGTCAGAATTTGTGGGGTTTTGTTTGTCCACCAGCCTCTTGAGGATTGACCACAAATTCTCAATGGGATTAAGGTCTGGGGAGTTTCCTGGCCATGGGCCCAAAATGTCTATGTTTTGTTCCCCGAGCCACTTAGTTATCACTTTTGCCTTATGGCAAGGTGCTCCATCATGCTGGAAAAGGCATTGTTCGTCACGAAAATGTTCTTGGATGGTTGGGAGAAGTTGCTCTCAGAGGATGTGTTGGTACCATTCTTTAATCATGGCTGTGTTCTTAGGCAAAATTGTGAGTGAGCCCACTCCCTTGGCTGAGAAGCAACCCCACACATGAATGGTCTCAGGATGCTTTACTGTTGGCATGACACAGGACTGATGGTAGCGCTGACCTTGTCTTCTCCGGACAAGCTTTTTTCCGGATGCCCCAAACAATCGGAAAGGGGATTCATCAGAGAAAATGACTTTACCCCAGTCCTCAGCAGTCCAATCCCTGTACGTTTTGCAGAATATCAGTCTGTCCCTGATGTTTTTCCTGGAGAGAAGTGGCTTCCTCGCTGCCCTTCTTGACACCAGGCCATCCTCCAAAAGTCTTCGCCTCACTATGCGTGCAGATGTACTCACACCTGCCTGCTGCCATTCCTGAGCAAGCTCTGCACTGGTGGTGCCCCGATCCCGCAGCTGAATCAACTTTAGGAGACGGACCTGGCGCTTGCTGGACTTTCTTGGGCGCCCTGAAGCCTTCTTCACAACAATTGAACCTCTCTCGTTCTTGATGATCCGATAAATGGTTGATTTAGGTGCAAACTTACTAGCAGCAATATCCTTGCCTGTGAAGCCCTTTTTGTGCAAAGCAATGATGACGGCACGTGTTTCCTTGCATGTAACCATGGTTAACAGAGGAAGAACAATGATTTCAAGCACCACCCTCCTTTTAAAGCTTCTAGTCTGTTATTCTAACTCAATCAGCATGACAGAGTGATCTCCAGCCTTGTCCTCGTCAACACTCACCTGTGTTAACAAGACAATCACTGACATGATGTCAGCTGGTCCTTTTGTGGCAGGGTTGAAATGCAGTGGAAATGTTTTTCTGGGATTAAGTTCATTTTCATGGCAAAGAGGGACTTTGCAATGAATTGCAATTCATCTGATCACTCTTCATAACATTGTGGAGTATATGCAAATTCACATCATAAAAACTGAGGCAGCAGACTTTGAAAATTAATATTTGTGTCATTCTCAAAACTTTTGACCACGACTGTATAGTAACAAGTATGATGTGTATGTATAGTAACAAGTATGATGTTTAAAGACAGAGTGTGTGTACCTGAACTGCGTCCTCACTGCCGGAGCAGGCCCCTCTATGGATGAGGGCGTTGCCAGTGTCGATGACCCCACGGATACGGTCTGCGTTGGCGTGCAGCTCCGCCTCGAAGGCCTGGTGCTTCTGGTGCTTACTCTGTGAGCGCAGGCAGGGGAAGGGGGGGAGATCGGGAGTGAACTATGGGACGCAGTGGGTTGGTGGTGGATGGGTGACATCTCCCTTAGATTGTGTGAAAACACAATCCGGTAGGCTACTTAGAAACAATGTGTTGTTGTGTTTGAAAATATGGAGGCCGAGTACATGTATATATATTAGAATGGCACTTTTATAAGTGCGAGTCATTTTTCATGCATGTTTGTGTTTGGAGAGTAAATGGCTCCTAACTTGGGGATATTGTTTAAATTTTACATTTACGTCATTTAGCAGACATACATTTACGTCATTATCCAGAGTGACTTACAAATTGGTGCATTCACCTTATAGCCAGTGGGACAACCACTTTACAATATGTTTTTTTTTTTCTTTCTTTGGGGTGGGGTAAGGGGGGATGGATATATACACACATATACACTAAGACTACATCCAGGAGATGACTGTAGGACAAAATCCACACAAGAGGTGCCGTCATAAAAAAAAGATGATGTCACAAAGGTGAAATTCAGACACCACCAAACGAGGACAGACAATGTGTGGGATTGACTACTAACAAGACGAGACACACCAAGGTGACAAACACTAAATGTAGGTGGAACAGACCCACAATGGGGCCGCGACACAATTTACTTTTCAAGAGTACCTAGGAGGTCAGGGTCTTTTCAAAACTCATTCCACAATGTTTTTACACATCCAGAGAGAGAGAGTGCAGACAAAAAAAACACTTAAGCGAGGCGTCTGAGCTATCCTTGATGTTTGACAGATCTTTGGCAATACTTATTTTGTGGCTAAAGCGTGTTTTTTGTTCACAACCATGGTTGCTGCTAGCTTACATATCTCTATGATAGTCTCTACGTTAGCTACAATTAGGCAAGGCACAACCATTCTAAGCTGGAGGTCTCCTCTCCCTCTCAGGTCAATGTGTTTGATACACTACAGATGTGCTCAATTCAAATTTACATTGCAGTTTTGATAGATGGAAGCCGCTTTCTTTTACACTAAACGTTTCATAAAATTATATATCAAGGTTCTGTTATATTAAGATCAGAACATGTTTAGATATTTCTCAAGATTTATAGGACTATTTCAACAAAAGCAACAATATGTGGAGCGTGTTTGAAGATGACCTGACCTCAAACAAGCAAATAAAAACAAAGAAAACCCAAAATATGGAAGCCACAACCAGCAACTACAAGAAGTGACATTTGCTAAAATGATAACAGAACTACAGCCATATTACAAACATGTGCATTGATGGCAGAAGCTGAAGAAGAAAAAAAAATGAACACATGAATGAAACCCATACAAAAAAGAAGCGGGCACTCGCGAGTGTGGAGGAACACGGAAAATAGACGGACGGGATGGCGTTCTACATCAGACAAGGCAACAGACGGGGACACATGACAGAAAACCTACTTTGGATGTTAGTTTAGCTGACACACTACTCAACTTACCAGCAGCTTGGACAGCTATAAATAAGACAATAAAAACAGAGGAGAGATTCAGTCCCATATAGACATAACACATTGGGTTGGTTCAGTAGTTACAGGAGTAGTAGTAGTCATTGTTAACAAGGAGCAACAAGACATTTACACAGTATTAAACTGCAGTATTAAAACCACTGACAAGTTAGATGTCATTCAATTTATATTAACAAACCCTCACACAAAATGGGTTACCCATCTATTGAAACAAAAATATAATTAATTAAGTCATTATTTGATCGTGATCTATTGAACAGGTCAAAGTGTTTCATCTGATAAGAAAGCCTCGACAGGCTAGGTAAAAAGTTAACCCTAACCACTGCCAGAGGGTCAGATATTTGTCATCCTACTAATGGGTATGGGGTAGTAGGGTAAACTGACCCTAAATCTGTGGATAGGAGCAGCCCATAGAGATGGTTAGAGGGCGTACTTCCTATGGTAAAAGTCCTCCATGGCGCTGCCCATGCTATCATTGCCTTTTGTGGAAAGTGTGCCCTCTATCCATCTCTATGGGGCAGCGTGCTCAAACCTCTATGGGTGGAGCCCTGAGTTGCTGTTAGCCAATCCTGTACCTGGATGTTGGTGGGGTCCTTATAGGACTCGTCTGTGGCCGTCTGCAGCTTCTCGCTGATCCAAGCCTCGATCTCGTCCACGTCGCGGCTGAACTGCTGCAGAGTCTGGGACTCGCCCAGCTTGGAGCGCTTCTCAATCATCTGAGCCTTCAGATGGCGCCACCTACAGGCCGGGAGGACAAACACTGTTACAACCGGAGCAACAACGAACAGGCAGACAGTTACACACAAAGATGCCCACAAAGTCACACACATGGTCATCTAAAGAGAAAGACTGACCTGTCCAGGACTTCATTGCGACGGTTGAATATCTCAGGTTTGGCATAATGGTCAGCGCCAACCAGCTGGTCAGCAAAAGACTGTAGAGCAGCGATCTTCTCCTCCTGCACGTTGATGGCCTTGTCAAAGTCCTCGTGTTTCTTGATGAGAGCCTCCACGCTGTCCAGGGAGTCACCCTTGTCGTCGCTGGCCAGGAAGGCCTCTCGAGCCGCCATCCAGTTCTCTGCCTGTTCACAGTCACGGTTGAACAGCTGAGGGAGGAGAGCGAGAGAGAAGGAAAAAGAGAGAGAGGTTATTCACTGGCAGTGGATGTTGTATAGAGGCTAGTAATTGTTGTCTTGACCTGTTGAGTGGCGTTAAAAAACCAGTTTCTTTCTGTGGGTTGGCAAGCACACAAACTAGATTAGGCCTTGTTCAAAAGGTGCACTGTCAGGTCTGGTGCAACGGAACAAACTTATGTAGACACAAAAACATGTCCTTGAGTCGAAACAGCCAAAAGCCGCTGAGACAAGATGTTTGGTTTTGGAAGGATTCATCTGGCACTCTTCCATGTCCCAGGAGCAAAGATCAGCAAGAGGGGGTTTCTAAGAGTGCATGAAGAGTGTGTTTCTACACTCCCGAGTGGCGCAGTGGTCTAAGGCGCTGCATCGCAGTGCTAGCTGTGCCACTAGAGATCCTGGTTCGAATCCAGGCTCTGTCGTAGCCGGCCGCGACCGGGAGACCCATGGGGCGGCGCGCACAATTGGCCCAGCGTCGTCCAGGGTAGGGGAGGGATTTGGCCGGCAGGGGATGTAGCTCAGTTGGTAGAGCATGGCGTTTGCAACGCCAGGGTTGTGGGTTCGATAAAAATAATGTATGCACTAACTGTAAGTCGCTCTGGATAAGAGCGTCTGCTAAATGACTAAAATGTAAAAAAAATGTTCTACCTGGAGCTCCAGGCACTGGTCCAGCATCATGCGTCTCTGCACCCAGGCCTTCTCCAGGTCTGCCCTCTCGCGGTCCAAGGCCTCCAGCTTCTGCTGGATCTCAGGGCTGGCATAGTGGCCGCGCCCCAACAGCTGCTGACCAAACTGCTCAAAGGCCTGGAAGGTGCCCGCACGGGCGTCGATCTCAGTACGGTGCTCCTGGAGAGAAGGAAGAGCGAGAGACGGGGATGGTAAGAAGGTGATAACAAGTTTTGGATGGCGGTACCAGTGCAGTGTGTGTATGTGTGTGTGTAGAACCAGTACCTGGTGTCTCTCTAGCAGGGCCTCAGCCCCGGTCACGTCCTTGGCCAGCTCCTCAGAGGACACCAGGCCTCGGATGCCGTTGATCCAGGACATGAGGTCCCTGAAGTCGGAGAGGAAGCGCTGCAGGTCATGGGAGTTGCCTAGCTTGTCCTTGCGCTGGTCGGCGCGCCCCACCAGGCTGCTCCAGGCCGTATTGAGCTCTGTGCACTTCTCCTGGATGTCGTCCACCGCCTCCGGGTGGGACTGGATCAGACGCTCCGCTGTCTCCCCCAGGGAGTTCACCTGGAACAGGGGAGAGGAAGGCAAAGATCAGCTGAGGGTAAGTATTGTCTCTAAACAGCAGAGCAATGAAAGTGTGTGACTGTGTGTGTTTGAGAGACCGACTGTGTTCCCTCTCACCTTATCTCCCAGGGCGGCCAGGTCTCTCTCAAAGCCCTCGTGTTTGCGCTGCAGGGCCTGAACGCTGGCCAGGTCATGGCCGTAGTTGTCTGTGTTCAGGGCCTGGTTCTTCTCCTCGATCCACTCCTTGGTCTCATCCGCATCCCTGAGGACAACAAAAAGCAGCCATTTTGATTATGACTCCACACCAGCCATTTTGTTTCATGTGCGTTGTAATATTCACATCCACTCACTGTTTCTTGCTCTCAACTGTATGTGTGTGTGTTGTGTATATATATACCTGTGGAACCTCTGCACTTCGTGGGCACTACCCAGCATGTTGCTCCTCTCCTCTGCCAGCTGCTGCAGGGATCTCCAGCGGTTGTTCAGCTCCTACAAAACACACCCCCGGACACTTATCACCCAATCACAGAGCTAGACAGAGTTTCGCCAGGAGTCAATCACTCCCATGAGGCCTCTACCCAGGTTTCTGGAACCCAGCGCTCCAATTTAGCCGATTCAAATTGAGTGAATGTTTTAATGTATTGATAAGTCACTTATTTTCAGGATTTTATGATATTTAGACTATTGGTTGTATATCCTTCCAGGATAGGATAAATTCCATTTCAATTCAATAAATGAAAAATATATATATTTCATTTATTAGTTGAATTTGAACTCTTGTTTGAATTGACGGTTACAATGGAGCTCAATGAAATGGAGCCCAATCCTGGTAATCTTGACTTAAACTGATATCAGTGGTGAATATCAATCGTGAATCAATGCTCAAAGATTCAGTTTGTGCTCCGTGTGTTTGACAGACAGACTGACGTAAAAGGAGGCTGTTGAACACAGATGAGGGGTTGGTGACAAGGAAGAAGGGAAGTCAGACAGGGAGAGGGATGCATGGTGATGAGAACACACAGGATGGAGAAACAAACGACAACAAAACGCTAGGGTTACAAAGATGGTGTTGAGGCATATTTCAATGCCTTTTTGTACCAGCCACCAGCCATCCTTCCTTTTGAAAACAATAACAATGGTTAAAGAAGAGGGGGATGAAACAAATGAAAAACGGAACGAGGGACAAGGCCATTCAATGACATCGGTCACATGATTAGAACAAAAAACGATGTAAGACCAGACCAGTCCAGTCCAATGTGCAAGACAATGGAACCACAGGACGACCACGAACAGACGGCAAGACAACAATGAGACTGTTGATGGAAGGGTTAGTCTCCCGAACAAACACGATGCAGGTATGAGACAAGCCAGGAGGACATAATGCAAGGGAGGAGGAGGGGGCGGGATCAGGGGCGGGACCGAGGGAGTGGTCTTGAAAAATCTTACCTTGATAGTATTAAAGTTAGCCGTCGTTTGAACAGCCAAGCGTACATTCTACAATCAACGGTGAAATAAACAGATCAGAAAGGAGGGAGGAGAGGAAAAGGGGGGGAGGAGAGGAAAAGGGGGGGAGGAGGGAAAGGGGATTTGGACAAAAACAGAAAACACCACACCAGTCAAGAGAGGCACCATGTTAGCCCAGCAGGGAGGTAAAGGCTGCCCACGTCTTTACACTGTTTCCCAAGAGACAACCGGCACCATCACCATGGCAATAGAAGAGCAGCAGAACCTAAAGTAGGCACTGAACCTGAAATGAACCCCAAAATGGACTGCTACAGATACAGTGCACTAGGTAATATGGACATGTATGTGTAGGGTGTCCATAGAGAGACATAATACTGTGTTCTAATTCTATTTATATGGATGTGTCAAGATATGTGTCTGCATTTGTCTTTTCGGGCTGCTTTACATTTGAAAATGAACTGATTTTGAGGAATAATGTTTACCCTAATGAGTAAACAGCTAGCAAGTAAACAGAGTAGCTACTTAACAGTGGAGTACAGCTAAGGCACCTCGGGGGTTTGTGGTATATGGCCAATATACCACGGCTAAGTGATGTTCTTAAGCATGATGCAACGCAGAGTGCCTGGATACAGCCCTTAGCCGTGATATATTGGCCATATACCACAAACCCCCGAGGTGCCTTATTGCTATTATAAACTGGTTACCAACATAATTAGAGCAGTAAAAATAAATGTTTTGTCATACCCGTGGTATACTGTCTGATATACCACGGCTGTCAGCATTGATAGTATTACAGCCGTGGTATATCAGACCATATAACACTGGTATGACAACATTTTATTTGTACTGCTCTAATTACGTTGGTAACCAGTTTATAATAGCAATAAGGCACCTCGGGGGTTTGTGGTATATGGCCAATATATCACGGCTAAGGGCTGTATCCAGGCACTCTGCGTTGCGTCATGCTTAAGAACATCACTTAGCCGTGGTATATTGGCAATATACCACACCCCCTCGTGCCTTATTGCTTAAGTAGAGTAGCTGTACTCCACTGTTAAGTAGCTACTCTGTTTACTTGCTAACTGTTTACTCATTAGGGTAAACATTATTCTTCAAAACCACACCCCATCGAGCTTTATTGTTTAAGTATACAGTAGATAGAATGGTGAGTGCCACTGCCAGGTCTTCCATTCGTTTGTCTCTTGTTTGTGTTAACAAGTACGTCTTACATGAACTGATGTAAGCCCTTATGAACAAGGCTGAGTTAGTGGGCATGATTTAGGTTCATTCAAATAGTTTTGACTCCCACTGTGTCAAAAACCACACAATGCAGTTCAATCATGCTCAGGTTCATATGACAAGTCCAGATTGACAGGCTGCTACATGCTGTCCAATCTTAGCAGTTGTCTGTTATGGACTAAAACAACATTAAAATAACATGGCCAGGACACAAAATGTTTTGTTTGGAAGCACATGAAACCATGTTGATTGGTCATGTCAGAGGACGAGCGTCTTACCTTCCATGGTGAGGCATTCTTGTTATCAGCCTCATCCTGTTAGAACAAAGAGGGGAATTTGGGTTGACGTTGATGGCACATCTATACATTTCGATTGCATTAACTTTCCTTACCAGTATAATGTATTGCAACTGTGGAATCGTCTTACCTGTCCAGGAGCAGATCCCAGCATCACTTGTTCCTAGAGAGGAGAAGAGAGGAGAGAGGAAAAGAGAGGACAAGAGGAGAGAAGAGAGGAGGAGAGAGATAAATGTTGCCATAAACTCAATGTTTAAGCTGAAGTGATTACATTTGATTTGTTGCAAATAATGTACAAAATAATTTTTACAAATTCTCATAATAACATCCATTCCATATGCTTTTATCTTTGACCTCTAATATGAAACATATTAAATATCTCTGCAGTGGTTGGCTACACCATCCTACCTGAGCTTGGACCATGGTTGCCTCCTCTGCCATCAGGCCCTCAGACTCCAGCTCAGACGCCACCTTGTTGATGTCCCTCAGACGAGACTCATTGGCCTTCAGGTCCTTGGAGCCAAACAAACAGAAGACAGACAGTCAACACAAAACTCATACCAGTATTCACCAATGTACTGGATGAGATTGGACAGCATAGATTAGAAGAACTGAATAAGTGTAGTGCACACATTGCTCCTATGCTTGAACTGGATTTTTAAATGCTTTTTAGTCCAGTAAGTCAGATAGTGCCCTTCTCCTACTCTTGGCGGCCATGTTGTGTGCAGCGTACCTTCTGGAAGTCGTCAAACTTCTTCTGCAGCACCTCCACCTGCTCCAGGTCGGAGCCCACTTCTTCGTTGGTGAGGGCTCCCTCCTTCTCGTTGATCCACTGCTGCAGTTCGTTGGCCTCGCGGAACAGCATGAACTTCTTGCAGCTCTTCTCCAGCATGTCCTTGCGCTTCTCGCCCAGCTCCTGGAGAGTTCCGTACCTAAAAATACAGGATAAAGGCTTTTAGAATCCCCTGTGTTGGTGTAAAAAATAAGGGGAGACTGGGTAGTGGACAAATGTATCAACGCTGAAGTGTCAATACATGATGATTTACAGGGAGAGCTGAGAGCACTAGGGTTGTTGCCAAGATTATTAGATTTCAATTTGGATTACCGTAATCATTTTGAGCAAATGTTAAATACCGGTAGACCTCCAGGGTCAGCCCTAAAGTGCACAACTCTCCACTGTGATAACTGATGTGTGGTGAGCTTTCTGGCGCAGCACAAAATGGCTGCCATGGCATCCCTCAGGTGGTTGCAACACATTGGTGGCGGATTAGGTGATTTCCCCCTTACTATGTTGACAATTTCATATGATGCCATTGGAATGACGTAATCAGCCAGGTTTGTAACATGGCTGTCTATGACGCAGAGGGACAAACACGTCTATACGTTCTCATGGAGAAACAGAATGCAAGTGACAGCTCATGACACCCACAGGAAAGCTTGGAGATGGGAGGGAAAAGGAGAGATGAAGGAGAGATGAAGCTTCTATCCTTCTGTTGAATAGAAGATGAGTAATGGATATGAGAAAGAGAGAAAGCGCGTGCGCACTGGAACCACAGTCACAAGGACCACGACATCGACATGGGTATTGATTGAAGGAGTGGCGGGAATGGCAATGGCGTTGCCCGTGGCGATGCGTGGTGGCTTCACAAACACGACACCCTACGGGGACACTGGTCCTACTCACAGTTCCTCCACCTGCTTCATGCGTACAGACACACTGCACGCCTCCTTGGCCAACGGCCTGCTCAGTCCAGACATGACATGTGCAGGCAGGCAGGCGTTAGTGGTTAGAGAGAGAAACAGAGACAGATGGAGAAAAGGGCAAAAGGCCGTTAGTGATAGAGAAAAGTGTGACTCTCTAGGCTGTTTCACTAAGGAAGAGAAAGGGATCCAAAAATGATTTGAAAAAAGAGAGAGACCGAAAAGGAGAGAGGGACAGACAGAAGGCGAGCGAGACAGAGAAGGCGAGAGCGAGAGAGACAGAAGGCGAGAGCGACAGACAGAAGGCGAGAGCGAGAGAGACAGACAGAAGGCGAGAGCGAGAGAGACAGACAGAAGGCGAGAGCGAGAGAGACAGACAGAAGGCGAGAGCGAGAGAGACAGACAGAAGGCGAGAGCGAGAGAGACAGACAGAAGGCGAGAGCGACAGACAGAAGGCGAGAGCGAGAGACAGAGAAGGCGAGAGCGAGAGACAGAGAGAAGGCGAGCGAGAGACAGAGAGAAGGCGAGCGAGAGAGACAGAAGGCGAGCGAGAGACAGACAGAAGGCGAGAGCGAGAGACAGAAGGCGAGAGAGAGAGAGACAGAAGGCGAGCGAGAGAGAGACAGAAGGCGAGCGAGAGAGAGACAGAAGGCGAGCGAGAGAGAGACAGAAGGCGAGCGAGAGAGACAGAAGGCGAGAGAGAGAGACAGAAGGCGAGAGAGAGAGACAGAAGGCGAGAGAGAGAGACAGAAGGCGAGAGAGAGAGACAGAAGGCGAGAGAGAGAGACAGAAGGCGAGAGAGAGAGACAGAAGGCGAGAGAGAGAGACAGAAGGCGAGAGAGAGAGACAGAAGGCGAGAGAGAGAGAGACAGAAGGCGTGAGAGCGACAGACAGAAGGCGAGAGAGAGACAGACAGAAGGCGAGAGAGAGAGACAGAAGGCGAGAGAGACAGAAGGCGAGAGAGAGAGACAGAAGGCGAGAGAGAGAGACAGAAGGCGAGAGCGACAGACAGAAGGCGAGAGAGCGACAGACAGAAGGCGAGAGCGAGAGAGACAGACAGAAGGCGAGAGCGAGAGAGACAGACAGAAGGCGAGAGCGAGAGAGACAGACAGAAGGCGAGAGCGAGAGAGACAGACAGAAGGCGAGAGCGAGAGAGACAGACAGAAGGCGAGAGCGAGAGACAGACAGAAGGCGAGAGCGAGAGACAGACAGAAGGCGAGAGCGAGAGACAGACAGAAGGCGAGAGCGAGAGAGACAGACAGACGGCGAGAGCGAGAGAGACAGACAGAAGGCGAGAGCGAGAGAGACAGACAGAAGGCGAGAGCGAGAGAGACAGACAGAAGGCGAGAGCGAGAGAGACAGACAGAAGGCGAGAGCGACAGACAGAAGGCGAGAGCGAGAGAGACAGACAGAAGGCGAGGAGAGACAGACAGAAGGCGAGAGCGAGAGAGACAGACAGAAGGCGAGAGCGAGAGAGACAGACAGAAGGCGAGAGCGAGAGAGACAGACAGAAGGCGAGAGCGAGAGAGACAGACAGAAGGCGAGAGCGAGAGAGACAGACAGAAGGCGAGAGCGAGAGAGACAGACAGAAGGCGAGAGCGAGAGAGAGAGACAGAAGGCGAGAGCGAGAGAGACAGAAGGCGAGCGAGAGAGAGACAGAAGGCGAGAGAGAGAGAGACAGAAGGCGAGAGAGAGAGAGACAGAAGGCGAGAGAGAGAGAGACAGAAGGCGAGAGAGAGAGAGACAGAAGGCGAGAGAGAGAGAGAGACAGAAGGCGAGAGAAAGAGCGACAGACAGAAGGCGAGAGAGAGAGCGACAGACAGAAGGCGAGAGAGAGAGCGACAGACAGAAGGCGAGAGCGACAGACAGAAGGCGAGAGCGACAGACAGAAGGCGAGAGCGACAGACAGAAGGCGAGAGCGACAGACAGAAGGCGAGAGCGACAGACAGAAGGCGAGAGCGACAGACAGAAGGCGAGAGCGACAGACAGAAGGCGAGAGCGACAGACAGAAGGCGAGCGAGAGAGAGACAGAAGGCGAGAGAGAGACAGAAGGCGAGAGAGAGAGGAGAGAGAGAGACAGAAGGCGAGAGAGAGAGAGGAGAGAGAGAGACAGAAGGCGAGAGAGAGAGACAGAAGGTGAGAGAGAGAGACAGAAGGCGAGAGAGAGAGACAGAAGGCGAGAGAGAGAGACAGAAGGAGAGACAGAAGGAGAGAGAGACAGAAGGAGAGAGAGACAGAAGGAGAGAGAGACAGAAGGAGAGAGAGACAGAAGGAGAGAGAGACAGAAGGAGAGAGAGACAGAAGGAGAGAGAGACAGAAGGAGAGAGAGACAGAAGGAGAGAGAGACAGAAGGCGAGAGAGAGAGACAGAAGGCGAGAGAGAGAGACAGAAGGCGAGAGAGAGAGACAGAAGGCGAGAGAGAGAGAGAAGGCGAGAGAGAGAGAGAGAGAGAGAGAAGGCGAGAGAGAGAGAGAGAGAAGGCGAGAGAGAGAAGGCGAGAGAGAGAGAGAAGGCGAGAGAGAGACAGAAGGAGAGAGATGACAGGGGCATCAAAGAGGTAAATGTTATTGGGTTGAGCGCACACGCACATTTGTTCAAGTCAGGCAACGTTAGAACACATTAGAATACACAGTTAATTAACCCATTAGGGACAACACGTCCTAAGTTAAAGGGGTAAAAGTGGTAAATAACTATACAGAGATGCAGGAGTGTACTGAAGAGAAGTACTGGGGATAGGGGTACTAGGGATGGGGTATTCTGGAACTGGCTTAGGTGGAGGGAATAGAAGTAGGCCCTTACTGGTTCTCGATCTGATCCTGGCGCAGGCCGATGCTTCCCTGCTCATCCAGCAGGTTCTCTCTGGAAGAGGACTGGGTGGGATCCAGCTTCTTGACGTAGGCTGCCGGCACAAAACCCTGGCGGTCGTTCACCTCCACCTTCCACCAGTCCTACAGCAGGGGAGAGAGGGGAGGTCAGGAGAAAGGACCACAGGAGAAGACATGCTCTTTTTATCCCCCATAAAAGATGAAGAGATTAGTCCCAAACTATCTTGCTTATACCCTTACAATTATTTCCGTTCTACATCAAGTGCCTAGTCATGGGTATGAGCTAGCAGTTGTTTCTGGTACAAGGCTTTTGTTCATCTCGCTAAGATGCTGTGTTTGTGTGTACCTTGTTAGTGCTGTTGAGCAGGGTGAGGATGTCTCCCTTCTTCATGGTGACCTCGCGGGGGCTCTTCTCCTGGTAGTCATAGAGGGCCAGCACCAGCTCTTTACCCGTCTCATCATCGGTAGGAGCCACTTGTTGCTGCAGGTGTAATGAAAAATAAGAATTATAGGTGCAATCTAGACGATGGCAACATGAACATATTAGTTTGTGTATATGATAGACCTGGAGTTGTAAAGAAATTATAGATTTGTTGGACCTCTGGTTCTCAGATGTTTGCACGGATGTGAAACACAGTTTTTTAACTAGTTAGTTTAGGCATTCATTAGTTGTCAAATGGCTCACATCCATATTACAATAAGGCTAAATATACAATGTGGGTCCCAGACTTACCCTACAGGTTTGGGCCTGCTCCTTCAGAGCCTGAATGCTGCTTCCATAGGCACTCAGGTCAGACATCAGGGCTTCGTGCTTCTTCAGCAGGGCCTGGGAAAGAGCAGAGCAGGGAGGGGTGAGTATCATCTCCACTTTACATCCTCCAACATTCTACATCCAAACCTATCCTCAAACAAAGTATTCATTCATTCATTAATTCACCTCCTTAATTTACCCACCTAGATAACCAAATGTCCCTCTCCGCCTCCCTTACCTCAGCAGAGTCCTCGTCCTTGCCGTAGTCGGGGCTGCCCACGATGGGCTCCTTCTCCCTCATCCAGGACTCTGCCTCGTTGGCGTCAGCAAAGTACTGCTGGGCCTGCAGAGAGTCCTCCAGGTCCTGCCTGCGCTGGCCGGCCTTGCCCTTCAGGGTGTCCCAGCGGCCATTCAGCTCCTCCAGCTTCACCTTCACCTCCTCCCTGGCAAAGTGACCTAGTGGGGACCACAGGGAGAGGGGGATTGTTTATTTATTGGAGGGTAAATCATTGAGAAAAATATTTTACAATAAAGACCTGGAGAGCGGGGTTGGGACAATTCCATTTTAGTTCAGTCAATTCAGGAAGTTAACTTAAATTGACTGAATTTAAATGGAATTGACCCAACCTATTAGATAGTCAACAGGTGAACAGTTGAAAAAGGTGACAGTATGCATGTTAGTAAGAGCCGGCTTACCTTCCTCCACCATGGCCTCTCCCTTTTGAGTGACAGCCTTGATGCGGGGTTCGTGGCCGGCGATCTCCGCTTGCAGGGCCTGGTGCTTCTTCAGCAAGTTCTGAACGCCAATCAAGTCTTTTCCCCGGTTGGTGGAGGCGGCGATGGGCTCCTTCTCCCGGATCCAGGTCTCCTCGTCCTCCACATCCCTGAAGAGCTGCTGCAGCCGCAGGGAGTCCGATAGCTTCTGCTTACGGGCAGCCATTGGGTCGCGAAGGGCGTCATAGCGCGCCACCAGCGCCTCCTGCTTGCGCTTGATGTTGTCGGCGTCAAAGTGGCCCGCCTCCTGGAACTGACGTGCCTGGATGGTGATGCCGTCAATGCGGTCCTGGAGAGGGGAGAGCCAGTCGGTCAGTTACGTGGTGGCAGTAAGACTTACCTTGTGCACTGCCAGACAGTATAAGTCAGCCAGTCGACACAAATATTTGAATGCCTGAATATTGTAGACCATAATAATGTCTCTGCAACTGGGCAATGAAGGCGACTTGGAGTGGCAACTCCCATGCATAAAATCACAGAGTTCATATTTGCCGGTCAATCAAAAACCTATAGATCAGCACAGTCCAGCTGTTTCTAGGAACTACCAGGCATGGATGGGATTCTTCTAATTAGAGAAGCAACACACTGTCTAGCTGCTCACAGAGGTAAATGCAACAGTGTCTGTCAGTAGTTTACTTTTTGGGTCTAGTGATGGCAGTCAGTCAGTCAGTCAGTTACCTGGTGATGGCAGTCAGTCGGTCAGTTACCTGGTGATGGCAGTCAGTAGGGCAGTTACCTGGTGATGGCAGTAGGGCAGTTACCTAGTTTTGATATGACAGTAAATCATTACCTGGTGTGCGACCACATCGGCCTCCAGCAGGGCGTGTTTCTTCTGCAGGTTCTGGACACTGGTCAGGTCCTTGCCGTAGTCGTCGGAGGCCAGGTGGCCCTCCACCTCGTACAGCCACAGCTCAATGTCCTCCACATTCCTGTTAAACTGCTGCTGCTGGTTGGCCTCACGCAGCTTGATGCCTGGGGAGAGAGGAGAGGGTTGTGAGGAGAGGTTTAAGGGTAGATGAAATTAAGTTGGATGTAAGTATTGAAGTAAGAGGAAGGGAAGTTCTACATTTGTAGGTTTGGTTTCAGATATTGGGGCTCTGAAATGAAACCTAATGTAGGGACTAAAAACAAGCTTAAAATCTAACAAATGCACCTTTTTGCAGCGCTCCTCTACAGAGTCACTAGCGTCGCCACCATTTTATATTTCCTCCACTCGAGGAAAACTCTAAATGGTGGTTGCTATAATAATAATAATAATAATAATAATAATAATAATAATAATAATAGCCACACACTCCATCTGAACTGCCTCTCTCCCACTCATCTCACCTTTGAGCTCGGTGGCCTCCAGCAGCTTCTTCCACTGGGAGCTGACCTCGTCCATGCGGACCGACACTTCGTCGGCGGCGTAGTGCTTGCCGTCCAGGAGCTCCTGTCCAGACTTCTGCAGCGCATCGATGCGGCTCTGGTTGGCTGACAGCTCCGCCTCGAAGGCCTGGTGTTTCTGGACCTTGCCCTGCAGGTTGGACGGGTCCTGAGGAGAACAGAAAGAGCAGAGAGATAGTGTAAGGAAGGGGTTGTTATAAGTATTAGGCCAGAGTACTGGGAAGAAGGAACTGTATGGTTCACAGTGGTATTGCAGCCTAATAGGATCCCATTGCAGTCTAGGAGGAAGCCATGTTGAGTATTGAAACCCCATTAGAAAGTACTAAGTAGCTAACTAATTAGCTAAAGTATACCACTATAAAGTAGCTAACTAACTAGCTAAAGAACATCACTATAAAGTAGCTAACTAAGAAACATTGATACCTTGTAGGCTTCGTCGGTAGCCGTCTTCATCTTCTCGTTGATCCAGCTCTTGAGCTCGTCCGAGTCGCGGGAGAACTGCTGCAGGTGGAAGGAGTCCTCCAGGGCGGCGCGGCGGGACTGGGCACGCTCATGCAGGGCGTTACGGCGGCTCAGCAGCTGAAGGGTGGGTGAGATTTTATACACAACACCCAGGATATGGTATAAGCAGATATAGGGTGGCAGGTAGCCTAGTGGTTCAGAGCGTCGGGCCAGTAACCGAAAGGTCGCTGGTTCGGACCCCCAAGCCGACTAGGTGAAAAATCTGGGCACTTGGGCAAGGCACTTAACCCTAATTGCTCTGGATAAGAGCATCTGCTAAATGACTAAAATGTCAATGTAAAATAGAGAGTACAAAGTGCTACAAACATAGGACACATTGCTGTCCTGATCATCGTATTCTACTTACAGCATCTCTACGAGTGGCCACATCCTCCTTGGCATAGTGGTTGTTCTGGATCAGTTTGGTGGCAAATTCATCCAGGGCCTGGAGAGAGGTTAGAGGTTAAGCGTAAGATTTGAGGAGGAAAAGCTGATCCTAGTGGTTACGGTTTGGTACTCACAGTGATCTTCTCCTCCTGGGCGCTGAGGGACTTCTCAAAGTCCTCGTGTTTCTTCAGCAGGGCCTCCACGCTATCCAGAGAGTCACCAAGGTCCTCGTTCAGAAGGAACGCCTGCACGCACACAATAATTACTTCACACCCAAACATTTTTGGAGAATAATAATTTGAGTGTAATTAAGTGAGCATGTTATTGTGTGTGGATGGAGATACCTCTTGCTTGCTCATCCAGTTGTCAACCTGCTCCGTGTCCCTGTAGAAGAGCTGCAGGTCCATGCACTGCTCGTACTGCTGCCTGCGCACCTCCCACAGCTCCAGCAGAGACTCCTTCTCCTCAGTCAGGACACCCAGCTACACACACACACGGATGGATGGGGTTCAATTAATCTGTCCACAGGTCCATGTAAAAGCTTGAATTCCAAACCAAGGACAAAGAGACAGACAGATAGCCCTACCTTCTCCTTGACCTCCTCGGAGGCGTAGTGTCCGGTGTTGAGCAGAGCCTGGCCGGCCTCGTCCGTGGCTTTGAAGCTGTCCTCATGGGCATCAATCTCACCCTAGGACCACACACACAGTAAACATTAGCAACATTGCAGGAAAAACTAGCATCACTGATTGAAGATCTGAGAAAATATACAGTACTTCACAACTGCAATTTTTTAAAATTATTATTATGATCAGTTTCCTGTACCTTGTGTTCCTGGTGACGGTCGAGAAGAGCCTCAGCTCCAGCCACGTCGTTGGCCAGCTCATCAGCGTTGATCAGGGCCTTCATCTCCGTCACCCAGCTGGTCAGGTCACGGAAGTCTGAAGTGTAGCGCTGCAGCCTGCAGGGGGCAAAACACACAGTCAGTCAGATGATAGGGTTCTACATACTTTCAACTAAACTGGGCTCAAATGGCTGATAAATGTGTTGTTTGACCATGCTATTGGGTAGTTGCTGTGTGTTGAGCGCAGTGGTGTTACGGTACTGACCCAGTAAAGTTACGGTAGTGACACTGCAAAGTTATGATAGTGACATAGTAACGTTACGATACTGACACAGTAAAGTTACAGTAGTGACACTGCAATGTTATGGTAGTGACATAGTAACATTACGGTACTGACTCAGTAAAGTTAAGAGTGTTTGCTGTTAAGGCGGCCAGGGTTTTACCGGTACCCACCTGTAGGAGTCATTGAGGCGGGCGTGGCGCTCGGCGGCCAGCGTGCGGATCTGCTCCCAGTTGGTGATGAGCTCGTCCCTCTTCATGTGGATCTGGGAGGCGTTCTGGGGGTGGGTCTGCTGCAGACGTTCAGCCTCTCCGCCCAGAGTGTTGACCTTGTCCTCCAGGGCAGCCAGGTCTCTCTCCAGGCCCTCGTGCTTGCGCAGCAGGGCCTGAACGCTGGCCAGGTCCCGGCCAAAGTCATCGGATGCCATGAGCTGCTCCTTCTCCTTGATCCAGCTGATGGTCTCGTCCACATCCCTGCAGGCCACATAACACTCTCAGTCAGAACAGAAAATCAACATTTATTGATCCTCTCAGTTCTCTTGTGGCTTCCCCATCACACAGACACCCACACACACTAAAAGAAACACACACCCAGCCTGTCCTGGGCATACCTGTTAAATCGCTGCACCTCGGCGGCTCCGAACAGCCTGCCCTGCCTCTGCTGCGCCAGGCCCTTGAGCCTCTGCCAGGCGGCGTTCACCTCCTCCTGCTTGCGAACGATGAGCTCCGCCTCGGGGTGGGACTCCTGGCTCAGCTTGCCCGCCAGCTGGTTCACCTCGTTCACGCGCTCCTCATGGGCTGCCAGGTCCGTTTGGAACTCCTCAAACTTCTTCTGGAGCACCTCTACGTGCTCCAGGTCCTGGCCCAGCTCCTCCGAGGTGGCCATGGCCTCCTGTTAGACACGGGTTTTGGTAAGCTTTAGGATCGGTTATCTAGTAGGGCCCTGCAGACATGGTTTAGGGATCGGTTATCTAATAGGGCCCTGCAGACATGGTTTAGGGATCGGTTATCTAATAGGGCCCTGCAGACATGGGGAGGCTAATGTTTAGGATTGGTATTCTAGTAGGGCCCTGCAGACATGGGGAGGCTAATGTTTAGGATTGGTATTCTAGTAGGGCCCTGCAGACATGGGGAGGCTAATGTTTAGGATTGGTATTCTAGTAGGGCCCTGCAGACATGGGGAGGCTAATGTTTAGGATTGGTATTCTAGTAGGGCCCTGCAGACATGGGGAGGCTAATGCTTAGGATTGGTATTCTAGTAGGGCCCTGCAGACATGGGGAGGCTAATGCTTAGGATTGGTATTCTAGTAGGGCCCTGCAGACATGGGGAGGCTAATGTTTAGGATAGGTTGTCTATAAATGTCCTATGGCAATGGCCTCCTGTTGGACATGATTTAGGGTAAGGTCATGTTGTCTATTAGGGTTCTGTAGACATGTTTTAGGCCATGGTCTCCAGTAGAGATACATGTAGAGATAATCAACAGGAAAACGCTCATCCAGATGCAGCGCTCCTAGTAGCCGGGGAGTTTAATGCAGGGAAACTTAAATCCGTTCTACCTCATTTCTACCAGCATGTTAAATGTGCAACCAGAGGGGAAAAAACTCTAGACCACCTTTACTCCACACACAGAGACGCATACAAAGCTCTCCCTCGCCCTCCATTTGGCAAATCTGACCATAACTCTATCCTCCTGATTCCTGCTTATAAGCAAAAACTGAAGCAGGAAGCACCAGTGATTCGGCTAATAAAAAAGTGGTCAGATGACGCAGATGCTAAGCTACAGGACTGTTTTGCTAGCACAGACTGGAACATGTTCCGGGATTCTTCAGACAGCATTGAGGAGTACACCACATCAGTCACTGGCTTCATCAATAAGTGCATCGATGATGTCGTCCCCACAGTGACCGTACGTACATACCCCAACCAGAAGCCATGGATTACAGGAAACATCCGCACTGAGCTAAAGGGTAGAGCTGCCGCTTTCAAGGAACGGGACTCTAACCCGGACGCTTATAAGAAATCCCGCTATGACCTCCGACGAACCATCAAACAGGCAAAGAGTCAATACAGGTCTAAGATTGAATCATACTACACTGGCTCTGACGCTCGTCGGATGTGGCAGGGCTTGAAAACTATTACAGACTACAAAGGGAAGCACAGCCGCGAGCTGCCCAGTGACACAAGCCTACCAGACGAGCTAAACCACTTCTATGCTCGCTTCGAGGCAAGCAACACTGAAGCATGCATGAGAGCACCAGCTGTTCCGGACGACTATGTGATCACGCTCTCCGTAGCCGATGTGAGTAAGACTTTTAAGCAGGTCAACATTCACAAGGCCGCAGGGCCAGACGGATTACCAGGACGTGTACTCCGAGCATGTGCTGACCAACTGGCAAGTGTCTTCACTGACATTTTCAACATGTCCCTGACTGAGTCTGTAATACCAACATATTTCAAGCAGACCACCATAGTCCCCGTGCCCAAGAACTCTAAGATAACCTGCCTAAATGACTACCGACCCGTAGCACTGACGTCTGTAGCCATGAAGTGCTTTGAAAGACTGGTCATGGCTCACATCAACAGCATAATCCCAGAAACCCTAGACCCACTCCAATTTGCATACCGCCCCAACAGATCCACAGATGATGCAATCTCTATCGCACTCCACACTGCCCTTTCCCACCTGGACAAGAGGAACACCTACGTGAGAATGCTATTCATTGACTACAGCTCAGCATTCAACACCATAGTGCCCTCTAAGCTCATCACTAAGCTAAGGATCCTGGGACTAAACACCTCCCTCTGCAACTGGATCCTGGACTTCCTGACGGGCCGCCCCCAGGTGGTAAGGGTAGGTAACAACACATCTGCCACACTGATCCTCAACACGGGGGCCCCTCAGGGGTGCGTGCTCAGTCCCCTCCTGTACTCTCTGTTCACCCATGACTGCATGGCTAGGCACGACTCCAACACCATCATTAAGTTTGCCGACGACACAACAGTGGTAGGCCTGATCACCGACAACGATGAGACAGCCTATAGGGAGGAGGTCAGAGATCTGGCCGTGTGGTGCCAGGACAACAACCTCTCCCTCAACGTGACCAAGACAAAGGAGATGATTGTGGACTACAGGGAAAAAAAGAGGACTGAGCACGCCCCCATTCTCATCGACGGGGCTGTAGTGGAACAGGTTGAGAGCTTCAAGTTCCTTGGTGTCCACATCACCAACGAACTATCATGGTCCAAACACACCAAGACAGTCGTGAAGAGGGCACGACAAAGCCTATTCCCCCTCAGGAGACTAAAAAGATTTGGCATGGGTCCTCAGATCCTCAAAAAATTCTACAGCTGCACCATCGAGAGCATCCTGACTGGTTGCATCACCGCCTGGTATGGCAACTGCTTGGCCTCTGACCGCAAGGCACTACAGAGGGTAGTGCGTACGGCCCAGTACATCACTGGGGCAAAGCTCCCTGCCATCCAGGACCTCTATACCAGGCGGTGTCAGAGGAAGGCCCTCAAAATTGTCAAAGACTCCAGCCACCCTAGTCATAGACTGTTATTTTACTTCTGCTCTTTTTTTCTCAACACTTTTTTGTTGTTGTTTTATTCTTACTTTTTTGTTTAAAATAAAGACTGTGTAGGTGTATAAGCTTTCAGGTTGAGTACATGTGACCTTGTGATGAGATGAAGATGTGTGAGACTTCAGGTTGAGACACTGACCTTGTCACTGATCCAGTCCAGGGCATCCTCACACTCGCGCAGGTACTGCACCAGCTTCTGGGCCTGCAGCAGACGAACACCCTTCTCCTTGGTCTTCAGCAGCAGCAGGTCCCAAAGACGGTGCAGCTCCTCCAGACGAGTCTACAGGCAGAAAGGCAAACAATTTACACAGGGTGATGGAAAGTGATTCAAGACCAGGGCCCATATTCACAGTCTCTCAGAGTTGGAGTGCTGATCTGGGATCAGGTCCCCTCTGTCCATACAACGTTATTCACTACGATCTAAAAGAGAAATTAGGGCCCGTATTCATAAAGTATCTCAGAGTAGGAGTGCTGACCTAGGACCAGCCCCCCCCCCCCCCCCTGTGATCTTGTCCATTATGATACAAAAGTTACAACTGATCCCAAATCAGCACTCCTACTCAGACACAGGTTATGGGTCCAGTACTATGGGTCCAGTACTTGCTGAAGCTGTAGTTTGAGACCAAGATAAGTGCTTATCAATGGAAAATAGGCACACACATCATGCACTTATCATAAAGTCTTCATAAATATGTCATAACCACACAGCAAACAGAATGGATCTGACAGAATTAAAAGGCAGTGGAACCTAAAAAGAGAGAGAAACACAAGAGCCAGGAGGTCCACATCACCCAAGCACCTACTTTTATATAGTCAGCCATATTGAAACTTGAGACTATGGGTCTCTGGGAAGTCCGGTAGGGCGTGAAGGACTGAACCAGACATGATCGGGTTAAAAAGTGTGGATTGTGTAGATCTATCTTGGTCAGGCACATAGCTCAGCGGACTGTGTGGGTGTGTCTTTGTCTCTTACGCGGATGGTTTCGGAGGCAAAGTGGCCTTCGGAGATCATGAGGTTGCCAGTCTCGTCCAGCTTAATGATGGCTCCAGCGTTGGCCTGCACCTCAGCCTCGAAGGCCTGATGTTTCTGGAGCTTGCCCTGTGGGGGGAGGGGAGAGGAGGCATGTTAGCATGGCACAAAGACTACAGTGGACAGGACAGAAATACCTGGCCAAGGGTCACAGCATTTAAGGATTATGATGTACTGATCATTCTATGTGAGGAGTTTTATGGCCTTGCGGTTTCATTTCGAATGGCCACTGGAGAGGCTACAAGTCAGTCAATTCACAAAAAGTGTCTCGTGCACACTGTAATAAAGTAAGGTGACAATAAAATGGAATCAGGATGTTACCATTCATTTTGTCAAAGCCCAGCATACAGCACCACACAAATTCCAATAGCCTAAAATGGCAACTGGACAGGCTAATCATAAATCTACCCGGAGCTGTTGAAATGCAATGTGCGATAGGTAGGTACTGTTATGCCGTATGCTGACAGACACACGGACAAGGCAGACTGACCTGGAGGTTGGTAGGGTCCTTGTAGTTCTCATCAGAGGCGATCTGCAGCTTCTCCTGGATCCACTTCTCCAGCTCGTCAGCATCGCGGCGGAAGAACTGGAAGCGGTACGAGTCCTCCAGCTTCTGCCGGCGCACGCCCGACAGCTCCTTGAAGCGCCGGTAGCGGTCCAACACCTGCTGCCGGCGCTCCTGGATGTCATCTGCAGACTCCAGCACTTTCACCCCACTGGTATCCATTCTCTGATGACATACAAGGGGGGGGTAATCATTAACACTTCTTACCATATGCAACAAAACGATTCTGCTGGAACTTTTGTTTTCTAGTTGTTAGCATTAATAGTTACTACAATTGAGATGAGTGGATGAGAATGCCGTCAGCCATCTTGACAAATGCATGAGTTTATGAACAAGATAGCTGCTACCATTTGTCCATCCCTTTGAATAGTATAGAAATAACGGTCCAACTGAGCCTGCTATGGCAACGCTAGCATCGCATCCAGTATTTCTACTTGGCCGTCATCCACTTTCTCTAATCTCTGCTTCTTTAGGCCTTTAAAACACAAGAGCTCTCAGAAACTGAATAGCTGTGGGAGTTACAAAATGTCACGAAGTACCATTCTCTCTTTTACGTCACCACTTTCTCTTTCCTTGGGGGCATTTGAACACAGTGCAGCTCTTTATGGAGCTCTACTCACCATGCAAAAACAGATCTAGAGGAAAAGTCACAGAAGACACACAACTTTATGGAAGACAACGAGACAAGGCTCACTATGCTATGAAAGGACAAAAACTCCCCAGTGAAGTAAGTAGCCAGCTCCTCTCCAGTCCAGCTGACTCGCCATGGGGCCAGCAGCAGCTGAGAACACGAGAATGCCACAGGGAGTGGAGGCGGAAATTCCACACAGCTCTGAACAAACAGTAACCAGACCTCGCTTCACAATTGGACTGCTGCTGTCAGCCCCCCTAACACCCACTGGCCTTCAGTCCCCCTCTTCACCCAGCCTATATACCCCAAACCCCACCCATCCCACCATAAACTGGGGGAGAGTGGAGGCCAGTAGGGAGAGGGAGGAGTAGAGTGAGGTAACCAGACAGAGTCACAGTCACCCACCCTGTATCCTAGTCCCCTGCCTGGATAGTATAGTAGGGCTGTCAGAGGACCACACCCTGGTAGTGACTGTAACTCAGTCTCTCTGCCAGGCAGGCATACCCAGGGTGCTTCCTTTCATTACTACTAGAGTCTCTGGACTTCGAGGAATGTGGGCTAAACATTTGGTGCCATTTCTGAAGTGGCGGGGGGGGGGGGGGGTCTATACCATAAATTGAATTACCAGCATCCAACATGGTAGGACTTTGAAGCTGATGTAACTGTGAACTGTATCAGCATAAAGTGCATTTAAGATGGCAAGTCAATCATTGATGAATACACAACTAAATGTGAGGCAGCCTCCAAATGGCTTCCGTGAGGTTGTAGGATTTTAGCACATGGGTGTAGTCCCAGCCTGACTGCCAACCGTTGTGGGGGGGGGGGGGATTGATAAATTGTCCTTGGCTGGTCTCTCCCAGTGCTTAGGCCTACATCTGGAGTCTTTTCTCAGGGAGGTGTGACCTACACTGCAGCCTATCAGGTTAATGTGACCTCTGATACACCCTCTGATACACCTCCTCTGATACACCTCCTCTGTAGCTCAACTGGTAGAGCACGGCGCTTGTAACGCCAAGGTAGTGGGTTCGATCCCCGGGACCACCCATACACAAAAATGTATGCACGCATGACTGTAAGTCGCTTTGGATAAAAGCGTCTGCTAAATGGCATATTATTATTATTTATTATTACTGACCAGGCCCTTGTGGAGAGGCCAGTTCAGCTGAACACCAGGGGGAGAAAACTCACAGCATCCTTCATCTCAGGTCAGGACAGTTTGAGTATGGGTGACACCCAGTTCCAATAGACCATCTCATACCCTTCATACAATCAGAACCTCTCTCCGCCAGGGCCTGGTAAGGGTGTATCAGAAGAAAGGTACAGACAAGGTGTCTCACAATAGACATGGATAAGATCAAAATGTGATATGACGACTATGAACAGAATTCAGTGAACTTAACTGAGTAATTTATTTCAGTAAGGAGGAACAGAACATTGATTTGCCCAGCCAACCCAAGGACATTGAACCCCATGAGCAAAGAGGACCATATAGAAATAAAATAAATTGCTGACAGTCCAACAGTCTGCCCCAGGGGGTAGTGCTAGACTTGATGAAAGAGGCCCATTGTTAAAGCACTGCCAGCACAGCTCCCATTCAGCCAGTGAGAAAGAGGGTGGAGAGAGATGGATGGAGGGAGAGAGACAGTGAAATGGTCCATCTCTGACAGTAGGATTAGTGCTGTCAGCAGTGTGGTGACATTCCATTCAGCAGATCCAGGAGAGACTGCTTGGTCTGGTCTGGTCCACAGAGGGCCCGCTGGGCTGGCTGGATCTCCTCAACACTCAACAGACCAATTTGATGCCTGGTTCAATTCTTCCCCAAACATCTTCCTACACCAGTGGCTCCCAGCCAGGGGTACTAGGACCCCTGGGGGTACTTGGCCTATCCACAGGGAGTACTTGAGAAGATGCACATGAAGGGGTAATTCGGGGGCAATCCGTGCAGAGCTAAATTCAGTTGGTGGTAGAGTAAATGAAAGAGGTTTGGAACCACTGAACTACACCATAATCCTAACCCACTGAAGAGATGGCATCAGCAAGAGAGGAAACTGAGGAACCATGAGTCCAGTCAAGTGCAGATTGTTCTGAATAGCTCATATACAGTGCACTCTGAAATTATTCAGACCCCTTGACTTTTTCCAACATTTTGTTACGTTACAGCCTTATTCTAAAATTGATTAAATCGTGTTTTCCCCTCATCAATCTACACACAATGCCCCATAATGACAACGCAAAAACAGGTTTAGACATTTTTGCAAATATATTAAAAATAAAAAACTGAAATATCACATTTACATTAGTATTCAGACCCTTTACTCAGTACTTTGTTGAAGCACCTTTGTGGCAGTGTTTACAGCCTCGAGTCTTCTTGGGTATGACGCTACAAGCTTGGCACACCTGTATTTGGGGAGTTTCTCCCATTCTTCTCTGCAGATCCTCTCAAGCGCTGTCAGGTTGGATGGGGAGCGTCGCTGCACCGCTATTTTCAGGTCTCTCCAGAGATGTTCAATCGGGTTCAAGTCCGGGCTCTGTCTGGGCCACTCAAGGACATTCAGAGACTTGTCCCGAAGCCACTCCTGCGTTGGTTTGGCTGTGTGCTTAGGGTAGTTTTCCTGTTGGAAGGTGAACGGTCGCCCCAGTCTGAGGTCCTGAGCGCTCTGGAGCAGGTTTTCATCAAGGATCTCTCTGTACTTTGCTACGTTCATCTTTCCCTCGATCCTGACTAGTCTCCCAGTCCCTGCCGCTGAAAAACATCCCCACAGCATGATTCTGCCACCACCATGCTTCACCATAGGGATGGTGCTAGGTTTCCTCCAGATGTGACGCTTGTCATTCAGGCCAAAGAGTTCAATCTTGGTTTCATCAGACCAGAGAATCTTGTTTCTTAAGGTCTGAGAGTTCTTTAGGCAAACTTCAAGCAGGCTGTCATGTGCCTTTAACTGAGGAGTGGCTTCCATTTTTCCACTATCATAAAGGCCTGATTTGTGGAGTGCTGCAGAGATGGTTGTCCTTCTAGAAAGTTCTCCCATCTCCACAGAGGAACTCTGGAGCTCTGTCAGAGTGACCATCAGGTTCTTGGTCACCTCCCTGACCAAGGCCCTTCTCCCCCAATTGCTCGGTTTGGCCAGGCGGCCAGCTCTAGGAAGAGACTTGGTGATTCCAAACTTCTTCCATTTAAGAATGACGGAGGCCGCTGTGTTCTTGGGGACCTTCAATGCTGCAGGTACCCTTCCCCAGATCTGTGCCTCGACACAATCCTGTCTCTGCACTCTACGGACAATTCCTTCAACCTCATGGCTTGGTTTTTGCTCTGACATGCACTGTCAAATGTGGGACCTTATATAGACAGGTGTGTGCCTTTCCAAATCATTTCCAATCAATTGAATTTATCACAGGTGGACTCCAATCAAGTTGTAGAAACATCTCAAGGATGATCAATGAAAACAGGATGCACCTGAGCTCAATTTCGAGTCTGATAGCAAAGGGTCTGAATACTTATGTAAATAAGGTATCCGTTTTGTATACATTTGCAAACATTTCTAAAACCTGTTTTAGCTTTGTCATTATGGGGTATTGTGTGTAGATTGAGGGGGGAAATAATTTAATCCATTTTAGAATAAGGCTGTAATGTAACAACATTTGGAAAAAGTCAAGGGGTCTGAATACTTTCCGAATGCACTGTATGAGTATATGGCTACTGTGCCATCAAACAAATCAATCTATAAAGAGAAAGAGATATGCTAGAAATAACTGACAAGATTATGAAAAATAACAAAGTCAGGCTGGCGACTAAGCCGATTAGTAGCCTCTACATTGGCCCATTTTCTGTAAAAAGCATCAGACTAGCTGATTTCCCCTCCCAATCCCCTAACACCAGTCCCAATTCCCTGAGGGCTTAAATCATCCCAGGATGACCCAGTTCTGCTCTGACATCTGCCTGTGGGGATGAAGGCACATGCTACCTACTATGACTAGCCTGCTGTGTTGAGGGACAGCTCTCTGGACCAATGAGAAAACAGCCTTTGGGTCATGTGTCTTCGGGGCACCGCCCTCTGCTGGGAGACACTGCTGCTCTTTGACACAATGTGCCAAAGTCGTTGTTGAAGGAGTGATGCAGCGAATTTTACAGCTGTGTGAGATATCGTCACTTCAGTGTGAACTTGAAGTCATCGGACCTTGCAAAGAGTTTGCCCTGTTGGTGTGTGGTTTAGAAGACAATTGAATGTGTGTGCAAGTGTCAAGTCCAGTGCCTTCAGAAAGCATTTATTTTTTATTTATTTAATTTAACTTTTATTTAACCAGGTAAGCCAGTTGAGAACAAGTTCTCATTTACAACTGCGAACTGGCCAAGATAAAGCAAAGCAGTGCGGAAAAAACAACAACACAGAGTTACATATGGAATAAACAAAACGTAGTCAATAACACAATAGAAAATCTATATACAGTGTGTGCAAATGTAGTAAGTTATGGAGGTAAGGCAATAAATACCCCTTGACTAATTCCACATTGTTGTGTTACAGCCTGAATTCAA